GAACAGCGATCCTGAGTGCGTGTTCCAACCGCGACTAATACAACTTCTATTCCTAATGGTCGATTCCCACTAGCGTTCAAAGGACACCACGTTTCTAAAGCTGGTTAGGAAAAAAACTGTAAAAATAATCGGTGACCACAAAGTTCGGATCTCGCGCGCTACCACTTTCCTTCCCGCGAATAACAAACGACGAAACATGTGTTAATAGTGTGGAACCACCGTGGAAAATTTATTACTAACCACGGGCCTGTAAAGTTGCGTATAAAACCCTCGTGTGACCGGCGACCGTGGCCATAAAAGTCTTTAGCACGAATGCCGTATGGATCGTGTTTTAACTGCCGGTAGTCGGGGTTGTACAGTTTGCGTGGAATTGGCAATAAAAACCGCGTACAAGGTGTCCCGTACGCGATAACTCGAAAGAGTTTGAAAATTGGATAATTTGTCTCGCGAGATAAACAGTTTCCTTCGTTACCATCCATTTCGATAAAAGTAAAGGAAAAATCAAACGAAGGTGGATAAGGGTCTAAATATTTTCTTCTTCAGGGATTTCAAAAATCTATAATTTTTTTTGTAATACAAGAATCGAGTCGTTCGAGTATCGTGGCTCTAGAACGCTAGTGGGAATCGAGCTTTACGCAGCATACCACCCACACAACCGCGTGCCTCGTACCGTTGCGTCGCGCGAATGCGTCGCGTTTCAACGTTTCACGGCGCATACGCGTGTCGACAGATGGGAATGTTGGCGCCATTCTCATAGCATTATGCATATTCATGTCTATGGATGGCACAACCGAACGATGATGGGTCGAGTCGAATCTCGTTCGATACTCGACCGTGCACCGCTGGAGATCCGATATCGAGATCTTGAAATATCGGGTGTCGATCGTTATCGTTTACGTTAATAACGTATTTCACAGTTTTGGGTCGACGCGTCGAGTGGCAAGAACAATCGCCCATTGATAATGCGCCCTCTATGGAGACAATGCAAATAATATTCAGTTCATAACACAAGGACAAAGACATATCGTAAAAACATGATGAAAAATGACACACCTTGGACGATTAAAAAATGTAATGATTTTATAATTTCCTATTTTTTTATATATCATAACATTTGTATCCATAATCAATTAAAAAAATAATAACATACAACAACTTTTCTTTCAAAATTGCTTCGAGTTGCTGGTCATGCGAATGAAAAAAAAAACTTCGAGCGCAAATGGTTAAAAACAGTCGACGCGACGAGTCGAGCGAAATCCAACTTGAAATAAACTCCGTCGTAAAATAAATTCGACGGCCGCGTTGACGAACCCCTCTAAAATTCTAACTCGGGCCAGGTTCCAGGATCCACCCCTTCGGAATTTCGCCTCGCTGGCGCAACAACAATCTGGCCTCGGACTTGGAATAATATTTTCCCAATGTCCGTGGGAAATTGATAACCACGCCACGTCGAAGTGAAAACACAGACGGCCGTGTAAACTCAAACAGTTTATCGTAACGGTGCGCAGAAGCCATCGCGAGAATGTTCGACGCGCGCATTTTTGGCAACGTCGGTACAGCGACCGTGCGGATTTTAATGAAACTCCACCGTGCACGCCATTCTACCGCGAAAAGAAAATGGGTGGCGCGGCGTAAAAAGAAAAAAGAAAAAAAAAGTCACAGGCGTTATGGCCCGGGTCGCGATGCATCCATGCTCGTTAATGTTTTCGCGCCAAGGCCGAGCGAAACTTCTTCGACGCGTTCTAAATATAAAGGTTTCCGCCAATAACAACGATCGCACGCGCCGACAGATTTTTATATTCGACGATGGCGCGGGATCCGTTTCGAGAGTATTCCGCGCCGCGTCGGAGGAAAGTCGAGACTTTTAACGCTCTCCGGGGCTCGACGGGAGAGAAAAAAAAAACGCGAAGAAACTTTACGATCCCCGGTCAGTTATAAACACGAATACGCGTAGTTTAAAACACGTGCTACGAAAACTTTGTATCTCGCGATAGTGCCGGGCCATTTATTTCTACACTTTCAAGCCTCGCGCAATAATTTCTAATTTATGTTGCGCGTAACGTGACCGGACACGTCCTCGATTTGACCTAACCCCCATCTATAAATTTCCAAACACCACAACGTTACGGTTAAACTAAATTCTTTTTATCGAATGACTGTGAAGGGACGAACAATCTTTGAATCAAGAATTACTGGCTCGGTAACGTTGCAGGCGACAGGTTGGGCGACGACTTGTTTCAACATAATAACAAAAAACTAATACATAAACGTCACGTGACAAAAAAATAATCGCGTTCCACGTTTACTTTCCAATCAACGGTTTATTTATACTGGTACAGAAAACAAGAAGAAATCGACCAAAAAATGCGTACGCAGTCCCGTGACTGACGAACATTTGTACGGGTACACGCTTGATAACCTCGAAAGGTTGAACGACAGTGTCAAGAAGTACATACGTTACCGTGCAAGCAATTACCATTTCACGAAGGATATTGCGCTTACCTTGCCGGGCGTGCAAGCATCGAAACCCTTCGCTTCGCTATTTGTTATTCGGCGATCAACAGTTTACGCCGAGGTTGTGAAAAGACGCACGATCAGAAAGGCAGCGATGACGAGTACCGAACGCTTCGTTATTGCCGACGAGAAGATGCCTGGCGCCGTCTGCGAGGCATATCTATCACAAACAGCTTCGTCTGACATTCAATACGTGATCGTTACTCTCTCGCAGGTTGTTAATAATTCTAAAAATACGAGGGGCACCGGCTTCGCGCCGTTTCACAAGCCACATCCACATAGCGCGCGCGGGAACCATAAGCATGATGAATAGGAAGTAACGTTGAATAGATACGAATGACGAGTGGACACCATTTGATCGATAGCGCCATCTTTTTTTCCTAATTGCAGTTTCCGACCGAAGTAAAAAAGAGCAACGTTCCGTCGTTGCATCGATATCGTAGTTTCCAATATGGGATAATTCTTTTCCCGCCACATTTTGATCCTATTAATTTTTACCAGATCTGATAGAAATATTCGATTTTATTCCAACATCACAAATATTTACCAATAGAAATGATTCCCTCCATTATGCATGCTTCCCGCTCAATCTGAATTTACGTCCTCTCATTGGCCCGTTCAGAAGACGTTTGTTACCAGGATGTTGGAGCTTTGCTCGATCGTAGGAGCATTAATTTCGTGGTTTTGAAAATTACGTTACGATGTCGCAATCCCTAATAAAAAAAACTATTCGAAAGATTTATACAAATACCTTTATTACGACATGCATTATCTCCGCGTAAAGTGTTTAATGTTTCATCCTTTAAATACTTATTCAATTTTATGGTTAAGTTACAAATTCCTATACTAAATGGCATACCTACGTACGTAAGGTACATGTACAATTTGTATCGTTACGTATTTCCGAGACCTTGTCTAACCAGATATATGTATTTTCATTTTAAATGTATCTATAACAAAATATTTAAAATTCAACGAACCACGTAAATTCGTTCTAGAAACAGCATTTTATGTGTGTTGCACAATTTAGGAGACATCTTTCCACGACGACTATTTTCAGTCGTGAATCGAAACTTTTTAACACGAATGACCAAATTGATTAAGTAATCGAATAAATTAAAAAGAAATTATCGTAAATTTAACGACGGCCCGTCCGTTACTAAGAATCGATGCTTTTTATCATATTTGCCTAATTTATTTATTGTGCAAACATATAACGAAACCGGATTTGCTCGCACGGTTCAAGTTAAATGACAATGCACCGTATTGGGTACTTACTCATACAGCGAAGGTTATGCGCGGGAAAATGTCACGACACTGAGGTCATGCACATAGGAGCGATGTCATGAATGCAATTTATAAGCATTTAACCCATTTATCGTTGTCGTGACGATAACGCAACATATATACGTATAATAATATGTAAATTTCAATATCGATTCCCGATCAACTGTAATCGACAGATAACCTAACCGGCACAAATGACACCCTACGAACTAATACAAAATTCAAGCAAGTCGATAAACACTAAAACAAACGTACAGAACCAATGTTTGCAATCCTATAAAGTGTTTTGATATATGTGTAATGAATCAATGAAACAAACTACGTATATACAACTTCCATAGAATTATTCGCAGATCTAAAAATTTGTGGGATTCGATCATTGACGAGATGTATGAAATTTAGGTAAAGAAACGTCCAACTCGTGATGGAAACATGTTTCGATTGATAACGGGGTTGTCGACCCGTGTATCGGTAATAAAACTTTATCATACACCTTAAATATTACGTTCTTTATTTTTGTTCTGACAGAGCTGGGGAAATAATATCCTCGTTAAAATCCATAATTATCTCTAGTCGTTAAACACACACACACACGTTATTAGAAATCGAAAAAAAATCTGTCACACACAATCTACTAATAAAACTTTCATGTGAATTTTCTCGTTTTTTTGTCTCCGAAATGATAAAAAATATTCATAATTCGTAATTTATCCGTAATTAAACTATAATTAGGAGGATAAAAAAGAAAGGTAGAACTTAAAAGGCTAAATGAAACATGCGGTATGGGCGGTGCGCAGTCTTTAGTAACGAAAAAAAAAGTAATCGTGCTTGTAACTCAAGTACCATCGTCTGAATAAGGGATGCGTGCAGGCTGAGCGCGAAGCTACGAGGATAGAGGTGCATTTGCTTCATCCGTTTATAATATATATATGTATATGTATGTATGTGTATATACATCTGTATACATATGCATGTATATGAATATATATATATATTTTTATATGAAAGTGTATGTACCATGTGTATATATATTTATAAATCATTGTTTTTTTTTTCTTGCACGAGTGCAGAAATCCCTTTATCCTGATCATTCCCTGCACAATATGCATGCACCCCAAATGGAGGACTCTATATATCCTATTCATAACCAGCCAGAACAAAAACAAACTATTTTAACGGCAAATAACACATAGACTACATAAAGCACAATTACAGTATATTTCACAAATTGTTTAAACATTCATATATAATTATACGAATCTTCGCATATGACGGAAAGGCGATTTGATCAGTTAGGGGAAGATTATTTCGTAAAAACAATGTATTTCGAGGACAGGAAAACATTAGGAGATTGAAGGGCTTGCGAAAATGGCTTCATCTGGCAAATTGCCATGCCAGTTTGAATTGCTGGCTTAGAAATTGCGAGGCCTATCCTCTCTTTGCTGCGAGAGGTTCTTTCCTAGTTTCTTTTTTTTTTTTTTTTTCTTTACTTCACGTTTCTTTTTTTTTAAAGCATCTTTCTTTCACTTTCTTCACTTATTTAAAAATGATTCATCTGCATTTCCCGCCACGATCGATGCATAATTTCGGAATGTTGACAATATTCTAATTTTACCTTATCAAGGTGCAATAAATAAATGATATCTCTTTTACACTGAGATATACATGGTTGACTGGCTGTTAGTTTTATCGCAAACAGGTGAAGGGGGGTGCAACTCTACACCTGCCGATAGCCAAGCAGTAAGACAACCATTTGTATATAGTTTCGCTTTGCATTTTTCGACGTATACCACTGAAAACTTAAAAAAATAGAAACAAACTTTTGTAACTAGAAACAGTAAGTCATTGCACCGTCAGTTACCATTCACTGCATTTAAACATGTCAACTGATGGGCCAATGTGACATTTTGTAATGTAGTGGACAGAGCAACATTCTCTCATCTATTGATCACATTTTTATCATCGTATTTATATAATGTAATGTACAATATGCAGCTACATTATGATAATCAGTATGTCCAACGCGTTCAAACTGACAACACCGTGGGTACTTCACTTTTTTGTTCTTAAATTTTTTTTTCAAAGATATTCAAATTATTAATTAACGAATGTGTATTGTATGTTTCAGAGTTAGGTACTTTAATACAATTACTTCCAAGTTTTCCACTTTTCTCGTGGTATCTCTGTGTAAAAAGTGTAACTATAATGCTAATATAATAATAATTATAATAATAAGTTGCACAAGGCAATAGTCCTGTGTGGCCGTTCGAATGTGTGCTTCCGGCCGTTTCCCCACTCCTCTCCCCCCAAAAACTTCCTGGCACAATGACAACTTTCGATAATCTCTCCACCCTCCACTTAAGATCCAAGAGATCTTGTAGTTTGCACTTAGTATTACCTTTTTTATATTATTACTCATTCGTGGGGGGGGGGGGACAGGTGTGCAGCTGATTTTTATGATGTTAATATAGCAACTGAATGTTGACAGAACAACGTTCCAATTAGCGATTGGCATTTTTGAGCTGATTGGAGAGCCAATCAAGGCCCTCGTAAAGTCCATCTCCACTTGTGGCACACGTTGCTTGAATGTACCAATTACGATTACGCAAAGAGTGCAAGCCCAACTTATCAGTTATCTCTGCTGCATTCATTGCATTTGGGAGATCCTGGAATAGTAATTTAAGGTATGTGGACCGAAACGTACAATAATCGGATTTAACTAATTGATTTCTTCCTAGCTAGTAATTTAATAGACTATACTAGCTTTATCGTTAAATTCTCATTTGGCATATATCCAATATGTTTATATAGTATATGTTATTTACACAACAAACGCTTTATACGTCTTAAATTTTTGAATGCTTTGTACGTTACTATACTATAAGAAAATATACACGAGTCTAAATATATTAATAATTTCAAAGCTGTACTTACTTGTTTGTTAGCAAATATAAGAAGTACTGCATCTCTAAGCTCATCTTCTGCTAACATTCTCATCAATTCTTCGCGCGCTTCACCAATACGTTCCCTATCATTACTATCAACAACAAATATCAGTCCCTGTAAGTAAATTGCTATTAATGAATATGTTCATTGCGGGTTACAAATAACTCGGGCAAATTATAAAAAATTGTTAACGAAAAATTAAAAAAATTATTTAACCAACGAATAACGTACTTGTGTATTCTGAAAGTAATGTCGCCAGAGAGGTCTGATTTTGTCTTGGCCACCCACATCCCATACAGTAAAACTTATATTCTTGTACTCGACTGTTTCTACATTGAAACCTAAAATTTATAATTCAGTGTCAGTAAATCTTATCACCAAACACACAATGTTTCCTTCCTATAATCGCCAATGTGTAAAATCACATTGAACGAAACATACAAGATCGGGAAACATGTACATGTAATGTATTAATAGAAAATATTGGTAAAAATAATGTTTTATATTTACCTATAGTGGGAATTGTAGTAACAATTTCCCCTAATTTTAATTTGTACAGAATTGTAGTTTTACCAGCTGCATCGAGACCCACCATCAAAATCCTCATTTCTTTTTTGCCAAAAAGGCCTTTAAATAATGTCGTAAACATATTCCCCATGGCTAGTGTTGGTTATATAAATACCTAAAACAAACAAAACACCAAAATTTAATTACCAACATAATAAAATTTTGAAAAGTATAATTCATATATTCCACTTTGCATGCTTTAATTTTACATAATATATACTGTGCAATTTAAATCATGTCAACAAGTTAGTTGTCTATGATACAGCATGATGTTACCGATTCTTTATTTTCTTTCGTAGATGGTATTGCAAATATGAAATTAACTATTGAACATAGCATCGAATAGTTTTTAAAATTTTGTCGTAACTAAACCAATACCTTGTTTAAAAATGTGCGTAAACATTTATAAAAGTATGGCATACTGACAAATTAATGCAGGGGCAAGAGCATCGTTTAAAAAAAAAACAAATACGATACACATAATCACGAAATTATAACTACGCATCGTCCGAATTCAGTGCATGAAATTAATCTAAAAAAGAGATAAACTATGCTCGACATATGCAAGTCCACGATGCACGACCATACGACGTGCAATACGTTGCTGTATGAAATTTTATTGGGACGAAAATGAAACGATAATTTTTAGCAAAACGAGAAACAAATAGGTCAAATAATCGAAACGAGCGAAGAATTCCAGACGCATAGACACGAGTGAACAAAAGAAGACACGTTTCGCAGACGTGTAAAACTGAAATTACGCCAACAGAGCCAACGAGCAGAAACATGCGTGAAGTACCGATACGTTGCTGACACAAAGCCGAAAAAGCTAACCTGCACATATACGTGGAACGTTCGATAAAAAAAAGGAGTACAGCGAATAACATGGATCATAGATTTCGGTTTAACGAACGAAACAAATAAAAAAAGAAAAAAAAAAAAGAGAAAAAAAGAAGAATGTGTAGAGGCACACACGAGATGCTCACGCTGCCCGCTATTGATTCTCATTTTAATACATCGCTATGATTATCGGACTAGCATACCGTCAGGGATCACTTTAGAGTCTTTTGTCGGTGGTCTATGCACTTTTAAAACGTGATCGGCTACCTAAAACGCCAACACCGAGGTATTGCGAGCAAGGCGGAAGATATTGTGCGGTTTGCGAAGCCACTGCGTACACCCGGTTGTCTGTCACCTTCGACCTACTCCCCAGCGAATCGTCAAAGGTTCCCCGCTCAAACTTCCATTATTTATAAACGTCGTCTGATTACCGAGACTTTCCCGTAATGTCACGTAGCCCGTATAAGTCACTTGCGTTACTTACGTTTCAGTAAAAAAGATTATTTTCACGAGAAACGATAAAACATAAAACCAACACTCTCGAAAAGTACCGTATGTCAAAATGGCGGACGTGGAAAGGATTCATGCCTTATGCCACGTATAGGGCCCTCGAAATTCTCCAATTGGTTAGGCCGGTCACGTGACAGTGAAAATTCTACGTTGTGTCGCGTTTACCGCGGTAGGTGGCGATACCGTACGGTAGCCTCGGTAAGTCATCAAAAATTCCGTAGATGTGTGGGTGAGTAAACGTCACGCTTTCGGAGAAAGGCCCACGTTCATGAAAGCGAAAACGCGTTTTTCCTCGATTAATACATTCCGACGATGACATTCCAAAGAAACTGATTATTTCATTGATGACCGATAAGGAAATGTATTAATTTAGATATTATCGAACTGCTTTAGTTTATACGTTATATCATTTTGAATTTCTCGCGAATAAAATATTACGTGCATGCATGGTGCATGGTTCGAGCATGTCGTGTTAAGTGTTAACATTGGAATAAGTAAACTGTTAACGATAGAATGAAAAGCCGGTAACGAAGATGAGTAGAACTTTAACTTAACTTTACTAATGTTTCTAAATATTTTCGTTTTTTCTCCCACATCACATTTCTATATTGTGATGAAAATAGAGGATATGTCATATTTATATTTTTTATGTTAAAATTATAACCCATTTGCAGCGGACGAAAGATCCGCTGTGTGCGGAAGACTTTTTCGCACGTTCAGTGTAATGCACGTTGAACACTCATAGGCGTTTACCGCATACAGTCGATTAATTAATCGAATATGTGTTTAAGCGCTGCTTGGCGCTGTTCACAGTCAAAGGGTTAATAAACAGGTTAGAATATTTGGTTTACTCATAATTAAATTACAAGTAATAAAACGGTAGTTGAAAACTCGGTAAAATTAAAATATTAATTCTATCAATTTCGAATTAAATCCGTGAGAGATTACTTTTGTATAAGATGCTTGTTTTATTGTCATAAAAGCGAATTTAATGTCGTTTTCTGTCCATCACATATTCTTTCTTCATTTATGTTCCTGGAATATAGTACTTTTCATCTAAGGATCCTTCTCCACAAAGTTCACATTCTTCCATAGTATGTGGATTGTCAATTATTATTTGTAATGTTTCAACAGACTGTCCAGCCTTTCTGTATATAAAAAGATTATGCATGATTATCAATGTAATCGATAATAGTACATTTATTCTTAATACGTGTACTTCGGTTGGAAAGAAACTGTAATTGCAATGCAACTTCCTCCGGTACAATGACTTGTTAATGTTCCTTCTGTTTGATCAACCATGAACTCTTTGTTTTTCGATTTTTTTATAATGTTGAATTTGTAGCTGCATACTGTTTAAAATTTAATCGTAGTAGCACATTATTGCAAAAAGTAGCTTATCCGATTGCTAAACAAATCATCATACATAACCATACTTGATAAATTTTCAACAACCAATATTAACTTCTTAGTGTTGCCTACATATACAGGACCAAACTCTAATGTATATACGGATAGTTTTAACGATGGTAACCAAATGTGTAGAATTAACTCTACCTCCTGAAATTTTATAAGGAGTATATACTTGTATTGCTACAACAAAATAAAATGAAATATCCAGACCTGAGTGCTGTTATCAGAATGTATAATGGTCAATGGCTCTTTCACTATAAGTGCTGCACCATGCAAGTCTTGAATTTTATTTGTGTGCAGTAAGGTTTCAATTAATTCTTCCTCGACGATGCATGATATTACTACCTGCAAGGGCAGTGTTATTTGGAACATTTCTGCTGATTTAATGTATGGAAGAATAAATTACCTCTGCACATCCATGGCCATTTATACATATGTCTTTTATAGGGCTGCATATATTTGCTTCTGCATAAATTGAAACAGACGCTATATGAAATGGGTTGTATGTTGCAAACGAAACACTGACCAAGTTACTACCATTATTATAAAAGAAAAATGTTTTCTTCAATCTAAAATTGGAAAAATTAAATTTTAATCCAAGGAATTTAACACCGAAACGTTCGAAATGAAAGCAGAAGTGCTGTTTGATGTACATTAATGCTTTCCATCTAGACTGCATCACGTCGTTAGTACAGCATGCGAATGTCCTATCGTATGTAGGTATATCAAAAATTAATTGTGGTTTAACGATGTTCGCAGTAACATCGATTTCTATGGGAGTTAAATAGGTCCCATCTAGTCTAGCATAGCAATTATCTCGGTACCTGTAAGTTCATAGAATATTTTATAGCCAGATAGTACAATTACTAGAAACTATATACGAACTTATCGCTTGGAGCAATCCGTGGAAATCCCAAAATTTTGCAAAACAATTCTCCTGTAAAATTCGTGCCCGCGTTAAGGAAATCGCATTGATGAGGCTGCACGGTAATGGTCACAGAAGCATTGTCTTTTGGCGAAATAAATATTTCTCTGGGAGTGACCTTAGGACGTATCGAAATAGTTCCTTAATGGTTCTTGAATACCATACTTAATATGTGTAATTATACTGCAAATTTCCTTACTAAGCAAACTTTTGTGCCAACCGCGCCGTAGTAAGGAAGTATCGAAATTTTAAATTCGATATCATCCTTTACATATTCGTGACTTTTCGAAGACTCAAGACTATTCAAATCGCGATCATTCCACGTCCAAGATGTACTCAACTTCGAGGATATTCTAAATGAATTTGAAGCAGGGCTTGTGAAAAGGTTCCAAAAATAACTGTTTCTAACTAACTGAACAACTGCTATGACTTATATAATAACAATAATTGAGAATGTAGCGCGATCAAGGGCTCGATCACGTAACCGTCACGTAAGAATATTTACGTGCAACTACACGTCGTTGCCTCGTGAGAAGCACTTGGCGACGCGCTCGACACTTCCGTGGTGCTGTCGTTACTTCCAAACGAATCAGATCCGCTTTTTATTTCCGATTTTACAGAGTTCGTCGCGTGTTCCTCCATGCACGTTTCGCTTTTGCTTTTCCATTCGCTGGCTATCAATTGTCCCGCCATTTTGTCGGTGAACGGAGCGCAGAGGTCGAATAGGACGTTAAAGGGCATTGTTTCCGTTTTTGGCACGACCAAGAACGAATGCCAATCCACAGCTATAGGTACAACGCTGGTATTCTTCACCGATATCTTCCTGGGCTGCAGACGAATACCTGTTGCTACCGTTCCAAATCTACAATACGTTTTTTTTTTCATTTTTGTTATAACAGTTATGGTCCCTGCTGTTAACGCACTTGATAACGCATGTGTTCGCTGAAGTCCTCTCGCAGATCGATAACGATATAGGCAGTTCAGCGACTTGAACGCATATTGCTAACGTGTATCGTGGTAATCCTGCAATATCAATGTCTAATTCGTCGATGTAAGTGCCCCAAGTATCGGCGAATACGTAAATGTCCACCGGTACGGCCTCGAATTGTCCAATGTCGGAGTTCGAAGGATCTACGTAAATTACCACACCCGATCGAGGTTGTTTCAGACGACACAGCGTCTCTTCTGAAATAGTAGCGGTGCACAATGTTTTTATTAGCCCCCAAAAAAAAGAAAATAATATATTTTGCCGGTTCTACCGATTAAATCCTTATTTCGACCATAGACTTGCTTGTATATGAACTTGATACGATCTTCTCGCGACTTTCGTTCGCACGAACAATCGACAGGATAGAAGTTCTTCACGCGTAGCCGGAAGTTGCACGGAATCGGAGTCTCGTTTTTTATAACAAAGGTTTTCTTTTCCACTAAAAAATTATTTCACTGCGAATCGTTTCTAAATTTGAATTTCTTCGCTCGTGATACCTGTTCTTAATGGCAGGCCTAGAAATTCGATTACATTGGGCTGCGTAGGCGGTGGAAGAATCGTTTCGAGGAAAGGTACGATGTGTTTGGACGAAGGAACGTATACCTTCGAATGTTTTCTATTTTCCGTTGCCAGGCGGCTCATCTGCGATCGTAATTCGTTTAATTTTCAAAATGACCCTGCCCATTCACTGCAACAGGGTCAATAGGTCGTGTCGCGTGGAATTTAGCACGATTTTCTTACTCGAATGATTTCTGAAGTACGGGTGCTCGAAGACGATCGCTCTTGATTCTCGACGCTTACGTCAGACACCGAGGGACCCGCGGAAACTTCTTTATGAACGTCCCCTTGATCCAGATTCGTGTTCGTTAATTCTCGTTCCTCTCGCATTCTGTATTTGTTCAATAGCCTCTGCAAAAACGAGATGAAAACTTCCCAACTGTTTTTTGTTTTGTTTTTAAGCCACGCGGCCTACCATGCCTTTCTTTGAGCGTTCCGCCATGTCGAAAGCAACTTTCAGACTGTCCGTGTGCCATTCAACGCGAGTAAAATTATTTTTCAGTTCCACAGGCTCTTGGTTGTTCAGCGGAAGATAAAATGTGACGTAGAGCGACCGGATGAAGCACTCGACTCCCAGCATTATTATTTTATGGGAATTTCCAACGAAACACGGCACGTGCAAGAACTGTACGACACCCTAAAAATTTTTGAGACGCCATCTTTTTCATTCATAAATTCATTTGTAAATTGGAATCTTATCAACCAATTTTCGACCTCCTTCATTGGCGTGAGCGTGATCTTGATCTTTTCTGTGCCCTTAGCCGGTACTTCCCCTTTCTTTGGACACACACAGAGTTCCATCTTCTCCGCATCGGATCCATTTGCATCCCCCCATGCGTAAATTAAAGAATTCTCAGAGATGTTCTTCACGATCAAAACGTAGGTTTCTTGGACACCGATATGCAGGATTCTGTCGCGTGTAACAATTTTAAATCGCTGAATATTTTACAGTAAACTTTCGAACAAACATGAATTATAAAATTACAAGCCTCGTGGGTCTGATGATGCCCATGCTTATTATATGCTCCCATAGAAGGGACTCGAATCGTTTCAGGTTCATTATATCGTAATAAGAAAACAATTCGTCCGTTACCTGCGACATAATTAGCAAACGTGATTCATTTCTGTTGTAATTGATATTAAAAATGCAACGGTGATCGTGAAGCGACTCACCAATCGACGCATGGACTTGTACTCTTCGCTATCGTCCGTAGAATCCGATGTCTTTGTTCGATCGTCGTCGGACGAGTACTCGTGATCCGATGCAGTCTCGGTTAAACTTTCGAACAGTTCTTCGAATCTATCAGAAAATTTAACAAGTTAATTCTTTGATGTGAAAACATATTAAAAGTTGACGCACGTTTCCTTCTCGTCGTCCTTCATATGTTCGATCCAAACTTCGACGTCGGCCACCCAAATGTCTACGGACTGATAACAAGCGTTATAGCGTTCCGATAGAAAGTTGGTTTATTGGTCGATCAATAAATCAAGATTATTTACGATCAAACATTTACGTCGTCTCGTGGTGCATTCCTTGATATGCAATTCTAGTTTCTTCGGAATGGCTGCAAGTGGTATATCTTCCACGTACAGTCTGAAAATGGTACCGACTTAAAAGGTACCCTTTCATTGGCGTCATCGTTGTTTATCTTACTGTAGAACGGACGAGTAATAATTTGGCTGCAGATCTTTGCATTCGGCGGTCACGTTGAAATAATGCACAGAAGTTGGGGACAGTATCCCGTGATCCGGGTCGATACGAAGCTGATTCAAAGGGAAATCATTGGACTCGTTCGTTTCATCTTCGTTAGCTTGAACCTTTCGTTTTTCCCATCGACAATGCATGCTTATCTCGCTTAATACGGGACAATTTTGTTTCAATATTATTTTAAATTAATTTCTGGCTGGGCCACGAAAAAAATAGAATCGTTTCTAGCATGCGTTACCTAATATTGCTCACGCAGATCGTGCATTGCCCAATTTCGTCGGGAACACTTGTGCTTAATCTTACGCAATGACGGGCACGTTTATCGATATCCCTCTCGAACGGCCATACTTTTTCTAATTGCTGGAAATTTTATCTTTTGTTTGTATTATGTTGGATGTTTTTTTTTTTAATTGCATAGAACTGAAACGAGTACGTTGCGGTTGCAACGCAATTGTACCACGTACTCCAACGATACGCTAATGATACTATTTGCAAACAGTGACGTAGATACTTTACTAAGCTGGATGAAGTCAGTTTCGTATATTATGCCGTCACCGATTATTTCTGTCGCCAGCATGTTGCAGTTGTCGCTGAGTATGTACAGTTTGTCGACCTGATAAGAACGAACACGATAAACGGAAAGAAAATATGTTTTGAACAGGGCTTGGAATCTATAATGTAGGTTTGTCTTGAAACACGTTTCATTTACATGGATCCCGTAACAGTGGGGCAGGAAGTAAGTGTGCAGCGTTATTATTTGCTGCGACTTCGCTGAAAAGTACGCTGGCCAGAGGATGAACGAAGGTAGTATCAGCACGTTCTTATCGGTGATATCCTGGTATGAAACATTTTTAAAAGAGAACACTACATTAGATCAGAGAAACGGCAAACAGGCGGGGGAAAAAATTGCGTAATGTGTGATGTAACGGTACGAGGAAGCAATGATTTTACTTCAATGTGCATCGAAACCCAGTCGATTTCACTCATTATGAAAAACGTCCCCTCTCCACCGATGTTCCTGAATTTCATTGGTACGTGAATTTCTTCTCCGACGAAGCCTTTTTTGCAGTCGAGGATCATGCTTCTAAATATTGTATGAAATTTATTCCAGCTCATCTCGCTCTCGGAGCTACTCGACGTCGTGTCCTACGAAACAATGATGTATACAGACAGTGGTAGAAACAAGGGAAGGTGGCTGCTAAACAATTTAAATAACTACATTACAACAAAGAAACAAATGTTAAAAATTAAAATGCTAATTAATACGAGATAATTGAGAAGTACGTTTGTGTTGTTCAACGACGGTAGTAATTCCGTATGCAAGGCGTGACTGGAGTACTTTTTGACGTGTTCCAAAGAATTCGGACATGCCTCTTGCGTTCCATCGATTCCTGCAAAATGAATCGGGACGTTCAGTTTTACTAAAACAAATTCATTCATTTTACATTATATTTTATAAACGTTTTTAAGTAATTTGTATCATTTGGTACCCATCAGGATAGGGGGGTCCTTGCATCCATGCAATCTGATGGCCAACGGTTTGCCATATTGTACATTCAACACCAGCATTTCCTCCGGTTCGTCGACGACGTTACAACGAAACAGAATGATTAAATGTATCTGCATACCCGGGGGAACGATGCTCCTGTTTGTCTTCACAGATTTTATGAATACTTGAAACACAGAGCGATAAGGCCTAGCTGCAATTTGAAATCTCGCCGGTGACGTGGTAACATTTTGTAACGTGACTGTTTTCTATTAACATCGGTAACATTAATCCAAGCGAAATTATACCGGTCCAGGTATTCGATTAAAATTTTCAGCGCACCTTGTACAATCGGTTCAATTTGAAGTTACGAAATTGCACATAATTCGTGTCCGCGACCAATATTATCCTTTGCATTTCCATTTTTATTATGCTTCTTTTCGCCAGAGCGCTTAAACGAGGTTTCGACTTCGATACTTGCCTAATTTTTACGACACGCATTAAACATAAGATCAATTGTTTGCTATGTAGTATCTATAAAATAGTATAATACTCTATCAAGAACGTAGTCGTCTTAAACTTCTCTCTTCTACTGTACCTATCGATACGATGCTTCTGCAGAGACGTTACATGTGTTAACTCTGGTGTTCGATCAGTCATCGTTTTTGGGATTGATCGTGCTAATTGTACCAATCTTCTGTACTCGTCCCAAGTTTTTATTTTCGACTCTTCTATCGCCGACTCTCTACGACTTACATCTAAAACAAACCATGAATTTAATTAGATATGTTCTAATACTACTGATACTTTAATTACAGTAAATTGTAACTGTTCTATCATTTAATTTTGGCAAACGCAGCTTACAATAGTGTAGTTATTATACTTAAAAAAGACACGTTTCTTCATATTTTTTTTTACCTAACTTGTCTTCATGTTCTTCATTGCCAACGTTATCAATACTTGATTCATCTTGTTTACCGCTCAAATCACCATCCTTTTTAACGCTATGTACATAATGTTTTAACAATTTTATATCGTTAGGACACGAATTCTGTAACTTGTCTCTGTAAGTCTATGAACATTACTGTAAATATTATTTCGATCTTACAACGCTTTTATTATTTAATATACGAAGGTACTAACGTAGAATACGATAGAAGATTTTTGCTGGAAGATTATATTTTGTTGGCCAGTATTAATCAGATTGTACGATATATTCCAATTATATATTTTCTTCGCTCTTCTTTGGCTGGATTGAGCATTTTTCTCAGTGTTTCTGACGAAACTCGAACATACAGAAGTCATTTTATTTATAAAATGGTACCATTAACTAATGCCCATATGATTAATGTTTGACAACCATTCGTTACAATTGACAAAAGAACGTTTAATCGCTTAACACTTCGCATTGAGAAATATGATGTAGTATACGACGTTTGACAAAACAATGATGCGACGTAAAAAGGTACACACAATAGTTTTAAGATTATGATTTATTTGGAAACAATTTTTATATAAAGGTTTAGAGAATGAAGTTCTATGTACAAAAGGGTTACGTTAGTAAAATACTAGGATTTTATATTCCTGGCCGTACATCGGTGCAAAATAGTTTCCTCTTACACTGAGATATATGTATAATTGTTTTTTTTTCGTTCCGTGCAGTTCTTTCTCCTTTTTTTTTTTCATTATTGCAGAGTCCAGACTGCCTATAATTAAGCTTGCATCTAGTTTAACCCTATGAACGCCGGCAAAACCACTGCTTTTGTCGGATGTGACGATACAATCGCATAAGGTACACTTATTACATTATTTATCATGATTCGTGATCCGTGAATACGAAGAATCTTTCCGTTTTTTTTTTTCTTTTTTCATTTTTTGCTTTTGAATCCATATATCTCTCGACGCGCGTTAAACATCGCATAGAAACCTAATTGATGGTTTTGCATACACGACATTATAGATTACGCTTCGTACAATCTAACAATACAAACAAGCGAGAAAGATCGTTTAGAACATATATCCAACCAGAGCATGAATCTTTTACAACATTGCTACGCGTTGCGTAACGATATTCCGTCGTTCGCAACTTTATTTAACATACAAAAAAAAAATTAATACATTTTGTTTGATAGAAGCATACAGCGCAAAGCGTTCTTTTGTTTCTCTTATATACGTATATTTTTTTTTTTAATTTTCGATAAGCGTCATATAAAATCTGAATAAGTTTCTTAATGTAACGAGTCAGCTGAAAAGGAATGGGCTTAATAATGAGACGCGCGTAATGTTCCATTAAACAACACTGTATTTTTTCTTCATCGTTAAGCCTTATAGATTCAGAAATTATGTGTTCTTCGATAAGAGTGCACTTATTTAATCTATAGATAAGCATACACAGTCCATTGAAACGCAAAACATGTTTTTGCGTTTTTTGCGTGAAAAAGAAAATTGAAAGAATTGACATTTAAAAATTTATGAAGCAATTTATGCACATAAGCGAAATTCGAACTGAAAGGAAAGGAAAGAAACGTAATTGTTTCGCATCGATCATACGATAAAAAATGATCGGCACAGAGTCAAACTAGGTTCAAGCTTCGCGCGAATGATTTGTTCCCGATGGAAGTATTTCAATTTTGTATTTACACTCTTTTGAAAAAGCTGATTATTCGTACCGATAATTATTAGGATTTTCAATTTGTCTGGCGACTATATCCATGCTGCGAAATTCGCCAATAGCGGCCGGGTAGCTTGGACTTTGTATGCAAGGTAATAAAGATCATTCGTTAATAAGCCTATTATCGTTTGGAAAATATAAAACCCCAGTTTATACTTCACTATCCTACAAATACAATGCTTACTTCAAACGTTGTATAATGGTGTTTGTTATCGAAGATGTGATACTTCCTTCCGTTTTAACCCTATGCAATCTGCTCCTTCTCTCGTATCTCATAAATTAAAAGTAAAAATTAAAATTTTATCGGATCGTTTTACACCGAGACATGAATTTCTAAAACATAGTTCATTTATCGTAATCTAAATTCTAGATTTCTGTATCTGTGATTCATCCTCTTCGTAGGTTTTTTCCTGTTTTTATTTCCTTTTTTTTTTTTTCCTGTTTTTACAATACACCAGCTATGTTTTGTTTGCTTTTCACATTTCGCGACTGTTGTAGCTGGAAAATGTCAATAATTTTTTTTTCTTTTTTCCATTGCAATTGTACGAAGTGAACGTTCTTACATATATACAACCCACGGTCACCCTTAAGCGTACAACTTCCATGTAAAGTGTATAGTTCGATGCATGATCGTTTGTTTTATTCTTTCCGTGTGTCTCGATATTTAAGCGTTTCTTCACTTGCCGAGTCCTAGTGCGGCATACTGCTCCTCCGTCACTTCGGTCATCATCAGATTCCCGTCGGGTAAGAGTAATACTACTCTCCTGGTGCCACCTGGCGTTAAAACAGAATAAAAGTATAATATCAGTACCGCTAAAACCGTCGTCCTCGCGCCCACTGTACGTCAGAGTCAAACAAAACAACCTGATTCAATTTCTCACGATATTATTTTCCGTAATCACACGATAATTACACCAAACACTTGGTGTCTGATGTACTAAAATCACATTACCTGGAGTAGGTTCTTCTGCTTGCACGACCTGAGCGACGACCTGTCCGTGACCGTCGCCATCTTCCTGTCCCTCGGTTACGTCAGTCGTGCTTGCATTATCCATGATGGACATCACCATTGGATTCTCGGCGGGTTCAGTTCCGCTCTCCTTCACGTAAAATTGCGAAGCCAAGTTCACTTGGTCGGGTATTAATTGCGCCACGGCTTCTGCCACGGCGTGGTCCAACGTCAGGACGGATCCGTCATCCCCTTGCTGTTCCGTAGTAACGTACACGCATTGTTGCTCGCCGTCAGCGTCGCGCGTCACCAGCAACGTCTGGCCGTCCTCGGCTTGGCCCGTCACCTGATAAACAACACCGTCCTCGCCCGTTATCGTGACCAAGTTCGACGCGTCGTCGGCCACCTTCCTCTCCTCGGGCGCTTTCTCGTCATTCTTGGTCGCATCGGCGGACGTGATCGCTATCGTGCTGGTGGAGGTGACCGTGGCCGTCGACAAGCCCGCGGCAAGTGAGGACTCGCTGGCGGGCGTTGTTTCCGTCAATGGTGTCGCCGCGGTGGTGGTAGGTCCAGTAACAGTCGGAGCTGTGTCGTCCAGACACGGAAGGTCCGGGGCGGGAACCGCTACGTTCGACAAGTTGATCTGCGCCGGTTCGGAAGTTTGAACGATGGTGCCCGTCGTTCCGCCGGGACTCATCTCGACTCTCATTATTCCGCCGGCATCCGTCAAGGAATCGAGAGAAGGTAGAACCAATTCTGTGGCCGCGGCCGCTGGGTTAACGTCTATGCTCTCGGACGCGGTGGCGGGCGTCGTCTTGACGGTGGACAACGGCGTCGTAGGGGGTTCTGGTTCTGGTTCAGGTTCCGCTGGCTGCTCGACAGGCTCACCGTCCGGCCCGATTATGCGTCCCGTCAACGGACATAATGTGAACGGCCGCGGCGGACTGTCGGGCTCCGCGGTGGCTATAGCGTCGGCTTCCGGCGGCGGAAGTTCCGGCTCGCCGTCGCTGCTACTCTCCTCCGAGCCCACTTCGTGGAATTCCATGTGAAGACCGTCGCCCTCGGCCAATTTGCTCTCTTTCGGTTTGTTTCCCGTGGCGGACGCTGGCACCTCTATCAGTTTCCCCCTGCCGCGGCTGGCGGTAGCACGAGCACCCACCAACAGTCCACGGCTGCCAGGCTTCACGATGCCCGCTGCTTCTTGGGCTTTCCGTTTCGCCATCAGCAACTTCTGCTGCGGAGATAACAACGACTGTGGCTTACCGATCGGTGTTTTCGGCGACTGTTTCGCCGTTTGTGCCGGACTAGTTCCAGCCTTAACCACCTGCTTCGTTTGCGGACTGAGTACCGTGAATTTTGGTCTGATCTGAGTTACGTTTCCAGGACTCACCGAGTTACTTTGCGTGGTGACGGTCGTCGCGCGTTTTTGTAGCACCTGGCGCGTCTGCTGAGGCGGGACTTGTTTCGGGGCCGGCGCTCTGACCGGCGTGCGAATCGTCGATCCGATACCGAGAACGCTGGTCGGCGTCGTGGCGCGTAACGGCGGTCTCGGTAACAACGGGCGACCATCTGCGCTACGTTGGCCTGCAACAGGTCCAGGACGTATTCCTGTGCTTAGTCGCGGTTGTAAGGTTAGGGGGGCCGGCACCGCGGTCACCACGTGTATTTGCGGCAGCTGCGTCGGATCCGGTTTCGGTTGGATTTTTATAGGCTCTGTTTTTTGGGCGCCGCCCGGTTTACCCGCTACAGGCTTGGAAACTACTTTCATCTGTGTGACCACTTGGTTCCCGTCCATCTTCGAGACCACTTTAACCGGCGTGACCGAGTTCGACTGCGAGGCGGATATTACTTGCTTCCTCACTACGTTTGCGTTGTCACGATTTTGAACCATCAGAACACCCTGCGTGGTCGGCGAACCCTTTACGGCCAGTTTTCCGCTGGGAGACGAGTCCAACTTGATGATCCCGTCCTTCCGTGACATTACGTACACGCCAGACGTTAAGTTTGGCATTTGTTTCGGATCTACTTTAACGACTCCTTTCGCGTTCGCTACCAGGACCGGCGGTTGATTGGATTTCGCCCCTTCGGGAGACTGAAGTCCCAACGAAGTCGCAAGATCCGAGGACGAACCGCTCGCTCTATTAGAACCGTTTGATTGGACGTTAGCGCGATTAAATGCTTGTTGAATTACGTCGCTTCGACTCAACATTCTCTCTTCCTCGGACTCCCCGGTCCAATCCTCGTCGCTACCTGTGTCACCTTTGATTCGTTTTGCAGCACTGCTGCCACCGTCCTCGGAATCGCTCTCGGAATAGTCCATTCTTCTTTTCCCCAACACTAAGATAAAATACATGAATCTTATTTTGTTGCCAGTATATAGTTCTGTAATATATACGAAGCGCATGGAACATTCTACAGTGTTTACAAAATGCATTAAAATATACGTACAATCATTGTCTTCGTCTTTCATTGAACCGCACCATTGCTTCACTTGGTCCATGGCTTTTGATTTACTTGAACGCATTGGTCGCCTATATATTAGAATTTATCAAAGTATAATAATTGTTACGAAATGCAACCGAAACGTGTTCATGTTCATTGAGTAATAGGCAAAATCTAGTTGCCTTACCCTACTTGAGCTGCGGTACTTGGTCCAGGTTTTGCATCTGCTTTTATAACTGTTTTTTGAGCAAGATGGCTGCCCCTCCCAGCAGCTTTTGCGTTAGCCTGCTGTTGAGCCGCTTTCAATTCTTTTTGTTTAGCAAGATTTCTTTCAAATTCTTCTAATAAATGTTTACACGTAGCCACGTGTTCAGCAGGTTCCCATGTATTATGCTCGCTGTAATTATTTAATGTCGTAATTGCTTAATTATATCTATGAATAAATAACTCTTCTATAAATTAAACTTACTGTCCATATCCTTCCCATTTCAAGAGATATTCTGAACATCTTTTTTTTGGATTAAAACGCTTTGCTAAAATTTTTTCTACCGTATATTCTTCGTCACTTGAGTCCCTATCTTCGTCACCAGCTTTACTTGATTTACCCTATAACCCATCGAATAAATTATTAGTTTTCGCGAATAAGAATGAAAATGCGGATCATTCGATCGATGAAACAATGCAAATAACCTTGGGTTTTATAGAAGGTTTCAACTTCGGCTTTTCCTTCTTCTCTCCTTCTGTATCAAAAGATTCGTTACTTTTTTTATTCTTTGTTTCCGAACCCTTAGTATCCTTTTTGGCGTCAGATTCTTCGGGTTGTCCATTTCTAATAACCTTACGTACAACTACCGGCTTTCCTACGAAAGCACGAAACAATTAACTCCAGTATACTTCATATTTAAATTACGTCAGAATAATTTTTCACGCGATATTCACCTTCTGCATTGGTACTCGTTTGATTTTGTCTTGGTGCATCCTGCATCTTTGCATTACTGATTTTTGTAAACGTTTGAATGGTCTTCCCGGCCGCGATCCAGGAATCCCTTATGTGCGTTTCCATTTTGCACCATTTCTGATAGAGCTTCCACGAGTTTGTGGAGTCTTTATCCGTACCTTCTTGTTGAATTTGAGAATCTTTCCATAAAAGGAAAGCCCAGACTTGTGCTTTTTGTTCATTCTATACAAAACATTTATAAGATAAAAACAATTTCTTTTATGCCGCTATCCTTCGATGTTAACATTTATAGAATTTTCGGAATGTTACTAACATTACTATTTTCACGAAAATGCGATACTTGAGTACAAGCGCCTTCCTTTGTACGGTGCTCTTGAAATTCCTCGATAAAATGAAAAACTGAATGGCACTGTCCACATACAAGAACGTCTAACCTTCCCATTTCTTCTTGTGCAGCTAATAACATAAAAGAATCTTATTAAAAATGATAAGATGAAATAGAAATTATAAAAAAATTTTCCTGCATTTACAAATAACATTGAAAAGGGTCGGTAGATCAGGTTCCCTGATTCTATATACCAGTGAATTACCGACTTGTTTACTATATAAATATACCAAATATTAATTAGAAGACTGTTCAAAAGAACATGTTTATACAAGTTTCAGATTTTAATAATCTCCTCTGTTCCTTGATAAATATCATAAATTCATAGTTAATTGTGCTCCCTTGTTTACAAATTTTAAATGTGTATCAACCTTGATAAATCTCTTCGTAGAAGAACAATGTAAATAAAGATTAACAGTCAATATAGAAACCTTATGACATAGGTGAACTATAAATATTACCTTTAATAGCAGTAGGATTGCTACTGATGGCTGAAGGGCCATCGCCTCCCTCCATTTTGTTTAATACAGTATTTGAGTCTCTATCCGTAATGTTTCTTTCTAAAAATTAAAATAAACTTATTCTTTAGGCTACGAAACTTTGCATACATTACATAACGAAACATGTAAACACTAATAAGGTGCGTGATTTAATTATTTAAAAACTATACAAATATTTGTTTTCTTTTGAACAATTATACAAATATCATATCACGAATTTAAATTTCACTTGTTGACGATACATTTCACACAGTGAACTAAAATTTTAATAAAAAAAATCGGTAAAATGGATTGATAAATAAATTCGTATGCAAGAAAATCAAGCGACGGGAAATTATTTGCAACAAGATCAGTAACGTTTATTGTATACGTGGTGAAACGAATGCCACGCGTTTAATTTATATTAGTCGAGCGACGCGTCGGAAAATTTGAATAATATAAATATTTCGAGAGGTATAAAAAATTCGGTGAAAAAAGCATGTTCTTTCAATCAACTATGCTAAAAATAGTCGACGCATTATTCTCGTATCGCGGTACGAACGCGTTAGGAAAAGAATGTAACATTCGTATTTCAAAGTTTCGCGGGTTACGGAAAAATTTACAGGCAACATGCCGGTGGAAATCGAACTGCGAACATTTTTTAATAAGACACCACTGCCGTTGTTACGGTGTTTCGTAGGTTCACTGCACGCACACACACCGCTACCGTTGTTAATTTCGCAAACCGCCAGCGATCCCGGCTGCTAACGCGAAGCGTATACAGCGAAACTTTTTATTTAAACCGAAGAAATTCCCGCATAAACGGTAAGACAGTCAGAGCACACAGCATGGAGTCATTGTAAACGCGGCCAGTGGCGTAAGTTACCAACGAATAAAACTCACGGATAATTCGATCTTGTAAATAGTAGCCGGCTCACCCGTGAAAGATCGTTACCGATTAGAAGCGACTATTCTAACTGGATATAACACGGCCGTTCAGAATTTACAGAAACATTTAGAAACGATGCCATCACTGCCGCCACCGTGGTCACCGCCGCAGACTCGTCCTCTGTCTATCACGAGCAAGCCGATGCTCGTCAAGATGGCTCTCGTCGCGAAAACTCTCCCCGACTATTCACTTCCTGTCTACTCCATGAATATTTTTCGAACACACTTGTCCGTTACCGATTTCGACCAGACCGAGCCTGAAACCAATGATATCGACTTACGCCCGCTATACCGTGGAAAAATCAGACTTTCTTGATCTGGAAAATTGCCGTTGCCGCACGAGATGGGATGAAAACAGTGATCGCGTCTGACGACGGTGGCGCCATTACCGCCTACCCGCCACGGCACAACCTACCTTTTGGCGGGAAAATTTTACTCGTTAATATACCTTTCCGCTCTATTATCGACGATTTTTCTTCTATAGAATCGTGTCCCGCGTTTCGAATATCGTCTTTAAGATGCTTTGTTATAGAACAAATAAATAATTATGTCCTGAAAGATGATCGAATCGCGAATATTCTGTTATTGGCTTCGAATCTGCCGCTTTTATTCATCAAGTTCACCTATGTTCCGGCATTGGATTGAGTATAGAAAAGGCAAGTTTATGTTAATTAATGTCAAGACGATTTCGTAAATAGTCATTGGTTATTGCGCGCAGTTTTATGAACTGTACATGATTAATTGTTCTTTCCCTTAGATGTTCCCTGTTTATAAGCCAACGGCTTTAATTTTAATTTACGACGAGCTTATTTTGATTCGGAAGGGAAAATTTCGAATAAAAGATTCTCGTATCGACCAGACGCACGTTGTGAAAGTTGCATGCTAAGTGTATGCATATTTATGTGAATTAATTGTATTTTTTTAAATAACTTCCAATTTAATTAGGATGTTAGAATTGTTTTAACAATCTTAAACGACTATGAGGTTTCTTTCGATTGTAATATTGACATGTCATTCTCAATGTCGATGATATAAACAACATTAACCTAATTTGTTACGATTTAGTCTATAAACAGCCATGCTCTCAAACATACACGTAAAAATAATTAAACTACAGTGTTTGGATTAAGTAGACTGTATCATTCCTTGTAGATTTTAATTAAAAATTGAATAATGGCTGATGAAGAAGAAGAGAAGGAATACCGGTGGGAGACTGGTTATGAAAAAACATGGTACTAATTCTAATAGAATCATAAGTATTTCATTTTGTTCCAAGTTCAGTCACAAATCATACAATTAATTTTTGTGAATTCTTTGTAGAATAATGAACAAGTTATTTTATTGTAAATAAAGTATCAACCCTTAATTGGTAATGTGGAGTATTTCAACATCCCAGTGACTACATTTATTTTATTTATAATCAATATTCTGCTCCATTATTTTGTGTAATTAATTACATAAAATAAAGATAATTATATTTGGAAATTGATGCTTCTTATTTTATATTTTATATACATTTTCAGAATACACAGAATATCATTTAAGGGTTAAAAAACAATCTACCAACAGAGTTGTACAAATTTTACATCCATTTGTAAACTAAACTCCATTTACAATTCCATTCTATGAATTAAAAATATTTATTTATGATTTGTAAATAAAATTAGGTATGGTCATAGTTAGAAATTTCATGCATTCTTCTTTATATCGAGTATGAGAACATAATTTTTCATTAAGGGAAGCGCTTAAGGAAGATGACCATGGATTACTGGAAGCATCTATCGCTGATATTATTCACAATGCTAAGAGGAAACGTCAGATGGATAAAAAAATTGGTGCCAGATTGGGAATGATGAGACATGTCTATATAATCCTTGATGCTTCGGAAGCAATGTCCAATCAGGATTTAAAACCAACTCGTTTTTTATGTTCATTGAAGGTGCATGATAATAATTTAATTTCAATTTGATATCAACTATATTTTTTATTCATTATTTCAACATGCCATCTATTTCCAGCTTTTGGAGGATTTTGTCGAAGAATTTTTTTATCAGAACCCCATAAGCCAGTTGGGAATAATTCTTACAAGAAATAAAAGAGCAGAAAAAATAAGCGAATTGGCGGGAAATTCTAAGAAACACGTCAAGGTAAATTCATCTGAATTATAATTCTATTATTTTCTTCTCTAAATATCATTGTTTCTCTTCCTTTTCAGGAAATAAGAGGCATGCAACAAATTCAGCCAGCTGGCGAACCGTCGTTACAGAATTCACTGGAGCTAGCTTTGAAGTCTTTACGGCTTTTACCGTCGCACGCCAGTAAAGAAATACTTGTAATCATAGGAGCACTCACGACGTGCGATCCAAGAGATATCAATGAAACTATACAAGTATGCACTATTGTGCGCATCATGATAATTACGTCGTAATAGTTATAACAACTGGCTATGGTTTCAGAACATGAAATCAGACTGTGTAAGGTGTAGCGTGATAGGATTGGCCGCTGAATTGTACATTTGCAAAAGAATGGCGACGGCAACTGGCGGCGAACATGGCGTTGCGCTTGATGATAAACATTACAAAGAGCAATTGAACATGCACATAGATCCACCGCCAGCCGCAACGAGATTGGACGCTGCTCTTGTAAAAATGGGCTTCCCGCATCATGCTTTGCATTCTTCCACGACCGACACGTGTATGGCAGTGTGCATGTGGTATATAATTTTTAGATTATTTCTCCCCCCGAAGGAATCAATTTTCCATTGGTATACGAAGTATATTCACTTTTGACGGTAACAGCAAGAAAATATTTTTTCCAGTCATGCGGAAAGCGCAGACGAGTCTGTTAAACTTACGAGCACAGGATATCTTTGTCCTCAGTGTCTAAGTAAACATTGCGAGCTTCCCGTAGAATGTAGAGCGTGTGGACTTACTTTGGTATCTGCTCCTCACTTGGCTCGTTCGTATCATTATTTATTCCCTGTTGAGCCTTTTAGAGAAGTACCATTTACTGGGGCTTGTTCAACTTGTTATGGTTGCCAAAAAATTATCACGCAAAAGGATAAAAAGGTATGCATTGAAAAATATATATATATATGTATACATAATATAATTGAAAACCGTATTTATTTCCAGGTATACATTTGCAACAAATGTAATCAAACATTTTGCTTAGACTGTGAAATATTCATCCACGAATCTCTACACACGTGTCCGGGCTGTGCTACAAATCCAGATACATATCAAAGATCCATGAACAGAACTTAATTAACTCTATGTATGTAGAATAAAATTAATAGTTTTAATTATTTTATACCAAATACTTGAACAGGAAATATAGTCATTCATGACCAGTTCTATGCACGATAAACTATTACATCGTAGAACTGGCCCATTGATACTTTTATACAAAAAATCGCCCCTCGTTTAAGAGGAATAAACGAACGAAAAGACAATAATAATGGATAAATGTTTATTCTTCTCTTTACAGAAACCATTTTTCATCGAACACGTACTTACACAAAATCAAACAATTTATTTATTACCCGATAACAAAGTTATACCGCGGTATGCGAGTTCAACTAATAAATGACGCGTATCATTTTAATAATATTCGATAAGGTGATAATTAATTATCAATGAATCTTGCAAATTTTCTAAAAAAAAAAAAAATGTTTACGATCTTTTCGGTGTGAAATTTCGTGTTTGACGGTAATCGCGACGAGATATCCGCCTAAGCGAAAGGAAAACAAAAGAGTAGGAGTTGTTTGTATGGATTTAAATGATACGTGGACTTCTTTCCCCCAGGCGGAGAACTTGAAGTTTTTTCAAGCGTTAACGCGGCCGCTTTAAAATCATGGTGGGAGGTGATTGAAGTTTATTAGCTAGCGGACAGGTAGAAGCGAGCATCGTTATATTAGAGCACATTATTAGTTTGCGATCGTACTCCGGTGCGACCGGTTCCACGGTGTCGACCTACTTCCGATTCAGTTACGTATGTCCATCCTGTCTGGATAAAGTGTCTTTGTGCGTGAGACGTTTTCCCTTGCGACACGCATCTCCGGAATCAGGTAAGACCACATTGTACGCGCCGTTACGGACACATTTATGCGAAATCGAGTAACAAAAATCCAACAGGGCTTTTTTTAACATTCCCTGTGTCTCGTTTAAAAGTTTCCGCGACCGGACAAGCAATATTAAATAATTGAATGTATCTTTTAAAAAAATTATAGTATAATTTCAGTAAACCCAATGAGTATTCCAAATCTTTAGTATTTTTACTGGCAATTGTTTCCAGTATACCTTATATACGTTTTTATTGGAAAGTCGCTTGGTCATTATTTGTTTGTCTTTTTTATAGGTAAACTTTAACGCAACAGTAATGTTTCGCAGGCTAGTGTACACAAACACACGTGCTCGTGTGCATATGTTAAGTGTCGTACGTGTGCATACATTGCTATAATTCGTAGCAAAAATGGTCAACTCTCAAAAGCGAAATATTTTATTGGTTCGATAAAAATATTCATACAACGATAAGTCAAGTGCGTTTTTAGAATTTGCAAATTAGTGAAAGTACTGGAACTGTTAACCGTAATATTAAGAGCGGTAAAAAATAATTGAAAACTGAGCATTTTGAAATTTTGAACAATTTCACCGGTCTATCATTGTGTGTTGACGGCCTTAATTATGCAACCAAACAAAAAGGCGATACTGAAATAAATTATTTTTCTATCGAGCCCGAAAGTTTTCTAGAAAAACAATATATTCGTTGACCTTTTTTTTTTTTACGGAAAATATGTTTCAATGAAATTTTTTTTTTATTAACACGATTCCATCTAAACGGCTGAATAGATCATATTTTCATCCCAAGATTTAATTAGATTTTTACAATTTTTAATTAGATATTCAAGTGCTCGAAACAAAATGGAATTAAGCAAACGAAATATGTACGAAAGTATAGATTTGCTTAAATAATTAATTTCGCCCATTGAGATAGCGTTAAAACGATGTGTCTGTTGATTTATTACAATTGTGCTGCGCGGGCACTGAAAGAATTCCTTTCTCTTTCATTATTGCTTTCAGGCCGCGTAGCAATAAACTGGTTGCGTGTACAACATTTGATATCCTGGCAAGGAGAAATATCTCAAAAAGGGAGTCTTGCAAGAGAATTAGTCTTACGACATTTTCCTGCGACTTCGTAACTTTTCCTCGCCGCGGTGTAACGATAATTTACCATTCCTAGAACGAAGCAAGTTTATCCCCGTGCTCGTTCTACTCGCGACGTTTCAAGTTTACGTTCAATTCTGTTCCCTTTTTCATACCTCGTGTTTAACGTGCTCGATATCGTGTCAGCAGGTATTTACACGATGCACGTGTATGGCATAAAAGTATCTGAACGCGTCTCGTGATTTATAATGGCCACGGAAGTAAAAATATATCCAGTTCCTGCTTTTAGCATAAAATGTCAGATTCGTTGATTTCAAGGATCAACGAGTAACGAACCGACGTTACACGGTCACGTGATCGAAACATAGTAACTGTTCCTTCCATACGTACACTCGTACACGAAAGTATTTGAACGCTTGCATTTATAACATACGACTTATTCGATTAATAATCAGCAACGCAAGTCTATACGTATTTCTTTCTGGGACTGATCAGCCCCCATTGATTCAAATTGTGATCCAGTTTACAAATAGTTTACAAGAAAATTACAAGTTGCGTGACTCACTCTGTACATTATCTAATTTCGCTTATGTAGTCTTAGGTCCCATCCCTTGTTATATGTAATCATATGGTATCAAATGGTTCGGTGTATTTTATTAGTTGAACGGTGTAAATGTAAGTGGTCGAATATTTTCACGGATGAGTGTATGCAACGAGATTTGTATACATAGAGAAAAATTACTGAGACAATTGTTGGTTAATCGGTACGACGGGGTCTAGCATCGTGCGCTTGTTATTCGCTTCGATTGTTGTTTAAATATTATGTTTTTATCGTGCAGTTGTTTTGAAAAAGCTTTCGACGATCGGCGCGATGCGTTCGTGTATGAAACATTGTCGAAGCGTGTCGGAAATAAGAATAGTAGGAGGGATAATGGATTTAGTCCAGTCTCTATAATCCGGATTTTCGTTCAGCTCTGATGATTTCATTGTTAACAGAACTAAATCGAAGCAATTCGGTAGTTCGATAATTAGTTTTTCTTTAATTAAGTTTAATCGACGAAATTTTATTGCAACATCTACCAAAGGTGTGGAAAGACACTTTGTAAAGTTTCATAATTATTTCATAATTCGTGTGGATGTGTGCTATGCTTATTTCATTTTTTGACTTTGAGGAACAAGGAATAATTACTTTCTAAATTCCGCAATTCCATGTAACTACGTTCAAAGTATTCTTAACCTTCGAATTCTGACTCATGCCTTTTCTTAGGTTATTTTACTACAACGTACTCCGGACATTTATCCCAAATAATTTGCAAACTTACTTTTATTACTATTCATTGGTTCCGTTCACACCGCCCGGTTCGCACGTGTCCCACAATTACCCATTGTAATTCAATGGCGAAGATTCGAAGCGGCGTGAAACGGAAAGCTCAACGTGGGGAGCATACAACCCACGCGACAGGGAACGCGTTAACCGTCTAGTGACAAAATCACATTTATTGGCTTCTGGTTTTCAAGCTATCATCCCGTAAAACATGTTGTCGGCGTAAAAGTCAATGCTGTACAGTAGTCTTTACGATACAGGAAGTTCGTAAATGTCTTCAGACATCAAAGCAGATATGTAACTTTGTATACTGGTAAGTTTCGATAACTCTTTTAGCCAGAGTACATAACATATTATTGTCAGAGACCCAATATTTTTCGGGACAAATGCGTAAAAATCAATCAGTATACGCAGTTACAGTTAAATTGGCGGCTCGAAGGTCATGCACTTTGCTCGTGACATAAACAGACGCGAATTAGGACTCGGATCACGGTCAGGACTGTAGGAAGAAATTTTTCACCCAGCGTCAATTTATCTACCTCGGAATTATTTACGAGATTGAGTATTATTAGTTATTGTTCTTGTCTACTTACTATGTACTTACGATATATGAAATCAATGTCTATGGCGCATATGCACGTTTGCAGGACATCGGCGGAGAAGCGAATCGCCGAAACGCGTCGAAGAGTGTCATGTTCGGTGATTGTTAAAATTGGTAATTGGCCCGCGTGCATATTGTAAATAAAGGGATTATATCGTGGATGGTTCGAGGGGAATCGTGCAATGGGGACACGGCACTACGATGTGTCGCCTTAATTGGTCTGTAACCTTGTCGCGTTGACCAGTCGCCGGTAGCACACATTTTGTTTGGCTCCCCTTTATGCCAATGTCACTGGAGATCCGTAAATTTCGGTCGAATGCTCGTAAAACCGGTAAGCAATTTTCTCGGATAATTAGATCCACGTCGACTTAAAAATACGCCAAGACTCGTGCGACGTATTGAAAACCATATCCGGTTACTGTCATACTCTGACTTACGTCGTTTCTCACTTACGTATACATACACAACAATACGCCAAACTATCTTTTAACACTAGGTTTAAATGCTCGTAAATCTAATGCAATGTTAATATAAATAGATATATGTTAAATCTGTTTCAAAGGTGGAATAAACATCGAGACAGTCAAGTGGTCGATGAATATCAGAAGAACAACAACCTTAGGAATGTTTTATATCTGTATTTTTAACATTATCTTATACATTGGTTGTTAATTTCAAAGATAATGGTTCCTGATCGTTGAATTCAATTGATTTTTGTTTATTTAATAATTTACATATATGTATAATCGCTTGCAGCGTTCATATGAATTGAATTATCAAGATACTCGAATGAAACGATAGCTACGTGTACGAAGTAAACGTCGAGGATATTCCTACGGTGTGTTACTTGTATAAACTATTATTTTTCATTCTTGATATTTCGTTTGTCGCTCGGTCACGAAATCGTCAGATTATTTCGAACATGTAATAACATTAATATACATTGTACATGATAGGGACTCGAGGCTGCGGAAAATAATCGAGGTTAAGGAACGAGCACCGAGCAAGAATGATTTCACTTTTGTCCAAGCTTTTGCAGCGGCGATAAAATATAATTACTCGTAAAATGCATCGACGAGGAAACAGAAACCCAACGCATTTTCCTCCATTATGGCAATGATAATTACCTCTAATTATGGAAACGCCTGCATCGCGAATATCGGGCAATTATAGCAAAGTATCGTGGAATCTTACCTACGGTCGTGCCACGTGTGTGGTTAGAATATATTTTTTCTGCTAGGAGGGATTCCCCCGCGTAAAACATTGAATACGTAACGACGAGTCCATTCTTCTTTTCAATTACCGATCACGATCGCTGCTTAAAGAGATCAAGGTAAATAGCGAAGACGTAAACGACCAGGGAACCTTGGGGATCATACGTATCACATACATACATTCAGATAATTTAATTTAACAATCCCCGATAGTCTAAATAACGATGTATACCAATTTAATTAAATACACGATAGTAGAGACCGTTAGTAATACATTGATCTCAGATAAGTAAAAATGTATTATGGTATCAGTTTTATGAGAGCTACTTAAATTAATATTCTTGTTTACCACGAGCGAATATACTTATACCAGTTTCGAGCACCTATCGCTGTGCAAAATTCTATAGAAAAATAGGCGTCGCACGTGGGTAGGTTTTTTTTTGTAAGTGAACCACGAAACGGTAAATTCCTAGAACACCAAACTCCCTTTCTAACTATCGCAGATTCTAAAAAGCCAACACTACAGAGTTGATTACGACGTAGACACGTAGACGAGAAGCAATTATTTAGATCTACACGCGCAAGAATTTCACAATATTGTCCTCATCTTGAATGATTTAATGGCCGTACAATTAGCGTAAACATCCTTGATGCCGTCCTAAAAAAAATATCTCGGACAAAAGAAACTCTCCGGTATCCGGAAGAGAAAACGGCGAACCGCGATGACAGCATGCCCGTTATTATGCTAACAGGCTGATTTACATTGTCAACGTCTTTTATCACATAATCCTTTGATTGCTGCGCGTTTTAACTGAAAACCGTCCGCTGTATGCAACATTTTAGTCGCGAGACGGTGAATTAACTGAGATAACGCTAGTGCTTCTATTATTTATTTTAATGTTTTAGGAAAAATCTCTATTAGCATTATTTCTACCAAAGGTGTCGGAGGATACCTTCTCGCCTAAATATCTGAACAGACCGTTTTGTTCGTACTTTGTTTATTAACGTGAAAGTTTAATTTGTCTGAAGCAAAAAGGTAATTTTTTTTTCTTCATCTTTGGTCGTTTACGAAATATCGTCGATTTGCCATTTAAAAGGAGCATAATGTACACGTAGCTTGCAAATGAGAAACTAACGTTTCCCGCAGCAAAAGTGTTGATATCCCGTTTCTCGGGAAATTAGCCTTGATCGCCGTGGTTTCCTACGCCTGCACAGACGTGACGCGCTCTATCGCGTAAAAACGTTCTTGAACGTAATTTCGTTGCATGATCGACGACTCCGAGAGGAAGAAAAAAAAAAATAGAAAGATCTTACCGGTTAGCACATAAGTACTTGTGCAACGAACATTCTGACACCGTGGAATAAATCAATCATAATGTAATTCGCGTCCGCGGTGTCGATACTTTCTTGCGATAATCTTACGCTTAAGAACATTAAGCACTTTCGTTTCTCAACGTTAATACGATTGTTTATGCAAATGTTGCAAACACAAATTACTCGTAAATTTTCCACTATGTAAAAAGAAATGAATTAGTCTGAAATTAAAAGGTTTCGAAGGGGACATGGTTTGGAATAACTATTTGTGTTTTTTTTTTAGATGGTCACGTAAGGTCCACCACTCGTTTCTGGCTGTCTTTGGAAAATTTAACTTTATATTCTCTGATAATGCGTGAAGCAACAGTGTATATAGATATAGTTGAACGTATGTCAATAAGATTATCAAGAACCGACACGTGGGTGGTTTAATCGTTCAATAATGCAATTCACACAAAATGAAACAGGCATGTCAACAGTGGAACATATTTTTGCCCGAGGACCAATTTGCATGAAGGATTCATTATCATGTCGGCGAACCGTAGCAATGCAACCATTTTCTCCACAGTCAAAAATATTTTAACCCTCTGTTATTCTGCATGATTTTAAAATCATATACAATAATGAGAAGACGCTAAAAATATATATATTTAATAAAATAATTAGAATTATATTTAACGTAAGGGATAAGTATATGATTTGAGTAAGAAACTATTTTTTATCGCGTTTTTCAATGTGCATCGTTCGAAAGAAAACGATCAATAAGGATAATTATCGAAGCTGTCAAGAGTTTGTGATTTGTGTTATCTATCATCGGAATTTTCTACCCATATCATCCTCTCGTATACTAATCCCTATTCGTTAGTTTCAAAGAATAGATAATGCACGATAACAGGCACGATCGTGAAAATTTATTAATCTGTCGCGTTGATCGTCCCATCTATTAATTGTCGAGCTTTGCTTTTACACAATTGGTGTTCCCTCGTTACGACGAGGCGTCATTATTATCATAAACGGTGTTTAATATTTACACGCGTCTATCGTGGAGAAATGCATAAATATAGAATATCCTACGCAACCGGGAAAAGCTGTATCTCTAAAACGATACGTTTCTGAGCACCACAACCATTCTAATTATATTTAATAAATAAAATAAACATAATTACTTTTTCGTTAAACAGTTAATCTTACACTGATCGATATTAGACCTAGACTCATGTTTATAAACATTCTAATAGTGCAACAAAAATTATAGAGTTTCGTTTAAAAAGAGGATGCAGTGCACTTTTTAGACTCGTATGACTTTTTTTGTATTTGTAATCGCTTTAGTGATACAGCCTTTATCGGTTACGTGTGACATCTTGTATTATTTATTTTATATTAACTTGTTGCCTCGGCCTATCGCGTAGATCGATCAACAGATATATCGAACAAATGAAAAATGAGATGTCAAATCACGGGTACGCTCCAGTGCTGTATAATCAGCACTCTTTGTAAAGTGATATCGCGATAGTCATGCACAATGGTTATCGGCGTGCAGAACTCCGTACTACATTGTTATCTAAATCCTTTTTCTCTGCTCTTGATTTGTTGTTTTAATGAAACTTACTCGAGATGAGATAGTAACGACGACTCTAAAGAGAGATGGGTTTCGATGGTACTGGAAGTATATTTGTAATGCGTCCAACGATAAAAAGATAGTAAATATTCCACTTAGTCGGTCTATTTATTTAATTAGGAACGATAAATTGTAGCGCTTAAGTCGTAAGATATAACGGGTGGCCATGTTAGGAACATCGATCATATCAACACTTTGACGGCCGCTGTCACGTATATGTGACTTTGAGAGCCAGCAGACGTCGGCCACTGTCACGTGCGCGTGATCTACTGTATCAGTTACCATTTCATTAAAGTGTTTAACTGTTTAATTAAAATAACCGAAACTAAGAATATAAATATTAATTGAACGTCTTCTAACATACCTTTTGACGCCTAACAGTTATAGCTAAATTTTAAATAAAAAATGCGAGATAGATAAGATTCAAGAAGCAAATGTAATTAGATTCCACAGAAATTGTTAATGATATAAATCGTCGCGTGACGATATCAGACCGTAGATCGGAGATTGATCAAGATGTTCGATCGCACCTGGCATATTTATCAGACATAACACCTTCAGACTATGTACCGTGCCACTTTCTTCGATCGATGCAGCACACTTTGTTTCGCGAATATTTTTTCAAAGAGACACTATACTAGAAACCTCGTATCGATGATCAGTCGACACAAAATTGTAATAATAGAAATTAGCAAAAAATTTTTTATTAAGAAAAAATCAGTCTTCGATTTGTTGAATAAACGTGCATAGCTTTTTTGTGCGTCGATCGAATTGGGTGTCCGATTATGGTTTTTGGAATTTTGTTAAACCTGTTTTCAGAGAAGGGAGAAGAACGTTAAATTAAAGGTGGCTCGGCATGGCGAGTCGATTGTGGAGGGCACTGTCCCGAAGACGGATCGAGGAGAATCACGAGAGCAAAGGGGAGTTGGCTCGTGTTTTGGGTCTGTTCGATCTGACTGCCCTTGGCGTTGGTTCCACCCTCGGTCTCGGCGTTTACATACTCGCTGGCAGCATCGCCAGAGAGACAGCTGGCCCAGCTGTTTGTATCTCCTTCCTCATAGCCGCCATCGCTTCCGCATTTGCCGGTACAATTTTTATTTATCGTCTAGCTCGACAACTTTATACATCAAGTAAAAAGAAACAAAGAAAATGTACTGTGCAATGCTGAAAAGTTGGCACTTGGAAACACTCTAACAAAAATCTATATAATCTGTATAATAGAGCGTCCTGCATAATTTTTCTAATGAGTTATAGTCTGGTCCAGTTACTGAATACTAGAGGTCCCTAATTCACTCTATCTCTGCTAAATGCACCCAGTGCATTGGTCTATGTACGAGTAAAGGAAACGTTCGTTTGAATTTCAGGAATGTGCTATGCCGAATTCGCTTCCAGGGTCCCCAAGGCAGGATCGGCATACGTTTACAGTTACGTGACAGTGGGGGAGTTCGTTGCTTTTATCATAGGATGGAATTTAATTTTGGAGTACGTGATCGGTGCGTAAATTGATTAATTTGATAAACCCATAGGAATCGTACGGATCCATCCAACACGACGCGTCAAGTTCGCTTGTTTTGATGTTCAGGTACCGCGAGCGTTGCGCGAGGACTTAGCAGCTACCTGGACGCGTTAATAGGAAACGTGATAAGCAAAACGCTTCATTCGGTCATGCCTATTCACGTTTCGTTTCTGTCCGACTATCCGGATTTCTTCGCTTTCGGGGTAGTGGTACTGCTTATAGTCTTGTTGAGCATAGGAGTGAAAGAGTCCTCGATCTTGAACAATATATTCACCGTTGTGAATTTAATTACCATCGTCATCATTATAGTCGCAGGGTCCATTAAAGGTAAGAAAGAAATCAACAAACTGATTTTTTATGCAACTTATTTTGTTTGAATTTTTAGCGGATCCTGCGAATTGGAGAATACCGATAACTGATATACCGGACACGGTAAAACATGCAGGATCGGGAGGATTCATGCCATTTGGCATAACTGGTGTGATGATAGGCGCGGCCAAATGTTTTTACGGTTTCGTAGGATTCGATGCTGTGGCCACTACCGGCGAAGAAGCTAAAAATCCTCAACGCAACATACCTATAGCCATCGTCGTGTCCTTAGTTATAATTCTGTTGGCCTATTTCAGTATTTCCACCGTGCTGACTATGATGTGGCCTTATTACGATCAGGTACACGGGTGCCTTTTTCAACTCTTTGTCAACCTCAGATGTTTCATGGGATATTCTAGAGGTCAAAATACGACGAAAATCAAGAATACCAATTTGTCGATGGAGGCTTCCTTAAAAAGTTATTAACAATTAAATTCAAAATTTTCAAATCGTTTAAAAAAAATTATTTTCGGTTGCGGGGGTCAATTACAATCATTTTTGGTCATTACACATACCCCCGAAATCCTACCCACTTTCTAGAAAAAAATTCGAGAAAGTGTGAAATTTTTCGACCGGGAAAAAAAATGTCAAATCGTTTTGGAAAAATTATTTTCGGTTGCGGGGGTCAATTACAATCATTTTTGGTGAATACACATACCTTCGAAATCCTATCCACTTTCGAGAAAAAAAATCGAGTAGGTGCTGAAATTTTTCGGCGAAAAAAAATTTTTCAAATCGTTCCAAAAAAATTATTTTCCGTTGCGGGGGTCAATTACAATCATTTTTAGTGAATAGACATACCCCCGAAATCCTACCCACTTTCTACAAAAAAATTCGAGAAAGTGAAATTTTTCGATCGGGAAAAAAAATGTCAAATGGTTTTGAAAAAATTATTTTCGGTTACGAGGTTCAATTACAATCATTTTTGGTCATTACACATACCCCCGAAATTCTACCCACTTTCTAGAAAAAAATTCGAGAAAGTGTGAAATTTTTCGACCGGAAAAAAAATTTCAAATCGTTCTAAAAAAATTATTTTCGGTTGTGGGGGTCAATTACAATCATTTTTGGTCATTACACATACCCCCGAAATCCTACCCACTTTCTAGAAAAAATTCAGTACTAGCGGAACTTTAAACGTTAATAACTTTTTAACAAAGCCTCCATCAACAAATAGGTATTCTTGATTTTTGTCTTATTTTGGCCTCTAAAATCGATGGACAGAACTTGCAGGAGAATCTAATATTTTATGTTTAGGATGTCGACGCGCCGTTTCCGTACGTATTCGATCAAATCGGATGGCCAACGATCAAGTGGATCGTTAATATCGGAGCAGTGTTTGCATTATGCACAAGTTTACTCGGCGCAATGTTTCCCTTGCCACGTATACTTTACGCCATGGGCAGCGATGGGATAATTTTTAAACGACTAGCAATGGTACATCCGAAAACGATGACACCTATATTCGGAACAGTGGTTTCCGGTTTATTCACAGGAGCCATGACACTCATATTTAATTTGCAACAGCTAATAGACATGATGTCTATAGGCACTTTATTGGCATACACTATAGTGGCAGTGTCTGTTTTAATATTGAGGCAAGTGCAATAAATATTACTAATATAATACCAAGCAAAATATAAAAAATAAATTGAACACATTTACTATCATTAGATATCAAGGGAAAGAATGTACATCTAACAATCATGCTATGACTACAATGAATAATTACGAACTGACACCAGTCAGTGTCTTAAAGCAAATGTTCAATCTGCACAATCAAAAAGAGATAAATGAGATCTCTACGAAAATTGCAAAATACGGTATTGCGATATTGTGTAAGTTATATCACTCAAATTCTTATTCAGAGTTTCTAACATGGCCGATATATACTTTTATATAGTGTCTTATTGTTATTGCAGGTATTATGGTATTTGTTATTGCGTTATTTATTAATAATGTAGGCGCAAATGCCTTTGGCAATAATCTAATAGAGACTGTGATACTAGTCATACTTGTGATAATATTATTATTGAATTTAGCGGCCATCGCGAGACAACCTGTTCAAGAGATTGAAGTAGCATTTAAGGTACATAGGCTAATTTGTTTCCATAATGAATGATGAATAAAATCTCTCTTTAGCGATTTTTTCACCAGCGTTACTCTTATTTCTAGGTACCATTAGTGCCACTTCTCCCATGTTGTAGTATTTTCATAAATTTATATTTGATGTTGCAACTAGACGCTTTTACGTGGATCAGATTTTCCATTTGGATGCTTATTGGTACGTATCTATGAAATACTGATAGCAATTGAAAAAAAAAGAAACAAAGCAAATTAAACGTAAGTACAACTTTGTTGTTAATTGTTATTGTATTCCGTACAGGTTTCAGTATTTATTTCCTTTACGGAATATCACACAGTGAACAAGGACAAAGAGACAAAGTGGAAGCTGAAATGATAAAAAGGAAATATACAGATCAAGTAAGAGTTGTAACTATATTCTGATAATCAATTTGTAATATGTGATATTTGGTATGAATGTAAAAACAAAATCTTCTCGGAAGAAATCTTAGGTATTACAGAAGTGATTATCGTTTCGGTGTCAAAATACGATTAACTGTATTATTTATATTAGCACGTCACTAGAAAAAAAGGACATTAACATTCCGACGGTATAGAATATTTTTACGTATTATTACTAAAAAGCAGGGCTGAATAATAGGTTCCGAAAATAATGATTTCAAATCGTTATATAAGTTGAAGTTCTTGCATTAGCTCTCATGTGAACTGAATCTATACACACAATATAAATATTTGTCGTTTACTGTTTTCGATTGATCAGATAAAACCTATATGATGCAAGAACTTTAATTTAAACCAATACAATCCGAAATTTGGATTCTTCGTGACAGTTATTCGGAATAAAAAGTTTTTCATAGCTGCTTCAAAAACCTAAACCTGTATTATAATAGTTTTCAAGCCCTGCTAGAAAGTGAAATACTTGTTATCATAAACTTTTAACACGCTAGTGAACAGTGATCGTTTTTGAACATTACATCAATCCATCCATAAATTATTGCGCGTCATAAAGTTAATTCATTAAATCTTATAAATATACTCACAACATTATTCCGTTAAAAAAAAAAAAATCTGATCCACTATATATATAGAATATAAGGATCGTGTAAAATTTGTTTGTTCCTTTTTATATTTATACATATATTGTAACATACTGATATAATGTACATATTTCTTAAACAATTTTATTACGTTTATTGATTGTTCAAGTGCCGCTGGCGCTAATGAAATATATTGTTTTATATTATATTGTCGTGTATTTATTTCAGATAGTTCGAAAATTATTTATTAAAAATTAATAGAGCAAGTTTTAATAAGTTTTTAAACATTTTTATTTTTAAACCTTTCTCGATTATGATAATATAAGGATGTTTATATTTTTAAATAATAATTTTGACACTTAGGCACACTGTAATATAATGTCGAATTTTAATCAGATTTATTCGTTCACATAATTTAATCAAATCTTGAAAGCTATTTTAATACATATTTGTCAACGAAACATATACATTAAATAGTATAGGCAGTCGTGTGATAAGAATACATTATCAACAGAGTAAAGCTTAATATAAAACAAATATTTATAAATTATACATCAGCAATAGTGTTTTAAAAATACTACCTAAATATAGCACAATTATTGTTGTAAATATTTACGATATCCTGTATTTATAGTTTCGAAAATATAAACGTTTGCAATTTTTTAATACTTCTTATTTTTTTTTTTTTTTTTAAATAAGACTACGAGTAGTAAATGTAAATGTATGGTTGTCGCATTACAAATATAACACGAAATTGATTCATTACAGGAACACTTATTTAGCACGTTCTTTAAAAGGATCATTAAACGATTGATTCGATAAAAAAAAAATATACATATATAATTGGTAAATAATTAATGTGTTTAAAACATTTATAAATATCCATTTTCGTTCTCGACGTTAGTGGTTGTCACTAAATTTCGATTTTCTAAGCAACCTTCCTAACAATACACTTTTTTTTTTAATTGATTTGTAGTATAAGATGGAATACGTAATACATAGAAAGTATTAAAATAAAAATATGCACGATCTTTTGCTTTATCATGATTTTAATCTTCGAATACTTCCACTAGCAGTCTTTTATCATTCTAAAATCCCGAACTTTCTTTACTATACTGTAATAATCAAAATAATTTATTCATAGGCAAGGCAAGTGGTACGTACAATCAACTTATGCTTTTATAGTGGTATATGATTATTAAAAAATAAAATTAACCTTTCGTACTATTATTTTTTCTAACGTCGCTAGTATTATATATCCAATGCTTATGCAAATGCATATTATTTGGAATGTTTCGACGACAAAACAATACGGGACAATTTTACTACCAAATTTGATAAATAATCGTAAAAATCCTATAATTTTTAGTCGAGAAAAACATTCAGGGAGCTTTCATCGGGTTGAAACTCTCATGAAAATCATTGTCCGACGGTAGACAACAATCTTCGCGTGAAACTTGCAGTCACCAAAGTGTTAACAAAGAAAGAGCGAATTTATATTACATATTCAATTATTGTTACCGGTTTGTATACTTTAGACATCTCTTTCGTTCGTTAGATACGTCGTGTGTCAAGCTTTTACGCTATTAAATTGAGTTTAGTTGCGAAGCTAAGCCATATACATTATGGAAAATGTTTATGTCTCTTATATGCACATGCATTCACTTTCACGTACGAAAAATTTTCCTGTGGAAACAGAAAGCTAGAATATCACATTGCTAGATAGTTATACAATAATACTTTGTGTATCTTATTACAAGAATCTTCATTGATCGAAAAATGGATCGTTCATTTCATTTTATTTACAAGTCCTCCCACACTTATATATTGCCAATTTGCCTGTTAAAAGAGTAATCGTAACATTAAACGTGATTTAACATTACCATTGACCCGTGATAGAAATGATCGACTCACCCCAATACTGGTGACCCAACCAGTTCCGGCTGGATTCTGATCGGTAATTCCAATTCTACGGCAAAGTATTCCAGCTCCAGAGACCGCCCATACTTGACCTTGCTCTCTGGCAACGGCAACATGTCGAAAGCCTTGTTTCGCATTTATAACAGACATATCTAAGACAGACGACGTAGGATTACACACCGATTACGAGCGAATTTTATTTTACAATAACATGAAATAAAAAAAACAAACGAAAGAGAACATGCAGGCAAGATAGAAAAAATTAATTTGCAAGCTTACGGTAAACACATAACAAAATTGCAATTTATCTGAAAAAACACATGTGAACTAGAACGTGTATTGTCTACGTCGCAATCATAAACGCCTAAAGAATACCTATGGAAGAGGGGTCAGAGAATGTATCTAAATTAACAGGTGTGCTGTCTATGTCAGCGTTTCCCAACGCAGGGCTTTTTTTGAAGGGCATTCTGCGGAGTTTTCCAAGAAATACAGCTTTTTGGGGTTTCGTCTGACATTTGTCTGGAATTTTTTCAGAAAGCAATTAACTGGTGTATCTCTGCGAAATTGTTCAGCGCTATACAGACTATATGCGTCGTTTGCTAGGTCTGACCATTATCTAACTATACAGAGTGTTACGGATTTATGTGCCAAACTTTATCAGTACAGTCTATGAATCTAGATAAGAAAGGAATCCTATATAAACGCAAGTTTAAAGCTTTGTTACAAAACTATAATACTAAAATGTTTTCGAGATATTTAGATGTGAAATTTTCAAATGAACACTGATGAAAAATGATGAATGATGAATGATCGAACGTGAAATGACCCTATTATTGGACACTAAAAGGTTGGGAAACGCTGCTCCATACAATGAAGAATTTCAGACTTACCTATGTGAATAGGATCGTTTGGCATTGCAGGAAGTGTTTGCCAATGTGTTCCTTCCGGGAAAATGTTCGTTTGCACTTCACGGCGTACGGACAGTCTACCTGTTGTATCCAATGCCCACACTACATTTTTTCCTACAGAAATTTGTTTTAAATGAACGCCTGCCAACGGTTCGACATTTTGCCATTGTGCGCCTGTAAATTTTTAATAACAATTTATGAGAATCATGGTCGAACAGACGAATACAATAAATTGTAGAAACTTTACGTTATAGTCTTTGTACCTGTAGGTTTTGCAGGGCTGGTGCCTAGCCTCCAATAAGAGGAACCGTTCTTTCCTACAGCCCAAACTTGACCTTCCGGACCACACGAAATACCTATTAAAGCTTGATCGCTCGGTATATGTTCCCAAGAAACTCCCTATAAATTAGCAATAAACAAATAGTTTGAACGAGGGCTCGTAGGGCTCGTAGGCTCGTAGTCAAGCCTCAAAATTTTCAAACTACCGTTCTTGAGATTTTCATGTATTCCAACAGCTATAATTCTTTTCTAGGGACATAAGCTCAAAGTAAAGTCGATATTTACAATTCTAAAGCTTGACTACCTCGTTAAGTTTGTGACGACAAACTTTTGTATTTATACCATTGGACAGGATTCCGAAACTCCTCTCCTAAATAAAGCTTCACCGTTAGTAGCCACTGCCCATATGTAAACTTGAGCGTCTGTACCAGGTTTTCCAGTTGCCTAACAAATGCGACAATGCATTGTTATTTACTTATATTTTTATTATTATTATAGATTCTAAATATTTCATACATATAAAGAAACATCGAGCAGCTTTGTGTTTCCTAATTCTTGCCATGGACCGCTAGTCGTCAATTGACATCTTCGAAACCATCTTCTTCTTCTTACGTAATCGGTAAACTGTTTTTTACCGTGATACTGAGAAGGAAAATCAGTGGCGTATTGCCAGCCATCCCTATCAACGCCTCCAGGCGTATGAAAGTCTACTATCCAATCTGATATCTGTTTATGGGCATGAAATTTATTATGATGATAATGAAGGACATTTTTAAATTTATAGTACTATTCGAACTATAATAGAACTCACCCAATGCCAGTGCATCGATAACAGTTTAGTATGTTCTCGAGTACGTCTATGGCGTCCGGTCGCGTCACTCCACATGTAACGGTCCGTTGGAAGACCATGAGACGTGTATCCAGTCAACGGATTCCAACGTTGATATTCGTAAACGTAATAGTTGTGAGTATCTACCATAGTGTTTATCCCCGTATTGCTGTCTAATCCTGTAATTATTGATAAACAATATTACTGCCTCTGTTTAGGTTGATAATTAAAATACATTACCTTTTAAAAATAAGCCACCCCAACCACCAGTATACACCCACGCGGTATTATCATAACCTATACCCCATGTTACACCAACGGTACAAGTTTCAACTTTCTTCAAATGCCCGCCCATTTGTCTCCAAAAGATTGCAATCGGATCGATGATTATCTACGTAGAATAATAATCATGTTACAGCTTCTTTTTATTCTAGATTGATAGAGTAATTGTTACACAGCAATGCACAGTTATCAAGATCATTACGTACAGACTTGGATCTATAAAGCACACTGCACAATGTCATTAATCCCTTAATTCGTAAATGAGTAATACTTTGCGGTAGTATTCTATGGCTATAAAAAGTAAATTCCGCGTCGTCGATCAAAATCCTATATCCTCGCTCTTCGCAAATGATCTCTAACGTGAAATCGGAACCAGCTTTCAGCGGACTATTTCCGTTTCTTTCTTCATCGCCCCACTGTCCATTTTGATATGTGTTCCGTACGATTATATTCTCTTTGAGTCTTGGATTAAAGTGTAATGCCACATCATGGCTATCCACCACAGATTTTTGTTTTAGACTTGTCATCATATAACAGACAAGATTAAATGACAACCTGATTTCAAAAACGTCGAATAAAGAACTTGGAAGTATACGAAAAAATAACTTACGTAATTTTGTTTAAAATATTAATAATTTCTCACCTAGAGGCATCATCGTGGATACAAACTGTCATTTTTAAGGAACTACCACATACGAAACCATTTTGTAATATACATTCGAACGGCAACTCCTTCCCCGCGACGTCTAATTCGTGCACGTAAGTATTATTGACGAGTTGATTTTCCTAGAATCAAGTCATGAAAGGTAAACACCACTGTGAAACTTTATTGCATAATATGTTTCACTCGTATCGTGTATTAACATACTTCTACGGCTGCAGGATCGTAAACGTACACGTCTCCTAAAGCTGTGGTAGCCCAAATCGAGTTGGAGCCCGGTCTTCCATAAACATTATTCATTTGGCAAGAAACTAACAATAAGAGAGACATTTTTAAATTTATATAGTTATATCATGTAAAATAAGTATAAGCAAATCCTGTATAATACGTATATATACCTGAAGTTAAATGCGCTAACCAATCTTCCATTTCAGTGTCACTGGAAAACTGTAATCTAAGAACTTTAGAACGTGATAACCGAGGAGTATGAATTGCTATCCGTGGATTACCTGGTTCGCTGCAGCATACTACGCACATAATTTCGGATATAGGAAACTGAACCTGAAAGAGGACCATTAAATATCGAGAGACGTTTACAAGAAATTTCTGATAATATTTATGTCTTCGAGGGCTTACAATCGTTGTTGCTCCGTCGGAATTCAAAATAGTTACTGTCCCGGAATCTAAAGATCCACTATCGCTGCTTATCCACTCTAATTCAATAATACAATCTTCGTACGAAGTATTACCCTTAATTTTACATTTTGCATCACCATTTTTTACCCAAGATGATCTGCAATTGGTCATTACGAAATACAAAACTCTTCGATCGTACGTATGCGCGGTATATTAGTTATTAATTTTATAAAATTTCCAAGACCTCACTTTTCAACAGCTTTTTCATACATTGACGCGTCAAATTGTACTTTTTGTAATCTTTTCCTCAGTTCTTCTAACACGTATATCCTCCATGGCTCCGCGATATCTCCGTGATTTGCGCCATTTGTGTCCGCGATCCTACGCATTTAAAACAGGAGGTAAACTGGTTTTTTTATTGTTATGATAAGGAAATAAATCAAGAATTTAGTGTAGCATTAAATATACCATTTTGGAGGATTGGATGGATCAACGAAACAAGCTCCAGCTTCTATTTTGTACCAGGAAGCATCGCATTCGGCCCAATACATTGCTCCGGAACTTTCATCTTCTCCGTAGACTCCAGAATCGCTGGTTAAATCAGGATCGAATATACTTCCATCCGTTTCCGGATGAGCTTCTACACCTACCATAGAGCCGACCGAGTGAACAGGACTCCATGCAGCTGGATTGATCTATATTATTTTAATTTTGAACATCAATTTCAATGAAGAAAGATAAATAGTACATGTGATTAAACTCTCTATTAACCTTGACAGTACTGCCCATCCCTTTCCCAGAGACTATTATGGATTCGCCAGTTTTGGTCAGTGACTCGTTCGATATGGTTATATTCGCAACACTAGCTTCGGTCAAATCACCCATATCTAACGAATTTGTACATCTATAATCATTTAAAAAGTGGTGATTTAAAAAAAAATGATAAAAATAATTCCTGTTGAAAATTTGTGGTAAGACTGTCTAAAGCTATGTTAAACGGGTTAGCAGGGCTTTACTGTGTATGTTTACCTCTTTTTGCCCTCGTTCAGATATATGTCCTGGAATGATGTTTGTTGTGGATTTTTAATATAAACACCGTCGTTTGAGCGATGCCATAATTTTAAAGATGTTGGTGTTGGTGCCGAATGAGATTGTTCTTCCCATTCTCTGATCAACGTAGTCCCCTCGCTAGTGCTATGCGGCCGATTCTAGAAAAGAATATTATTTTTTTCCTATTACACGGTCAAACACGAATTTTTTTCTGAAATGTCCACTAGATGTTCCTGGTAAGATAAATACCAACGATCCCCAGCTTTGATGTCTCTGTTGTTGAGGAGTACCGCACATACTGTGCCTATTATTCGATGATAAACTGGCATTACTACTCGCTCTGCTAAGTTGAAGAGGCGCGTTTATTACTCTCCACTTTTTACCCGTTAATTCTGATCGTGTAATACCAGTACGATAGTATACACACCGATCTTCCTGACCAATAGCCCAAACCTAATGCAATAGCAACCATGTGACTAAACACAGACACACAAAGTCTACTGTAATAAGAATCTACATGTTTATGATAAATTAAATTACCTGATCGTTTGGAGCAACGGACACTAATGACATTTTGCTTAACATTTCTACCCATCCAGTACCAGTAGCCATCTGTTCGCAAAGTCCACTCATATCGCCTCTGATACCTTTCCTAAACCATACTCCCCCGTCCTGCGACACAGCCCACACAGCATCCGTGCCCACGCTAACTTGTACTAATTTCAAATCTTTTTGAGGAGGCTCTACCTCCGACCAGTCTTCACCTATAAAGTAAATTATGCTTATTCCTGCCAAATGATTAATCCTTTGTACTCCGCTGGTACTGTTACGGTGACATACTTATAATGCACCGCAAGCTATATTTACGGTAAAACAAACTGAATTAACAAGGTAAACGAATAAACTGTAAATTATGAGTTTTCTTTTCTGCAAAAAGGAACACCTTTTAATTTTTCGAGGTGGCATCGCTAAATTGCTTTAAAGTTGCTAGCTACTCGTACTAAGCAAAAATCTCGGAGTGCAAAGGGTTAAAGCAGACAATAATTTTGAAATTCATATAAAAAATTATATACCCATTGGATTTTCTCTAGTGACACCTGTACGCACCAGTGCTTTACCAATCATTAACACAGCCCACACAAGACCGGTTATTCCGACACTGATTTGACATACCTCGTAACCAGTGGCTAATTTTATAGCGCTCCATCTTTGCCCTTCAGGGCATGTTGTACTGGTACCAACGCGAAACATTACCTACATTTTATTTATAGTTCTCATTAACTAGATATTTTACTTTTCTTAAATCATAATTATTGCAGTAAACAGAACTACAATAGTGCCTACTTAAGTGTCCGCGCTCGGGACCGGCCACGGACGCTTAAGTGGGCACAGGTCATGTAACTCTCCGATTTATGAAAATGCTTGAGTAGAATTTTTTTTAAAGTTATACCCTTCCATGAGCGGTTACTGCCCAGACTAGTAGGCATCCAGGATTACCTCCAGGCATTTGGTTTCCACCCACAGATATATCAATAAACGGTTCCTGAAAACATATTGCAACACGTAATATAACAGTGTAAAAAAGAAGTAACAATTTTTGTAAATGTTTTACCTCTGTTGGATCTTTATGTAGAGGTGCAATAGCACACCACGAATTCATGGCACTGTATCTCCTATACCGAACCCATTTTCGTCTTCTGACACAGGATTTCCATTGTTTTTTTGTGGTATATGTAGTTGGAAAATCAACCGCATATGTCCATCCCTATCAAAATATCAGATTCTCTGTGACCAGTACAGACACACTTTGTTTCAAAGTTGACAACAGACAATAAATCTACATACAAACAGAAACATATAAAGAACACAACAACAAAAATAAATGTTTCAAATTAAAATAGATGCAATTATGTCCCAAATTAATCATTAATCGAAAAATTATTTCAAATAGTGTTTACTCTGTTTCAAAGGAAAAATTGTATAACAAACAAAAGTCCTGTGTAGGTGGAGGTAGACAACCTATATAAAAATAACTAAATTCACTGTTATAATATAAAAATTTCAACCATATTTACATCATGATCTAATGGTTGGCCATCTAATGTAGTCTCTATTTGCCAGTCACCTTCCCACTGCCAGGCCATAGATGGTAACTTTACTTTATCTCGACTACGGTCAACTGTACCATCTTGATTAGAAAAGTTATACCTATCTGTAGGTAATAATCTTCCACTAAATCCATCTAAGGGAAGCCATCGCTGGAAACATTAAATGTTGCTTTAAATGTATGTAGTACGACTGAACTTTACTTTAATGGACCAAGAATTATTAAGATATTTTATATTATGTATTTAATTCTACATAAAAGTATAAATAAAATCATCACCATCGACTTACTTCATTTTCATATATTTCTTCTTTAAGCCTTATAGGTACATCCAAACCATGTACATGTACGTAAACTTGACGATCGCAGCCTATAGCCCACATGAAATGCGGTACAGCTGATAATTGTTTAAATTCAATACCCAGGTACGTAAACTCCCGCCACATGTTCCCAGACGTTGATAATCCAAACACACGTCCTTCATTATTTATGGCGTACAAATATGAATTTGGCATTTCAATACTTTACCGTAAAAATGTTCTGATTCACCTGGCAAACAATGTTTTTAATTACGCTCTTAATATCTCAAACGATTACCCATTGTAAGATAACAAAAGCAGAGACTTCATCAAACAATTATGTGTACACAATTCTACCAAATTTTCAATATCTAATATACATATTCATAACCGCTTTAGATAGCAGCAAGCTTTAGTAATGAATCGGCGATAACAATAATTTACAACGTGACGAAACACACACCGCAGCACCGACAATCTATACGCTTACGGAATACAAATATATATATATATATATATATATATAAGATAGTACCTTCTTTTTTCCCAGAAATATCAATTTATCTTTTCTGTACGGTAGATAGTGTTAGTTTACAGACATACTTTTCTCTACATAAATATGATACAATCAAACGATTGTTCGATCGTGAGAAGGTGGTTATGGTTATGTCGAATTTTTATTACATTTTACGTTATTCATCATGTATCGTACAACAAGAACTGCATTAAAACATAAAAGTGATCAAATAACTTTAACACGAAAAATTAAGCATATAAACTGTTAATATTGAAGAACATGTTTTTATGATGACACACGGACCAGTGTAACCAGATTTGACATAATTGAGTGCATCGACGGCGATACTAGTAACGACGAACTTCCTTAGCATCTAACGGAGTAGTGGGAAAATCGAGAAAGAAGGTATACAATTTCGAATCTCGAATGCCCTAGCATTTTTATATTTCGACTTTTATAGCACATACGTATAAGCAAAAAGCATAATGAAAAAAAAATTTACACAGAAATACAAGTTTCAAGAAAAAAAAGAAATTTTTGTTCTCATTCTTATATATGTATACACATGTATATTGTCAATACGATTGAGTATAAATAGCTGATTGAATTTATACTCATACGTGAAAAGTAGACTTTGCTCATGTTCATGTTCAAAGGAACCAGTGGACAAAAATTTAAGGCTGTCGATAATGTCGGTAAGTAGGATTTGTCATGTTGCGTGAGAACCTGCCGCAACCTTCCGCGCAAACGCAGCTGTTCGCGGGTTGCCATTCTACAGGCGAAACTTTAAACGTTAATAACGTTGTAACGAAGCCTCCATCAACTAATTGGTATTCTTGATTATCGTCTTATTTTGCCCTCTAAAATCGCTCATTAAAATTTTAACTATGGGTGGCCGAGCACCCTGTATATGTGCCTATGTGGGTTGGAACGTAAAAATGTCTGAGCAGTCGAGATTCGAAATTGTATGCCATTGACGCGATGACGGACTTCAGCTGTTCAAGAGCAAGAAGAAAGGCCCCCATTCACGTTCTTTGTCGATTTTCCGAAGTTGCGTGAAGTGCTGACCGTGCACAACATGTGCCTCGTGCGGTAGGTTATGTCGGCTTTCCCCACCACTCCGTTACGGTAAGGAAAATCGTCGTTACTAGTGTCGCAGTCGTTATAATTTACCTTAGTTTCGTTACTTCCACGAAGCTAACATTGAATTCATCTCAAAATACATTTAAAACCTTATCCTAGGTTTGTATGTTTACCAAATTGGTACATATTTTGATAGTATCAAACCAAGTACTCTAATTTTGTACTTGCCATCCTAGGCAACTATAACCCCCACAGATATTCCTCTTTCATAATGATATTCAAAACACCCAGATTCCTCATTCCACATCCTCCAAACCAATAACTTTTTTTAGTTCTAATAATTAACCCAATAAATAATATTGATCTTCTAAGTGCAGGTTGTAGGAAGTAACCTATACAAGCATAGCCACTCAAGGACAAGTAACATAAAAAAGACGATCCATGTCCCAAATTGGAGACTCCCGGCATCCAAGGGTACAATAATAGTGGAGTAGCAGGGAACGAGGATAGGGGTGAGGTGAGCAATGCGACAAAACTATAGAATAAAATTCATATAATAAAGAACTAAAATTTGAATTATTATTTAATCTTGCATAGGACAAAATTCTACAGTTTCTATTTTAAATTAAAAAATTAATGAGTCGATTTTTTCTACTTTTATCTTACTTTTCTATTAAAAACATTTGCCACCCTTGAAACAGGGTAAAATCAATACTGAAAATATAAATTATTCATAATAAGTATAAATAGACGTTATCTTGATTGGACTTTAATCAACGATCGTTTAAAGGCTTAAAAGTGTTCAGAGCACATAATATTCTTGAGGTTCCAGGTGCTTCGAAACACTGTGGTCATATGGAACAAGTGCAAAACTTTTTGAGTAGTCTTAGATTAGCATTAATTAATAGTTCACTTCTCATTGTCACTGTAAGATTTATTGACCTCTCCATTCTGAATTTCTTCTGTCATACTTTGATCTTCCTCCGGTCTCTCCACATATTTATAGAAACTTGCCATTATGGCAAGTATTATGATATCGATGAACATCAGCCCAGCAAATAGGAAGAACTCATAAACCTAAATATCAGAAATAGAAAGTACAGTTGTACATATAATAGTTGACTGAAATTGTCTAAACAGTCACTATTACTTGAAAAAACATCTTTAATTATATATACTTGCCTGTCTGCTAAACCATGATGCTTCCGCGATTATGACCACTATGAGATTACCAAAGGCCACTGTTAATAGCCAGCTAGCTTGCAACAAAGACTTCATACTGGTGGGCGCTTGCGTGAATGCAAATTCTAAACCGGTCACAGAAAACATGATTTCACCCATTGTAATCAGAATGTATTGTGGTACCAACCATAACATGTGCATTGAATTTGGCTCTGTCACGGTAACAACATCTAAAATCATCTGCTTCGAAAAGTCAGAGCCAATCACCGTATAAACTCCACCCAATTTAAAGCGTACGTCGCTTTTCTCTTTTTTATTGTTGATATAAATGTCATAATTGTCAGGTTTAATTTCCTGCAATGTTGTTTCGGTTGTGCCAGGCATTATAGTTAAATCGAGAATACTTTTGTCCTCTTTATGGAACGACAATGTGAGATTTTCTCTTGAATTTTCTATAGAAAAGAGACCACGTACTAAGGGATTACCCGTTTTCGATTTCTCTACCGAGTCAATGTACGTGCGAGAGATATTATTGGGTGTGAGAACCCAAGAAGATGCTTTGGCTTCAGGCACATTGATCTTTCCTAGAAAGGAAATGCGATCGGTTATACTTTTAGCTGTGAAAACTGATATTTTGTGAAAAAGAAATGATAGAGAACCATCAAAGATATAACAAATAAACATACCTGTATAAGATGGTATAGAGTTAGGGCACTTTGGAAATTCTACCATGTACTCTAAGTCTTTCGTGCCCTTTACTTTAATATATTTGTTTGACCACATGCCCATGCCATTAAGATCAAAGTTTTCATTTTCTATAGTCATGTCCACAGTACAATTTAAAGTATTGAACACTCGTATCTGAGCAAAACCTTCCGAGGGCAAAACCGGATTCGTTGTCTGGAAATAAAGGAGTCCTTTATAACGTGCATCGCAAGAAAAAATAATTTAAATACGTACCTCGAGTTTAAGTTCAACGAGCGCTGAAACAACAAAGGATAAGGCGGCTAGAAAGCCACCTATAGTCAACTTTTTCAGCGGAGTCCGAATACCGATCTTCGCCAGAAGTGGATAAATACAGGTCTCGAACAGCGGGATAAAGGCGAGTACCAGAAATGGATTAACCACCTGCATTTGATCCGGCTGTAATATGAAATTACCGATCTCGCCGTTCATTTTGTTCGCCTGGATCGTCCACCGGGAGCCCTGCTGATCGAACAACGCCCAGAAGATCGGTATCGGTACGAACAACTTCATGACCTGCAGGGCGGCTTTGATGTCGTTTATCAGTGGTTTATCATACTCATCGTCCGCATGATCAAGCCAGTGTTCCCTTTTCTCTTGTTTCGATGTCGCTTTCTTGTAAATGGCATGCTGAAATTAGGTAAATTTGTTTTCTTTTTTTCTCTGTCGTGTCGTGAAAACTTTTGCTATTTCACAAAATGATACTCACGGAAATGCACTTGGAGACGACCAACACGACGTTGCCTGTAGGTTTCACTATTTTGTACAAAGGTTTTCCAAGCACGAATATCACTAGAGGAAAGAAAAGAATAATGGAATTAATATTTGAGATTTAAAGGTGTGCTCGTTCGAAACTTACCGATGGACAAAGTCATGAGAACGGTCGGCACGAAAAATGCTAGGGAATAGCAGGAATTTTGGCCGAAACACGTGACGCTACTGCGAAGCATCGGCGTTAAGAAGCTCGAGATCAGGGAGCCGGAGTTAATGGAAAAGTAAAACAGCGAGAAGAACGTGGATAAGTATCGTTCTTGTTGAGGCAAGATGAATTGGTCACCGCCGAACGCTGCCACGCAAGGCTTTATACCGCCTGTACCGAGGGTTATAAGGAGTAGACCAACCATCGAAAATTCCCTGCAAAGTTAGGACATTTAACAAATACGATCAAACATTAGTCGACGGACAGTTGATGTTTTGACAAGTTCAAGAGCATCGAGGGACATCAATTTTTCCATAACTACACTTTACATATACATATCATTTATAAACAGAGTTTCAAAATAAGTAGAACAACCATACAAATGTTGATACGTTTAGAATTGAACTGAAAAGTGGTAGAGATTGGGAATAAGTAACGTTTTAACTTACCTTGCCGGTAGCCCTATAGTTGGAACAGCAGTTACGGATAAGAGAATTTGTCCGATGGCGTAAATGATACTTAAGTAGAAGATGGTGCTAAATTTTCCAAGCACCGTGTCAGCCAATATCGCCCCGAAGATGGGGAAAAAGTAGGCGAACATAATGAAGACATGATAGATCGCGGTGGATGTGTTATTGCTATAATTTAATTGATTCCGTAGATAGAGCGTCAGCACGGCTAAATAAATAAATTGTTTTCTTAAATATATTCTGAATATACATGTTATAAAGATAACGCTCTGCCTGTTTAGCATTAACCAGAGTTAGGCAGATTTTATTTATTCGAGTGTAAAATTTGACCAACTCTGGCCAAGACCGTGACCATTGAATAAAGCTCGATCAACACGTGAATTATTGTTCTATTTTTATCGTTACCACGAACTTTCATGAGAGGCAATAGAAGTCAATCATTTCAGTCAGTTTTAATAACGCCAAACCGAACAGTTTTGTTTTCCAATATGCGCGCTTATTATTGCGCGGAAAAGAGTTTTGCGTATAAGATAATGTATGCAAATACTAAAAGACAAACGTTTTGTAGATAAATATTTAGTTTTTACGTACTTCGCATTCCATAGAAGGTGAATCTCTCGCAGAATTCATTGCTGATGATGAAGAATATCGACTTGGGGTATTTGAGTTTCTGCAAAGTTAAAATAGAAAAGAATAGTGACAATGTTAGGTCGCGTTACGTGATACGGAAATAACGAAGTCGCCGTCAAAAGCGTGCGATATGTCAATAGCATTTTCGCGACGACCTTATTAACTTCGTTGCCGTTACAGACAATTAAGAAAACACGATTTTTCCATTGTTAGAACGCCATTCGAGTGGAAAGTTAGCGTTAGATACCACGATTCGAATTTCCCAGTTTTTTATTTCGAGAATATCAGACGAGTTTATTCTTTGAATGAATTGGAAAGTATTAAAGTAAATATTTTGTCATACCAAACACTGATTTACTTTTTTTTTATCTGGTATATTTTTAACGAACTGCGACATTAAACTAGTCGTAGAAAATGAGGTAACTATTTTAGTTTTTAACTTCATATCTTTATTACGTCTTCCATTCTTGGAACATTTTTTATTGCATATTAAAATGACTACGCAAAATAAGAAAAGAAATTGTTCGTTGATCACAGAATTTTCGAATTTAAAGTTTGTTTTTTTATTCGTTATCTGTCGATAGCGAACGAACATATGTTTGTACACGTTGAATTTCACTTTTATTTGAAGCAGCATTTACAAAAATGGATAATGTACACACTTAATTGTATTGACAAATCGATGGATTAGTTTTTTATCCACAAAGCGATGAAAACGCCAATTTATTTCTATTCTGACGTTTATGTACCGCATTGCCATACCTTTCCAAGAATAATTTATGAAACTTATTCGAAGGTTGACAATCGTCTACGATCGTGCGAGTATAATTTGTCAAAACATGTTAGGCGCACGTGACAACTCGATTACACGAGTTCGTAAATGTTATATGCAAATGATGGAAAAGTCGGTTTCAGTTGTCAGGTAAAAAAATTCCTTTCACGTTACGCGAGCGAAGCGCGATTTGAACAAGGTGTACAAAACGTTGAAAAAGAACGACTTTCTAATTCAACCTACAATCGAATCCATTGTAAATTAACGTGTCCCTCGAAGATACCACAAATCGCTAGTATTTTATCAAAATAACGTAAGGAAAATTCGAACTTCCTACCTCTGTCGTGTCTTCATCTTTCGTTGCCATTGTGCTTGTTTTTTGCCTGGCACGGATCCGATGAAATTCAAATCAGACACTGACAGTAGTTTCGTGCATGAGAAGCATGCTGTTGAAACTCTTCGCGTATTGCTAGAGTATCCTTGAACGATGCATTATTATCAGCAAAACTTCTTTTTTTTTCTTTTTTTTTGGTTTAGGAAATGCGTAGTAATAACGAGAGAGTGGATCGCGTGGCGCGTAAGTTTACTTGAAATCGAAATATCGCGATCGAGATTTCCGAGCGGGACCGACGATGTTCGCCTCGATCGGTAGTCGAAATCGCACTGTTAACTTTATCGTTCTCTACCTATGGATATGTAAGCACTGCGATTAAGACCGCGACGGGAGTACTGACAAAGATTGACTATATATACTGTACGTCGTACGTTAGTACAGTGTCACGCAAAAGTATTCCAATGTTGATAAACATTGAAAATGTATTAGGATTTCCAAGCTGTTTGGTATGGTATAAATTTGCCATAATTCGGTAACGGAACATTGTACGTTAACTTTTAAGGGGTCGTTACAACGAGAAGGATTCTCCCTTTGTACTTGTCGCAAAAAGAAATCCGAAAAAATATTCGAAGATTGAAAAAGTAGGAGCCTTGAAGGTACATGTTAATATTGTTAGGTAGTTTAACATTAAATACGATGGATCGTATGCCAGTTTTTTGTAAATTGTTAAAACGTGAAGTTATGCTGACGAGCATCATTGAAATGTTCTATATCTATAGATCGTGTACGTTTCCTTGTAACCTTGTCCATTTCCTGTAGCAAAATGATTAATCTGATCGAACTGCTGTGTTGCGAGACAATTATAAAATACAATTTACTGATAAATTGTACAGTTTTTTTTAAATCTTGTAACCAGAAATATATAAGTACTTATGGGTATTAAGTATTATCGTATAAGAATAATATTGTGAAAGCAGATTAAGATAGTTACAAAGTAAAAATCTAGCGTTTTCATTTGCAACAAAATGTATTACTTTAATCGCAAAAAAGAAAATTATAAAATTAATCCGCGGTAATAAATAATTGTTTAATTCTAGAGATTATTACGCGACGATAACTGGATATATAGAATTACGAACTGTTTTCTTTTTTTCCATAGAATATTTAAATAATAAAAGTCAAAGTCGACCTAGTTACACCAGCGAATGTTGCAATATAGAAAAGAAAAGTGAAATCTGATCTTGATTTCTGGTCAAGGAGCAACGACATTATTCCGCAAAACTTTATTGCAGGGACGTGAGTCATGATCTGCCAATATCTTTAAACCCACCATTATTATAGTCGACCAACATTGCAACTACATTGCGTTACACATTTTATTTACAATATTTTCAATTTCGACGTATTACCTCGCGAATAGTGTTCGACGGAAATAAGAACTTTGTTGAAATATTTTAGGATATTCTGTACAGCTGTATAGTTATTATTGGGTACTAAAATAAACAAAAGTATAAAAAAACAAAAAATGCATCACAGTTATTGGATATGTTATATCATACAACGTATACTAAATTCGGGAAATTAACAGTAACGGGCTCTATACGATCATAATCTACTCACAATCGTGCATCGTGCCATTCATACGGTTTGTGTCAAGAAAGTTTTACGATTATATTAGGAACGTAAATAATAATTTTATCGTTAATAAATCGTTTTTCGCTATAGATAAGCGGTTAGTACTTACCTTATGATCCGCCTCCGCTTCACTTTCATTGTCCGGGTGATCTGAAAACACACACGTGTTAAAGATAGGAAAAAGGTCCGATAACATTCGTGAACATGATTGCAATTCTTATACCATCATCTTAATTCCTTATCTTGGACTGTACAACGATCAACGTCTTACTAATATTGTAATTACCCATCTAACTCGTAATATTTCTATCTGCATTTCATTTTCAACATTTTTTTTAACATTCGTGTTCTTCGAGACAGCGATGATACCGCGCGAATGTTGTTTATTTGTCGTCGCGTGCAGTAAAAGGAAAGGAAAAATCTTTCTAATCAACGAGAATCAGTTTTATGTTAATTTGTTGCTTTCAAATTGGGTCACGGTCCAATCAGACATTGAGACGAGTGGAGAGGCGGACGATTTGACTTCTGTCATCCTATCGAATATCTCGTTAAGTCTCTCGATCAACGCTGCTTAACAACTTCGACCAAAACATAGCAAGCAACGTTAAGAGAGGGACAGATTCCCAATTATTTTTTTCTAACAAGTGTTCTTCGAAAGTTACAGTTGCTTATGATCCTTATCTCATAAACTTACCGCATCCGTACCCCATGAACTTTGCATCATCCTAATCGCTATTCCCTACTTTTCAAAAAACCTACTTTATATAAAGCGAACGTTGCTTGTTTGTTTTACCATTTCAGTAACACAGGTTTGTATTAGGATAATCGGTTACCTTGTATCTCGTAGTCAGAAGCTTTTTGTTTGTCCATGATCTAGAAATGATTAAACTAAACCTGTCACTGTAACGTTCAAATGAATACTGATCCCCTTTTCCAATTCTGTTATTATCTTTTGATTATCGCACCTTATCGATCGAAACTTCCAAGCTAACAGTCAATTCTGAGAAGATTGATCTCGTTTTGATAGAGTGAAATTTGTTTCAAATGCGCTATTTACAATTTTCAAATAATCATCGTATATCTCTTGAGGCAGTCTCTCACGTACAGCTTAGGCTTTTTCTCGCATATTTCTTCGTTTACGATCGAGGCATATTGCGCAATGTTTATGTATAATCATGGTGACTAACTGTATAATATAAACACGAATTGACCTAATCTTGTTTCACCTATATTATAATACAAATAATTATGGAATGTTTGTATCATGATATTACAAAAAGATAGGTATAACAGGAGTCAGAATATTTTATACTGAGCTGAATCCAAAGGTTGCCTGTTTATAATTATTGTGTCAAAATGTAAAAATTGATACGCGACGCTTAGCTTTGCGCTCACGTTGAATCTACGACTCGGGATTTAGCCAGGTGCGCGCGCCACTGGTCCGTGGGAAGGGGGACCGCATGGTACGGTGATCGATCGCGCATGGCAGTTGATCGGTAGTGTTACCAGCCGGCAGATCGGTGCGCGGAGGAAGCTGCCCCTCCACTTATGCACACTAATCCACAACCACGTGTACGTGAGCTCTGGTACTTAGGATAGCTTCGGGGATTGGAGAAAGATGGCGCAGTTGAGCCTTTCCCTGTCACTCTCGAACAGCTGAAATCCTACTTGCGTCAACCGGCATACGATTTCGAGTCTCAACTGCCCAGGTATTCTTATTTTCCAATCTATGGATACCTTACACTATTACACTATAAACGAGGTACAGAATAGACTTATCGTTTAATGTGTCGTGCTTGATTCCAAACAATTAGCGTTGTATTTGTAAACAAAATGGTAACCCTGTACACATCGTACGGGGTGAGGCTTCTTATGATTTTTAGCTTTACCGATTTCAGTAGCTCTAAAATTACTGATATTTTATGAGGTTGATATATCAGTTCATGTGTCACGAAGTCACATTAAACGATAATCCTATTCTGTACTTCGTTTATGGTGTAATAGGTATCCATAGATCGGAAAATAAAAATAGCAGTCGAGACTCGAAATCGTATGCCGGTCGACGCAAGTCGAATTTCAGCTGTTTCGAGAGCGAGAAAGAAATGTTGAAATTTCAAAGGAAAAATTCATATTTTGATAAATACATGCATTCCTTACACGCATACAATAAATATAAATCCAATCGATGTTGCAATTAAGGCTAAAGGACCCTAAACCAAATTTATTTTATTAGATGACTTCGTCGGTATCCTTTCTAGGCCTATGTCTCCTCCGATCTCCGCTAAAAGTTTCGATACAACTCTATCACTTGCAATCATTAATAATAATACAATAAAGTTATATTTATAAATTCATGTGTTTTATATGTATAATTAATTAACGTTACATAAGAACTGTGCATTATCTATTTTTAAAACGTTCAAATAACATTGTACATCTGCCGACATTCGTAGTCGGTACATAACAGAAGAGACAACAAAAATTTAGGCCATGCGACCCCATAAAAGGCTTAACCGAGCGAGCTCTACGATTATTTACAATAACGGATAATCGTATATCATAAACTCGTTCAATTTCGATTTAATAAGAGCTCAAATTGTTGATACGTTTATATGAATCGACCATTGACGGGTTGCGTGTTACTCGTGAAAAGTAACGGTATAATTCACGAGCTTTCACGTCGAACGCCATCGAATTTGTGATTCTGGATCCACAGTGTCTCTCGAAGGAAAGACTCGTCGTCACTGCGTACGAGGACGAGTGATTTGTCGCGAGCACGCATTATGGGGTTCGATGTGAACCGATTTCAGGGCGAAGTTGACGAGGAACTAGTTTGTCCGATATGTTCCGGCGTTTTGGAGGATCCAGTCCAGGTATTATTTTCTGTTTCGTTCGTTAATGTTACGAATGCTCTCAATGAACCAATTTCGTGCGTTTACACGAAATTAACCTCACTTTTTCATCCTTCTTTCTTTCTGTTCGGTAATGCACCATTTTTATTGATCAACGGTAAATACTTTTAAAGTTACATTAGCATTTGTTTCTCTTCGTCGCACCGAGTGTCTTTACTTATTTCGTAGAAAGTATTCGTTAGAATTTTGTATCGATCTCATAACGTCAGGCAGTCGTTTGAATTTTTATAGGTTCCATTCTGTCATAATGTTCGTAACTATTGTTTTCATTATTCTGTTTATCACGTGAAGGGAATAAATAATTTTCTTTCATATTTCTGAATAACTTGTACAGGATATTCATGCATGTTTGTTGTGTAACATTAAATATGATAATAAAAGTTTTGTAAAATGTTTGGTTTGGTTTAAAGACTGGTAGGTGAGCAATATGTTGCAGGCACCTGTATGCGAGCACGCTTTTTGTCGTACATGCATTAACGAATGGATAAACAGACAACCTACCTGCCCCTTGGACCGTACACCAATTACATCTGCTCAACTCAGAGCAGCTCCAAGAATTCTTCGAAATCTTCTGGCCCGTCTATGTATTAGTTGTGATAATATTATGTATGGATGTCAAGTAATAGTTAAGCTTGACAGTTTGGTATCACATTTAGAACAATGTGAATATAATCCCAAGAGACCTATGCTTTGCGAGCAAGGATGTAGTCTTATTATTCCTAAAAATGAGTTAAAAGATCATAACTGCGTGAAGGAACTCAGAAACATTATTCACTCGCAGCAACAAAAACTTGCTGATATGAAACGTGAACTGGGTGAACAACAACTTCAAATAAACGAGCACAAAAGAGAAATACACCTTTTGAAAGATTTTATGAGAGCATTGAGAGTTTCAAATCCTGCGATGCGAGTCATTGCCGATCAAATGGAGAGGGACGAAGTTGTAAGATGGTCTGCTACTCTTCCACGAGCAAGAGTGACAAGATGGGGAGGAATGATTTCTACACCAGACCAATCGTTGCAGGTATAGTGAATTATGAGTTACTTGTTGGATAATGTTAATCAGTTTTAGTAAATAATGAAACATAATGTTATAGACGATGATAAAAAGAACTTTATCAGAGTATAATTGTCCACCTCATGTAATCGATGAGTTAATGGAGAATTGCCATGAAAGAAAATGGCCTCCAGGCTTAAATTCTCTCGAAACTAGACAGAACTCTAGACGGCAATATGACAGTTATGTTTGTAAAAGAGTTCCTGGCAAACAAGCAGTGTTAGTTCTCTATTGCGATAACACGCACATGCCAGAAGACATGATGGTCGAACCTGGGTTAGTTATGATTTTTGCACATGGTATTGAGTAATATTTATATCAATACTATGCACATGCCAAGATATTTTGATGTCCATCTATTTTGTTGTTTGTTACATTCACCATGATTAATTATCACGGTGTATGGAATATCTTTATACTTACTATGTGCAGATACCAGGATATTCGTTTAATATATCATGCATTTGAAATGCAGGATATCTTTTCAAAAGTATTGAAAGGAACAAACGACGTATGCCTTTTGTGATAAACAATTGTACAGACACAATTGCCACATACAAAAATCTAATTGAATGTCTAGATCGTTATACTGTGATATACTATTTCATCGAGAAAGTTCCTGAAATTGCTTGATAAATAGTGAACAATTGTTTAATTGTCTTAAATGATTCTATATGTACATTTCTATAAATTTAATTTTTTCGTTCGTCTATACTCGACGAAATAACTATTTGTCAACTATTTCAGGAAATTTTATATATACATAGAAGTCTGTAAGCGTTTTATTATAATACTTTAGATATGTAAGAAACAATAAATAGAAATTATCGATATGATAATTACTACTACATATTAAGATCTGAATGTGTTCTAAAATATAAGTATCAAATGTCAGGAAGAGGAATCTTTTCTTCCTTTCTTAACGTTATTTATATGATTTTAATAAAACATTTCAAAATACGTACAATGAAATAAGCAAACTATACAACGATTATTTGAATAAACCAATGTACTCTAAGCGAAAACGGCCATAACTATAGTATACAATTTTCAAGTTTTATTAGAATACTATCTACAGATATGACGTACATTCTTTCTCCAAATGTATAGTTTCTGGATAATAGTTACAACTTGGTACAAGTAGTAATTTAGAATGATCACACTAACAATGACGAATTTTTTTAATGTCTTAAATATAATTTTTTTAAACAGAAGTACTAAGAATATAACTACTTACTTAATTTCAAATCTCTGTTCTTTGGTTCTTTCTAAATTTTCTTTGTAAAATTAAATCTTCGTGTTTCTCGTTATTTCTGTCAGTGCCGACGGTTTTATATGGAAGGAAGTCAAGATTAATTATGCGAAGGAATTACATAAAATACTGTAAATATAAATATATATTTAAACATTATACATCCTTAGATCTTGATGCATTAAGCATTGAAAAAGCTATGCATACTAAAAAATTGTAGGCAATTTTTATACAGGTTGATAGTTATAACTATAATAAATTTGATTTTTATGTATTATAAGTCATTTAATGCATACTTGATTTTTTTTTTTTATTTGCACATGGTAATACTACATCATTTTCAAACTCTATAATGGGTGTGTTACTAAGAAGTATGCAATAAAAATAAGTGACAAATTACATGAAGTATTGCATCCTCGATACACTATAACGTGTTCTCAAAGTTTTACATATCTCGTGACTATAACTTTTTTTTTTTACTTATCCTAAAATATAGTTCATAGTATAAAAAAAAAGGTTGGTTCTGTAAGCATCGCATTCTTAATTATATTACTTTATTAACTTCTGTATTAATTTCCCTAGATGTTTCTATTTTTACTACGAGAAGATCGTGTAAGTACTTTTCAAAGTCCGATAATTTATCTAACGCGAATTAATTAAGTCGGTTTATTTCTTTAAATAATAGTTGATGAATATAGTAAAGATGGGCGAGTCTGCCTTCCATCGTAAAATATGGGAGACGCGTAACGACGTTCAGTCTTTCAGAATTTTATTTTTATGTAGCGTTTTCAAAGAAATTTTACATAAACACTGGGAACATTCGACAATTTTCTTGAAATCTTAATTTTTTAAGATACGGCATTCAATGTCCGACAATTCCAATTTGTTTTTTTATTATTTCGAACACTTTAAATACTAAAATATACATTTTTACATAAAAAAAAGAATTGATAGGAATCGTTCAACTTTATAAATTGAAAATTTATTTGGTAATTCTTTCGAGTCTCGTAAAATATTTTTTCCCTGTTGTATAATAATTAGTTCGTATCATTCGAATATTTAAAAAGATTTAAAATTTATTTACTAAAAAAAATTGCAATGCTACGTTAATTTTTTTTAAAGCGCACTTTTAAGTTATAGATCTTTGAATTACTTATATCGTCGGACATACGCCAACAGTAACTTGCCCATAAGCACGTTCTGGATCCAGGCGTATAGGTATCATATTGATGTGAATGTTTGTGATACATCCAACGTATTGTGCTTGCGAGGTGCTTCCTCGTAGCCTCTTTCCAAGCATCAGGTGACCACCGATGAAGATAGGATGCTTCGACTGAACTCTGGCCACATTTTTGCCACCGATTCCTGGCGGGGCTGCTTTGTGGTCCACCGACAAGATTACAGAATTCTTCTGCTTGACAGCTGTACAAAACAGATTAAAAGGTATACGTTACTCTTTCTTTAAACAAATTTTTTAAAGTCATTGTTAGTATCAAAAGATAGTTTTTTTTGACAAGTTGTATTACCTCGAATATTGTGCCAGTTGCCATCGCACAGGGAACTTGGGTTCGTGGGTTCGAAGGAAGTCTCTATCGAACCCTTTGCTGTTTTCACCAGAAACTTCACGGTTCCGTTAATCATTTCCAATACTATGTAATCTCGCCTTCCATGAACAGACAACAAGTGACCGGAAGTGGAACGTGGCTTAATATCCATTTGAATGTCAACCGTTCTGTCGACCGTGAATTTATCCACTGAAATCGTACGGTAGATGAAATCTTCGTATTAATGTTCAACATCCAATGGAATATACGATAGTATAGAATACGTACGTGCTTTGAACAAATTGCTACCGTTGCCCGGGTAGAAGAATAATCCTGGTTCGACCCGTTGTGAACATGGAATCACGCCTACATTGTTTATCGGTTCACCGACCGGTTGACCATTTACCATAAAGTTTCCTAGGCATCCGTTGAATGTTTGGTCCGTTCCCTGAATCAAATGAGAATTAGTTTTTTGATTGAAAATCGGTGAAACGCTCGTCGTAAGAAATTAGAAGTTGCGGTCGAGACTATCGCTTAAGACTAACGAGTCTGACCACTTTCTACCATCGTCCTTTATATGATAAATCTTTGGTCTCCTTACAGTCATGTTATACACTTTGCCGGATACGTCTCTCAACACTCCTCCCACATAGAACGGCGGGCTCGCGTTCATGGTTGTCCTGTCGCCTTCGGAATATCCGGTAACCAGTGGGTCTTCGTCGACGATCAGTTCGCCCATGTTACCTTTTCTCTTGAATATGACTATGTGCCATCGGTTGTCGTTTATTTTTTTCTCGCTGATCAGCAAAGCGGGCCCGCTTCCACAGTCGAATTTGTAATGAATCTAGAAAGAATAGAGGAGACGTAAAGTAACAGTATAAACAATTAGGACGTAGAGTAACAGTATAAAAAATTTTATTATGGACAATGTACCCTTCCACTGCTGACGTACACGGCGATTAAACTCTGATCGTTAGTATTCAAGGTGAAAAATATAATTCCTTCTTCGGCCATGGTTTTAACGTCAATTTGGAAATCGTAGTCGTTCTTGTATCTCCCGTTCAGAGATCTGTACTCCAACCTGCTATTTCTTGCAGTGCCTGAAAGTATCATTAACGATCACTTTGGCAGTTTAATGGAGCTCGTAGATCAAAAAAGTTTTTGTCAGAATAACGTTCTTAAATATTTAAAATTTCTATGTGAAGGTTCGTGGACCTCCAGATATCTATCTACGGCTTCATTGGTAAATCGTACCGAATCTCCAGGCATTGTACAAATCAGGATCAACCGCTGGGTAGTAAGGCAACCGGCATTGATCCACGTATATCGGTGTCGGTCTTTGGGTCAAGGTTGTGGGTTCGGCGGTTGTAGTTTGTTCATCGTGATAGTGACCACGTCCCTCTAGATTAGGTTCCTCTTCGTCTGTTTCGTTCTCCAAATCAACGTCGACTACATCTATCGAGACCGGATGACGAGATCACAGATTAGATTGCTGGACTAAATACCGCTGATAATATGTGTATCGTTAACAATAAATATCGTGCTTACTGATCTGTGTAGATATTTCAAGATTATCGTCTAGACTTTCCGTAGGCAACAAAGGGGGTAACACATCTGGTTCCGGTTCGGTTATCGACGGTATAGCTACAATAAACATATCGTGGATATCGGTTACGAACAATTGTAGTAAAAAATAAAATCGTTAACGTATTGTTCATGCGATAAAGTCTACGTACACGATGGATCGCCACCTTTGCACTTTCCTAAGAAAGCGTTGGGTCGTTCGGTCGTGTTCGCGAAATTAATAATGGCGCCGTTGAGCGTTGCATCCCCGATGCAACCGACAAACGGAATCATTGAACCGGTTTGAGGAATACCGAAGGTAATTGGCAGTCCACCGATGTACATGCTGCCGTAAGGTACGAGCAACGGGGGCGGTTCGAAGTCGGTGTTGTAGTTCTTCGTGTCGTCGATGTCGAGTTTCAAAGAGTCCAACGAGTGGGTGGCTGTGACCACGTGCCACTCGTTGTCGTTGAACTTGATCCCCGACAAACTCGTCCTCAATTCCTTGCCCTGGCTATTAAAGACCAGAATACCGTCCACCAGCGACAGGAAGCTAACCGCGCCTGTACTTTGATCGGTTATGTAGAAGATCAAACCGTCGTTCGCCAGAGTCTTGAACTTGAGGTTTACTTGTAGGGTGTCCGGTACAGAAATGTTGGGCCATTTTACGTAACCGGACGTGTACTCTTCGAAAGACACCAGACTGGCGAACTAGGGACAGGTATAATTTGGATAATAAGGTACAAGCATTCGATTAGCAATAAAAAGTTTGAAGTATGGAAGAATTAATAACATAGAAATTTCAAATGTTTTGCAGAATAAATAAATGATTACCCTCGCTGGACAGCCAGGAATAACTCCGAACGCTTGAACGTTGCGCGTCAAGTCGATCACCGTTTCTAAGATGACCACTTCGTCGATGCAGCCCTCGAAACCCTCGTTGGTCACAGGATCGTAAGGATGCTTGGCATTCGGTGGATAGCCACCAAAGTAGATATGATCGGAGGACACCAAAGTTTTGCTGTTTCCTATCGCCTCGTTCTTCATTATGTCGAAACCGTCGACCTTGAGAACGCCCATTCTCTCGAATCTAAGAGCCTCCAGGTTGTGCCAGTTTCCGTCGTTGTATTTGTTCAACGATCTTAGACTGGTCTCTCCGTCGCCAAGATCGTACTGGTATAGTACATGACCGGCTCTCATCTCCATGGACAGGAACTGTTTACCCTTTCCCATCAAATATATCAGCCCGTTCTCCGCGAACGTTTTGAAATTCAGTTTGATGCTGAACTTTCTGTTGTCCGGCGATATCTGGAAGTTCCTCTTGCTCAGGATCGCGTATCCGTGTCTGTCGAATCTGTACCCGGTGCTCGGTTGGAAGTTGATCAATTTGTCCCTCTCGATCGCGGCCTTCTGGTTGTTCTCTCCGTCCACAAAATTCCAGAATGATACGGGTATCTCGCCTATCACGAGCTCCTCCATCTCGCCCTCGAACGAGGATGCCGTAACCGCGTTTTGCATGTTGAAGGACGAGGGATAACCGCCGACGAATAACTTCGAGTGTTCTTGGTCCACGTTGAATATCGAGTACGAGCCCGGTAACGCGTGTCCCTTTTCATATAATCGATGTTTCCCCTCGCCGATGTCCTCGCGGACAATCAGTTTCACGTTTTTACCCGTTCTGTCGACGATTATCTGCCGCCAGACGTTGTCCGATACGAACTTGTTGTTGATGATTTTCTCTGGGCCGGATCCCAGGTCCATGATCAATACCGGATACCCGCTCTCGATCAAAAGGGCCATGAAATCGTGCGTCTTTGACCGTGGCACTTTCGTGTTCTCCTCGTTGCCGAGATACAACAGGAAACCATTGGTGTTGTTCGTTCTGAAGTAAAGGGAGACTTTGGTGGACGTAGCCAGCAGAGGTAGACTTTCAGGATTTTTCAATTCGAGCGTGGTGTTTCTGTAGAACGTCAGACCAAATTTAATGCGGTCCGCCAATTCTCTAGCGTTCGCGATCTTGTTCTTCAACGCTTTGATCTTGCCCTGCAGATTCTTTCCTCGCGTGTCGATCACCTTTTGGTTGTCGCTCAAATCGTCCAACAGTTTAGTAATTTGCGGAAGATACGTGTCGACTATGATATCGAGCTGTTTCTTCGCTTGAGACACGTCGCGTATCGATTCCGAGATATCCTTGGAGAGTTGCTTGGTCTTCTTGAGGTCTTTTGGTATCTTACCAACGTCGCGGTTCATGCTATTGATGGACGCGTTGATGTTATGCTCGACTTGAATGGCCAGGTTCATGGCATCCTGAGCGACCATCGAGGAGGGCGACGGAAAGCCGGTAAGAACCTTCTCGATGTTGTCTAGGAGCTCTTTGTTGCGCTTGTTCTCAGAAAAAATTGAGGTGGCGTCCATTTGAGCGTTCTCCAAGTCATATTTCGGTTGTCCAGTCTTCCTCAAGGTCTCCTCGGCCGATCTCAACAAATCCAGCGACTCGTTTCGCGAATCCCACATCCTTTTCTCCATCCCGTCTGACAAACTGGTGGCATTATTGGCAGCATCCGTGGCGTCCAGAGCTGCTTCGCGTGCATTCTCAATAGCCGTCCAGATGTTTCTATACGCGGAAACAGCTTTAACAGCGTCCGTGTTCCTCGTGTCGGTCAACAGACTATCCAGGTCCAAGGATCGGTTGTAGAGATACTCTGCATTCTCGCGCGCCATCTGAGACGGATCCAACAGGTCCATCAGCAGTTTGTCGTTCCGCAGAATCGTCGTGTTCAATGTCTCCATAGAATCGTCCGCCGCGTCCCTAATCAGCATCTCCATATTGCGTGTCGCGATCTCTATACACTCGGTGGCGTTTCTGTTGAGCTCCTTGCCAGCGATCAAGTCCTCGTTCGCCTCAGCGGTTGCGTTCTTCACCACGTCGAAATTACCGGTCTCAGCCGCGATTCTATTCTCTTGGTTCAGCTTGTCGACCATGTTGGCCAGTTCCTGAACGTTCCAAGTGATGTTCAGAAAGTCGTCCATCTTCCCGGTCACGTGTTTAATCTTCTTGCTCAGATCGTTCGCTATGGTGAACAACTCGCTGACGGGCATATTGTACTCGAACATCTTCGACACGAGGATATTGGCCTGGTCGACTTGGTCCGTCGCGCGATCGCGGAAATTTACGAACGACACTTCCTGGATCCTTCTCAGGAACTCCTCGGCCTCTTTCAACGCGCTGTCCACCTTGGCGCTCGTGCCCAATTCGATGTTCAGCGCCAACGACTCCACTTCGGAGACGGTGGTCTTTACGAACTCTATTTCCTTCATCACGTCCGACTCCAAGTAATTCATGTCCTTCAGGGTGTTCTCGGACGCGAGCTTCCACTTGACGCTGTCCTCCGCGGTGAAGTCGATCTCGCGTTTCTGGTTCGAGAACTCCGACTCCAGCAGCTTCACTTCTTGCTGGAGGGGCAAGAAGTTCACTCTGCTGGGATCGAGGAGCTTCACCTTCGGATCTAGGTCGTTCGCCGTGTCGTTGATGAACTTGAGTCTCTGTGTAGTGAAGTAACTTTCCGCGACTGTGCTGTACTCTTTGAACACCGGGTCCAACTGGTTCGACAAGTAATCGGTGACGTCCAACAAGTCCCCGGTGCACGAGTCGCAGGCGAAACATCCCTGCCCCGGAATCAGGACGTGTCTGTACGGACAATGGTCGCATTTCTCGCCGATAACGCCCGGAAGGCAGGTGCACTGCCCGGTGGTGGTGTTGCAGGACACCCCGACGGAGTATCCGGTGTTGCATCCGCACGAGGTGCATCCTTCCGGCCCGTAGTTCCAATATCCTGGAATGCACTGGTCGCATCTGCGTCCAGTGACCCCTGGCTTGCACTTGCATTGTCCGGTGTTCTCGTCGCATTGACTGCTCTCGGAAGCTAGATCGCAGCTACAGGCTTTGCATCCGTCGCAGCTGTTGTAGCCGTAATGATCGACCTCGCAACTGTCGCATCGGTCCCCGACCACGTTCTCGCGACAGAAACACTTCCCGGAGAAGCTGTCGCAGTGCTCCATTCCGCATTCCTCGCACATACAGTTCCGACAATCCTTCTTCTGGATGGCGTCGCCGTAGAATCCGGGCGCGCACAGGTTGCAAGCCTCGCCGTACGTGTTGTTCAAGCAATGCAAACATTCCCCGGTCACGGAGTCGCAGGAACCCACTTGATTCGTGTCGATGTTCCCGGAACACTCGCAGGGTTTGCAATAGTCCTCGTAGATCTCCGGGTTCCCGTAGTGCCCGGAGGCGCAGAATTGGCAACGGGCGCCGTAATAACCCGGAAGACAATCGCAGCTGATCTTGTTCCCTTCCTCGTTCACCTCGCAACCGGTCGCGAAGTTGTTCGAAGGTACGGGAAGGGGACAAGCGCAGATCAGACAGTCAGTTGGTGTTCCACCGGTCGCGTTCCCGTAGTATCCCTTCTGGCAGAACTCGCAATGGTCCCCGGTGGTGCCGTCCTTGCAATTCTACGACGAGAAGATTTGTTACAATTAAGAATAACTGTAAGAAATATATATATTAAGTCATCTCATAAGTAGTGTATCTCGGCGATGTGTATATAGAAACTTCTTTCTAGATAGACGGGATAGATGGATATAGATGGGAAAAGGTCATCGAAACTGATGGTTAATATATCGATGATTGAAAATAAATGTCACCGTCAAAAAACGACATTACTTATGGGATGACCTAATAATTTACCAAGCATATCCCGGTCTGAACGTCGCAAGTGTCGGCGTGCTCGTTGCACTCGCAACGAACGCATCCTCCATAGGGTCCGGATTGCACCCTGTAGTATCCAGGCGCGCATTCCTCGCAGGAAAGTCCTTGATAGTTGGGCGGGCATTGGCACTGCTCGACGCTGCTCGCCAGAACGTTATATTGGGGCGAATAAAACTCCGTCGTTACGTCCAGAAACACGTAGGACAAAGAGGCCCTGATGCTAGGATTCCAATAGGTAGCTCGGATGTGCATGCCTTGGAGGTTCTCGAGCACCACCATGAGTTGTTCTCTGGTGGCGCTGAGTCGATTGTGGGTCAGGAAGTTCGTCTCGACCAGCTCCAGGGACGCCTGGAAATTCGTGAACGACGGTGGTTGCTCGTCGGCGTAGTAGAACAGCGTGGTGTCGTCGCCCTGAAGTATCAAATCTGCCGCGCTGACCGCGTTACCGAACGGCCCCGTGCTGTAATGAACCGTGTAATTCAGATACCCTCCGTAGGATGTTAGCTTCTGCCCCAAGTAAGTCTCCGGCGCGGAGAAGTAAACGACCTCTCCCAAAGTGTCGTTGCCGGTGAGACTGGTCACGACGGTCGTCCCGTTGATCGTTTGCGGGCTCGTCGATAAATAGGTCAGGTTCAGGCCCTTCTCCCTCGATACGGTGAGGCCCCAGTCGATCATGTCGGACACCTGAGCCCTGTACAGATACGCGGACAGGCATCTGGTGGTCTTCCCGAAACAGAAACACTTGGTGCAACCGTTCTCGTTGTTGTCCTGTATGTTGAACGTGCCGTCTTTGCACACGTCGCAGGCGGATCCTTGCACGTTCTCCTTGCACGAGCACTCGGCGGTGTATTGGTCGCAGATGTCGACGGTCGTGCCCCTGGTGTCGCAGTCGCATTTCTCGCAATGCGGGAACTGCGAGTAACCGGGTTGACATTTGTCGCACTGTCTGCCGACCACGTTCTCCTTGCACTTGCAGCTACCGTCCTGGAGATCGCACTGCATGTTGCCGTCGATCACGCCGAGGGGCGAGCAGTTGCACTCCTCGCAGCCGATTATCGGATGGAACCCGTACGTTTCCACCTCGCACTGGTTGCACCGTTCCCCGGTGACCCTCGAGGGGCAAATGCAAGCACCGGTCTCCGGTTCGCAGAGAGCTGTGCTCGGGCAATTGCACGGTTTGCAGTTCGGGAACCCGTAGAATCCTGTCTTGCATATCTCGCATCGTCTTCCTATGATATTAGGCTTGCACGGGCACTGTCCGCCGAAATTCTCGCACTGGAAGCTTATCGTGCCGTCGATGTCGCAGTTACACGGCAACGCGCGATTGTTGTAGTTGGCCGTCAACGAGAAGATCGAGTCGCGACAGAATCCCTCCTCGGTGATGTTTATGTGGAAATGATTGTACCCGCATTTCTTGATGAACTCCTTGGTCTGATCGAACTGAATCTTTTTCAGGATCTTCTCGTTGTATTGCTCGTTGGGGATCACGAGGATGTAATCGAGCCAGATCCCGTTTCCAACGCTCTCCTTGAAGGTGATCATGAAGTTCTCGATCAGCTGGAACCTGATGTTGCCGTCTGCTTGCCTCACGACGCTACGACATCCGCTGTTACTGGGACAATGGGGCAAGGCCATCTTCGCCTCGTAGAACTTCCCGTTCTGTACCAGAACGTCGAGCTCGTATTCCGGATAGTCCGGCTGATAATACTGCACGACGAACGTGTAGTCGCCGGGCTGGAAAACTTTGGCGTGAACGTCGACCATCGTGTTCTTGTCGTCCAAGTAGATCAGCTTGGTAGCGTTGTCGTAGATACCGCGAGGTTTGTCCGCGGATTCCGGGACCGTGCTGATGCTCTCGAACTCGATTTTCTTCGCGTCCGCGGCTCCGGGGAATTGACCCTTGACACACGTACCATCCTTTTTAACGCAAATCGATTTCGGCTTCACGTAGTCCAGAGACCATTGGTAGTACGGTATGGCCACGACGGAATCGATGGCAACGTTCGAAGCTGGTTCCCCGGTTAAAATCAAACTGATGTAATTCGAGGGAAAGTTCATGGCAGCGATCCTGCCGTAGGTGTCGGTCACGACTTGCCTGCAGATGCTCGTGTACTTGCAAGGGTACAGAATAGCTTTCCCTTTGCCAACGGTGTTCGCCTCTATGAGGAGCGTCGACGTGACGTTCTCGTACTTTGGCGTGATATACGTGACGAGTAACACGTGTGGACCCGGTTTCGATACTCTCAGGTCAAAGTGTATCTCTTCCTGTTTGTCGTTGATCAATGGAACCTCGTCTCTGCCGATCTCCTTGAGAATGTCCCTCTCGACGAAGTATTCGGTCAGAGGAATTCTGACGTTGTTCTCGTTCAGGAATCCGCCGGCCCCGTGGACGGAGTCGAACCTCATTAAATTCGGATAGCCGTAGTGACGGCAAAGTCCCTTGTAACCGACCTCGCAAGGGATGTTAACGTCTTGGGTTAAAATGGACGCCTCGTAATACTCTGATGGTAATAGCACGAAATAATCGAGAAAGAGGCTCTTTTTGGTGGTGATGCTGAAGGACCAACGGCCCGGATCCATCACCATAGGCGAAGGATGATTACCGTGTGCTCCAGCGACCGTCACGAACGAAGGTTTAACGGTTGGTTTAAAGTTCACTTTGAATTGCTGTTCCACCTCCGATGGGTTTTCGGGAGTGATCGTGATGGTGCCTAGTATCGGTTCGTTGTTCGGGTTCACGTATCTCAGAACCATTCGGTACAGCGACGATTTCTGGATGTAGACGGTCAGGATGATTTCGTCTTGAAGGGTGGAGAATACCGCGTACCCCTTCCAACTGTACCCCGGGAAGTGTTCCTCGGTGAAACCGTAACGAACCGGGCTGTTGCTTGGCGTTCTGCCATCCTCCGCTTCGTATTGGAACTGATGAAGAGTCGGGAAATAGTGAGCCTTCAGGGGTTCTTTGCAGGTGAGACCGGTGACACGTGGTTGACACTGACACTGGCCCGTCTGTTTGTCGCAGACGGAACTCACGGATCCACCGATGTTGCAGGCACAATCTGATCAAAGGAAAACGGTAAGACTCGACTAACACCCCCAAGACATGAGTATTCTCGGTAATTATGTATCGGTAGTTTTTAGAGTACCTGTGCAGCCGAAGAAGTTGCTCTCTTGAAGACTGTAAGTTCCATCCACGCACTCGTCGCAACTTCTACCCATTACTCCGGGTTTGCAGATACATTGGCCGTTCTTCGTGTCGCACTCGCCGATATTTCCAATAACGCCAGGTATGTTGCAGTGACATTCTTAAAAAAAAGAAATTAGAATACAGTGGAGCGACCTGTACGCGTACAGTGCCCGAATACCTTCGAATATTTCGTAGTTTCCGTCGAGCTCTCACCTTCGCAGCCCTGGGAATTGTAAGGTTGCAAGTTCCAATAGAGCGGCTTGCATTGATTGCATATCCTCCCTTCGACGCGGTCCTTGCATTGACAAAGCTCCCCGGCTGGCAAAGAGCCACATCCCTGGAAGGTCTCGAGAACGCCTGCTGGGTCGCAGTTGCATTCCTCGCAGGTAGGGAAATTATAGAAGCCCTCCTTGCACTGGTTGCACATGGCCCCGTCGAAATTGTCCCGACACTGACACTTACCCTCCGCGTCGCAGGAAGCGCCGATAGAGCCGTGGCTGTCGCAGTTGCAAGCTACGATAAATCCCAACGCGAGCGGTTTGAACGTATCTTTCAATGTACTTGTTCGTTAATTATTTTCGATGGATTTACCAGTGCATTCGGGATACATGTAATATCCAGGACTGCACTGATCGCAAGTCTTTCCAGCGAAGTTCGTGAGGCAGGAGCATTTCCCTGTGACGTCGCAGCTAACTGTGGACGATCCCACCGTGCTGCAGTTACACGGTCGACAATTCGGATAACCGTAATATCCGCTGACGCACTGATCGCATCTCGCGCCGCCGTATCCCTCTTTGCACAGACACGCTCCTCCTGATTTGTCGCAAATCCCAGGCTCGGTTCCGCGGGCATCGCAATTGCAATCTGACGAGGAGACAATCGTTATTACACAAAAGTGTTATTCGCAATTAACACTTTGACTGTCGTGTCACCCATATATGGGTGACAGAACTTTTAACAGTGAATCAAGTTGAAATGTTAAAGAAAAGAAATTTTAATGACGTTACGAAAGTAATTGCTACGACTGCTTTTAAGTTCTGTAATTTACAATTGCCTGAAATCAAAGTTTCAGTCTCGTAAACGATTTAAGAAAACGTGTTAAACGCGTTGACTTCTCAAATACGTACACGAGCAGATCGGATAGTTGAAGTAACCGTCCTCGCAAATGTCGCAGGTTCTGCCGCCGTAATTGTTCTTGCACGTACAGTTGCCGGAAACCACGTCGCAGATATCGTTGAAAGAACCCTGAGGATTGCATCTGCAAGCTGGAAATCATACATGGTTTTGATTCGTAGGAGTAATTGCATATCTAAAGCGAAGCAGCTGAGGAAAGTGGTTGCTTACGCAAACATTCGGGGAAGTTGTAGTAGCCTTCCGCGCAGAGATTGCAATAGTGGCCGGCATAATTAGGCTTGCAAGGGCAGGAGCCGTCTATCGCCTCGCAATAATCTCCGTCCGTTCCTTTGAGGAGACACTGGCAGGGTACGCAATTTGGATAGCCGTAGTAACCATCGTTGCAACTGTCGCAGTCGGGAGGGCTGTACTCCTTGCGACACTCGCATTTGCCCGTGGCGTCCGCGCAGTTTCCGGTCGAGTAAAACATGTCGCAATTGCAGGCTGTCGAGCAAAGATTAATCGATGTTTAAATTCAAAGCTAGAGAGTAATCGTCGATTTTATAGAGCGATCGCTTACGTTGGCAGACGTCGGTCACATTTAGAGGCTTGTCCCGCGGTCTGTAGAATCGTGACTTGCAGCGATTGCAGTTCACCCCCTCGGTGTTATCGCGACAGTTCTGACACACGCCGCCACCCTCGTAGTTGCCGCGAATGTCCAGAGACAGGTGGTTCTCGTCGATTTCCGGGTCGTACTTGCACTCGTCCGCGTGGCCGAAACAGTTGCAAGCTGATCATAAATATTCGAAGCTTTAATCAAAAGTAGGGAGAGCTGGTAGACTAAATTAGAACGACGATATAAAGGACTCGTTAGCTTTCTATGGTCCCTCTTACGTTCACACGTGAACTTCTTAGCTGTCGTGGACTGTCGCCATTTCTTTTGCTCGAACCCTTTGCAACAGGTCGCGCACTGAGGGCCACAGGTGTTATGCTGGCATCTGCAGAACAGCTTCTTGGGTAACTTGGGGTCCAACACGTCGCAGGTGTCCGCGTGGCCGTTGCACATGCATCGACCACCGATGCTGATGTCTTTGATCGAGTAGAAGTACTGAAACGCGATAAAAACAAATGAATTTGTTCGTTCGTTCGTAAAATCGAATTTAAAGCGCTTACCCTTCTGGTCACCGTCGGATCCTCCGTCATCAACGACATCAGGTGCCCCAACAGGTTCTTCGTCCTCAAGAAACGGATACGAACGTTCGTCGCTCTGGTCCACTCTTGCAATGCAGTCGAGTTGAAGTAGTTCTTCGCGGAGGGACGGTTGTTCAAAATCGAAATCGGTATCTCGCCGCCTTCCAGCGGCACGATTTGGGAATACTCCGTGGTGCAGATCACGCTGTCGTCCCTGGTTATGGGTTTGTAGCTGTCCACGCCGAAGTAAGTCAGACAATCGTTCGCGGTGTCGGAGAAGTATTGCCAAGGGGACCAAGTTTTCCCGTAGTCCTTCGATTTCTCGAGAATCCAAAGCCCTGGCCTCGGCGAGTTTGCCATTTTCACGTAGACGTACGCCACGTGGAATTCCTACAGGAAAGTTTACTGGATTATTTTGTTTATTTCTATTATATTCTATTCCTGTCGAGACTATGTATTCGATAAATATTCGACGATTTCGAAGTTGTTAACGATAGTGATAGAGCTTGGTATCATGAGTTGTCGAGTGAGTACTTGAGCATCGAATTGCTTGAAAATTATAAGAAATATCGGTGTTATATCATCTTTTAACGACAGTTGCTACACGAGGGATACGTTTTCTAGACTTTTAGACACCACGCGAGAGAGTGAGGCAAAAACGGAGGGCTGAGAAACAGATGTGTGGGGTTCGGGACTTTCGGAAACATTACGATCGTGCCTTCCTCCTGCATTCCCGGCACACATGGTCGGGAATGCAGGAGGAAGAGTACGCCAGCGCGGCGCAAACGAGTCCTTCTCGGAATCTGTTTAGCGAAAATACAATAACCCCCGTCACTGCTAACGAAAACGTCTCACCTATAGCTTCTTAACTATTACGACACTAGTATACGCAAGATATTTCGCGATGAATGTTCAAAAAAACAGTCAGGAAGCAGACTGTTCGACGTGCAAAAATGAATCAATTTAACGTTATTATTATTATTATTTATTAACTAATTTAATAAATAAAGAAATAACGATAAGAATACTTTTTGTTCTCGAGTCGTAAAATCAAAGATTACATTAGGATAAGGAAATATCGGTTTATCGATATTTGTATCGCTTCCCGGATCGGTGTATTAACAAAAAGAATATCTAAACGTCGTACCATATGCCCAGCTACCTAAAAACCGTGTTTTCTATTGTTCTCCGGAAGCAATGGGAAGATAATTCTTCGCCGCGTTGCAGGAAAACGCCTACCACGTGATAAAGCAATTTGTTACAGATAAAGTACTTATTCTACAAGCTCATTGTTTCCTGCTGTCGTCAACCCCCGCCCTTGCCCTCGCGCGCCTAATTTCTTAAAAATTTGTCAGCCGCCGAAACGAAGCAAACGATCGTTGCGCGCGAAATATCGGATCGTGATCGGTAGACTGCGGATGTTTACGCATTTATGGGAAATTTTAATTTTCAAAAAGCTACAGAATTTAGTTAATATGCAGGAATATAAGAAATACTTAAAGTAAGGTACGAATTATTATATCTAGGGGTTGAGACTTCTACAAAGCTCCAATTTCAATAATTTTGTTAACAAAAATATGAATCTGCATGAAGATCCGCAATTTCCTCGATATACTCACTTGTCCCAGGTTGATCGTCAGATTCACCTCGTTGTACTTCATACCCCTGGAAAGTGGAGGCGATTGCCACCAGGTTTCCATACCGTCGACCGCAAACTCCGGCGGATGCGTTTTCTCCGGGTTTTCCGAGTCGCAGAAATCGCATACCTGTGTACACGCATTAACGGCGTATTATACGCCACATTTTTATTGAGAATTACAACTCCAGTAGAGTTTAGAGCGGAAGTAGATACATTTTAAAAGAATTTACCAACGCGTCTGAAATAGAGGGCATTGAAGCTATTCTAGTTAATCTATATAATCTCGACCATGCAAGTAGTATCTAGAAAAATTCTACGAAAATATGCGAGGGTTTCTTTCGTGGAGTCTTTATGGGACACAGTCGTGTCAGTTAGACCGTTCGGAATTTGAAAAAAACGAGATGGTCAAGTGTTATCGAGAGGTCACCTTTATCAGCCGCTGCTTATCGGTCCTCTTACTTCTAGTGTACACAGCATTTTCTTTCGACCCTACACACAGATACCGTACACATAATACCGTACGAATGGCCATTGACCAGGCCCCCGTAACGTTACGAATCTTCCAATAATAGCAAATCCATCGCGTGCATCGCGAGAAACGTTTGTCGTTTCAACAAACACGAACCCGATGTTAAATGGCAAAGAAAGTTTCTTGTATTCCGTGGCAATGAAATCGTATGTATAATGAGTGATTAAACGAAGGTAGCAATATATGTGTATGTGAACGAGCAAAGGGAGGTACGTGCAGATAACACCGATCTATCTTACAACCCATTATTTGGTTTTCTTTTCCGTTCGAACAATTATTTAATATTTATCTCGAAACGAATGTCGAACGTTCGGTCTCGTTCTAAGAAATTTTATCTGAATTTGTTCTTTCGAGACCAAGAGTTTATCAATCTCGGCACAACCGACCGCTTACTCAACTACTTCCTCTTTCTTCCTTTTCACTTCTGACGTTGTAGATGCGCCCGGGAATAACAGAGAATAAATTCCACGATTCTCTGTCGAACACAGATCATTATCCGCGCTGAATAAATCTAAAGCTGAATATTTGAATGCAAATTATTCTGCAGCGAACTGCCCACCAATGTGGCTTTAATGATTGTTGGTATACGCGTACTACTATCTGGCTCTTGGAACTGCGATAAGAGGAGATCGCGCTAATCGTTTATATACGGACGAGCGTGAATGAAGTCATACGTGAAAGAAAGCCTTTCATTAATCGACGCGTGAATAGTGATCGCCGAGCAACGCCGAACCATGTGTTACGAATTATACTGTCAGCGAAACTCGAACAGTTATATAAACCTCGTTCCGTCGATGTTTAATCATCGGCAGACAAAGGTTGGGGTTTCTTGTATTACGCGTAAGTCTAGATGCAGATTATCCCTGTAATCCGAGAGGATAATCGCAGTCCTCTTCATAGAAAATTACCCCTGCACATTGACGTGAGAACGGCTTCTCGGCAAACTGAGTCACAGAACCTTTGCGGGTCGTTTCCAGACAATATTCCGAACGGTATTTTTTTTTTAAAGCATTCCAAGAATCACTCCAAAATAATCGAAACTATTCTACAGTCGTATGACTTGGTAAAAAAAAACGAGAACTTTTCGGCTGATTATTAAGAGCAAACTACTTTCTAAATAAAAAATTATTTTTATCTTTCGCGTATCGTTGCGAAATGGTCCCAACCGTGACAATCGACGAGTCTAAAAACGAACTAAATTAATAATTTCAGTGAAATAGGAGCGTGATAATTTATCGACTCGCTGTATCCATTGATCCATTGACTGTACGGGTCCTATAGATCCATTCGGTAGTGTGAACATAGGCATACCTGACCCTGTATCAGATTAATGTCCTCGTGCTGATCGGCGTTCGCGCCTACGAGCTTGCAGTAGAGCTCCGGGCCGGGGGTGTCGACGCCACACGTGGCCGACGCGACGATTTCTTTACCCTCGGCGAGATTAAAGTACGGCGGCGTAAGGATCTCGTTTCGCGCCTCGTGGACCAGAAGACCGGCCAACGAAATGATCAGCAACCACCTTGCCATTGTGACAGCGGACAGATCAGGTCCACCGCTGCCCCCGCCTCGCCTTCCTCGTTCTTAAGGGTTCCCGTGTACTTCTGGTATTCGAACAGCTATACGAGAGACTCCCGTCCTTTCCCTCTGTCACCCTTCTTTGTCCCTCTCCGACACTCTTTTTCTCTCCTCGGGAGAACGCGGCGAGAGAGACGCGGATGCTGATGGTGCTTGAGCGGCTTCTCGGTGCAGACTGACAGGCCGGAGGTCATCGAGGACCGGCGACCAGCGGTGGTAGAGGGGCAACGGGGGTGACGAGCCTAGAAGGATGACCCACACAATGTGTGGCACACACTTTAAAAACATATGCCATTCCGGTACCCCTATACACGTGCGGGGCGCTCTCTGCTCGCAAGGATCTACGGATCTATTTTGTCCTACCGCTCTCCTTGCAACCGAGTTACGTTAAAACGATCGTGAAAAATAAAAGAAGCATTTTATTTATCAAATTATTTTTATCGCTATTTATAATTGCGAATCTTTGTATTACGAACGTTTCTCTAATTAATTTGAGTCCCCTTGTTCTAATATTGTAGCGTAAACTATGTTCGTGGCAGAAAGTATTGGCCACTCAAGGTCATCGAGCGATTATCGTCTTCGTTGTATCGTTTTACTCGATGGCCGCGTAACAATCGTTTTTTTTATTCAAAACGTTTGATGTAAGGAAAATGATGCGTGAAAAAGGATATTGTCAATGTATCGGTCGCATCCAGGGTTTCATCTTCAATAACATTTTTACTCAACATGATGTCGTTTATGTACAATTCCTTATTGTCTTAGAATGACGTTTATTACTAAGTATTATTTTCGTCAACAAGTACCGAGCCTGAAAAATTCAACAATCCGTAAGCGTAACTACATTAATTTCATAATATTGAATTTTTTTTTCCAATTTCTTAATCTTGTTTTACTCGTTGCCGTCTATAATGAATAGCGGATAACATGATACTGGAGCTTAAAAGTACAGATATAATAAAATTCCCTAACAGCAGAATGTCCGCTGAATCCATCCATATCGTGAATACCCTCGCTACAAATGAAAATGAGAATTTGTTAAACTTCGTGAAGCAAAGAGGGATCGATCTTTTTTTCGATATCGATGACTTACTAAGATTCGTGAAGGCAGAAATAAACCAAGTAATTGGCGAAACTGTATCTGCATTTTTGGCTCGCAAGATCGCTAGTAATTGAATGACTTTACTCGAAGCGGAAATCGGTGTACACATTGGCTATAAATCAAATAAAAATATCCAAATATTATTTCTCAATATTTCAAAATTATTGCTCGACCGTTTTTATTAATATTGATCAATGAACCAACCGCTAAAAAAATAAGAACGCGTTTCGGAATTATTTGTAGTGCAAAACATGCACTTGTGGCAAAATAAAATACTGTGACTAGAATTGAAAATAAATTAATTTTATTTAAGTATTTCAAGACTAGAAAAATTAGGATATATTCTTGGAACAGAATAATAGGATACTCCAAATAAGATAGTATTGAGTAACCATTTGTGTAATTGTAACTGGTTATCACAGTATAGCTGTAACAAGCATAAATTATTGTTAAAATTCAGTTTTGAGGAACCAACTATGTATGACATAAATAGAGCTTACCTTGTTAATTCTAACAGTAGAGCCACTATTGAAATTTGAGCAGCTGACTTGGCAGAAAATAATTTTAGAATTTGTGGAATTTTTGATACAAAGCACATGCCTATTGTTATAAGGCTTAATAGGTCTGCCAATTGTTGGGCCAACATAATTTTCTATTTTCAATTTCCCTGCTCCAATATCTGTAATTTTTGGTTCAAGTAATAAATAATATATTCTTATTGTAAATTTCTTCATTTTTCATGCAATATAACTTACAGATTAAAAGAATATATAAATTCAAAGGTACATGATAATCACATTATATTTATTAAAATTTAACATATTTACAAAATTACAGTATTGTAACATATTTTTCCTGACAGTTTATATAACTTCACACCCTCTAAAGCTGTTAAAAAAAAAAACAATAAGTTACGTTTATGAAATTATAGTTTGGTAATGGTAATTTACTTAATACTGGTATTTAACTGTTTTTTTTAAATATTTACTTGTCACACCTGCTACTACTGACGTACAAATGACAGAGCGGATGTAAATGTCCCACATTTGCATATATAATTTCTCGCGTACGCCTCGATCATTGTCAGGAATGTTTCACACTTGCGTAATCACAAATGCATACGCGCATACATAAATAATAAATTGAAATTTATAATCGTTGTCATGAAACAACCGTCTGCATCCCCTTCGATAGCAGTGTTTCCAGATTTGACACAACGTACACAGATGTACAGTGTACGTCGGTATTGTACTATAGTGGGTTTCATTTTCTAGTAATATTTCGGTACTAAAATCTATCTAGTGTGATAATTTAATCGCACCAATTGTGGCCAATCATATTCAAGAACGGATTCCCACTCTTTTTAGACCTAAAGCTCTCTACGCATGACATTTGTCGCGAAATCATATCTGGGAACACAGTCCGAAAACATTAATGATAAAACATACGAAGAGTTGTGTGTTACCGAATGAACGTCTTATTTGAAGAATTATCGAAATAAAATATTCTTTATATTATTTAAGATATTTACCTTTTGTCTTGCGAATCTGATCTATACATTTTTAATACTTTACATCACTCGAGTATATTCTTTAATTTTAATTTCTACTGTCATTTTTTTAACGAAATAAAATTGGAATAGCTGCATTATTAATACAATAATATATTGTCAATTTAATAGCTTAAAGAAAGGTGGCATTAAGTACTCGATACATTTTCATTAACACGCATAAATATTCATTCTCAAATGATTCGAAAATTGTAAATAATCGCGGTTACTAAATTGCATAAAAAGTTTCTATATCGCATTACGAATAAATAGAAGTTTAAATATATGTTTCGATGATTCAAGAACAAACGGGCCAAGGGTGCGAATAATATCGTTTCGAATTGTGTAATCACATTGGTGGCTGCAGTTTCTCCTTTTGTAAAATAGTACGTCGTCGATCCCGGAAAGTACTCGAATGGAACTCTTCCTCAGCATGACAGACGGAATGTGGGAACGGAACTGACATGGAGTAAACTGTAACGTGAAGGATTCGCGTTCTGTCTTTTAAATATCGATTTGTCTGTCGAGCGGACGTTATGTGACAACGATGAACGGTTTTTTCACACACCGTTCCATTGACGGGAATTACGTGAATGCGATCGAGATACGAGTAACCTAGCATAAGTACGTAATTCCAATATTTCACTTTCAAAACGTCAAACGTAATTTAGTACTATCTACGACACAAATATCAACCTTGCCGGGATGTTAAGTATTCGATGTTCGGCATGCACTTTGGATCAAGATATTTCGAACATTTTATACGATAGGCGAGCGAGAAATTAATCGTACCAAGGAATTATCTCGATTTTTGTTTGCAGTGCACCAACGTGGGTTTAAATTCTTTCTTGAGACGAATTCAAGATATTGTTTTATCATGTCATGTGTCCTTTGACAGTGCCCAGTACTTTTCGTAGGAATACTTTTCCTCTAAATCATCCTCACGTCGCGTACATTTCTATAATTTTTGCTTCGCGAAGATAATACTATACGGTTCTCGATGGAAGGTTAAATATTCGAAATTCGTAAAGTGCAAAGTGTATTTCCTTCGAAGATAATTTTTTTTTTATGTTGGCTCAAATAATGTCAACTTTAGACGATTATTTGCAAATTAATCACAATAATTTTCCTTAAATTTGAAAAAAATGATTAGCTTTAGAATGTTTTGTTAGACAGATATTGTTTTTCAAATCGCTAAGTGTTTTTTGAATGTGTTTTCAGTTTATTATTCACAATGGACCATGCGAAAAGTATAAGCATGTATGTAAACATGAAGATCATGAAACATTCGCGTATTGCCCGTAATTGTTATTTTCAGGTAAGAATCTTTGACCGATCTAAGAACCAATTCGATATTAAGGAACATAGAAAAATCTAAGAACGATCGATGATCAAATATCTAATTTAATATTTTATTGTGATATTGTAGGTAACAATGTGGAACTTCCAAAAGTTTTGGCTACTATAAACCTTTTAGTGAACAAACAAATCACAAGCATTGAGATGGACTCTCCACCGTCATGTTCGCTAAGCGCTACTGGACCTCTCAGTGATCTTGGTAGCAGTGGAATTGGAGGGTCCATTTCTAGCGATTCTGTTCGAGCGCATCTTGCAATCGAGGTATAATTCGCCGCGATATATCATTAATATTTGGACAAGATATTAAGAATATACAGTAGTGTCCGTTTAAGTGCTCCACAAGTCGCTTGGTTTCTAAGAATTGGTGGGGACAACCGCGGTCGCTTAAGTGGGCACTACTGTAATAAGTATTTTGAATTGGTCGAATACTTGGTTTTCTTTTAGATGCAAGAAAGTGATATAGAGAGTAAATCTTTGTCACAAGATTCTTTCGATTATTCCGATGGTATGTGTGGCGAAAATTTTAATACGTTAAAAAAAGGACCAGGTTGGGCCGATGCCGATGGAAAACTAGAAGTTGAAGTGGTTGACGTAGCTATTAAACCTCCACCAGAGTTTCAAGATAGTCCTTCTCCTCCCAATTCAGAATCTTCGTCTGCACCAATTCTTAGCTATGCACGATTAATGAGGCAGAAAGTTCCACAATTAATAGACGATTATGCTGAAAATTTAGTACAGTCAACGATCGAGGAAGCATTAATAATATCTTGTAGAATATCATGGCCAGAAGGAAGAATAGCACCCGCTACAAACCGTGTACCAGTCTTAACTCGCAGTATGCACAATCCGAAACGGTTTTGGGCAACGGACTTGTTGACTCCTTCGTCGTATCAAGGCACTACCACTCTGATCACCCCGTACAACACTTTGAATCGTCCGAATTCGCGATGTTCTCTAGCGTCTTCTCGCTTGTCTAGTTCTCATAATTCGATAAATACCTCGGGACTAAGTCATAAGGTAGATGACAGCAGTTTCATAACGTCTGCTATGTCGCACGATGTTTTAACGACCAGCGAGATAAGCGATATGTACAATGTGCCCTTTGATTCAGACATTTATACCGTACCGATAGATGTTGTTAGACCTTTGCATGATCTTAGAATACAGCAAAGGCCGAAACGTCACAGACATCATCGTAAGAGAAGACGAAACGTATCCGCCAGTTCTCAAAGCGAATTAGAAGCTCATATTCAACAGGCAAGGCATTACTGTGGAAAACCACGTGCTATTACACACGTCATTAAATCCCAGAGACTGCTGTCTGATGTATGCTGCAACGAGAGTGGAAATGGAAAACGTCACAGTGTTCCAGGAACGTCGGGCCGACATGGAACTCGAGCGTCCAATGGTCACATGCATAACATCGGAGAACCGATTCACATGACTTTACACGAAGTGCGTCAATATTTGCAAACACTATACTCAAGCTCCAGTGATTCCAGTGAAAATAAACTTAAACGCGATAATAAGGCTCCGATAAGTCATACGCCTATACACCTTGCAATGCCGAAAGGTATTAGTGTAAATAATAATAATAGGTATAGTAACCCACATACAGACTCGTCGACGGATATTCCAATTTCAAACAAAAATAGCAATGGACTGATACACAATAACAATAATAATAATAATAATAACAATAATAATAATGGTAACGTTAAGAAGCATAAAAAGAATACATTCGTTAGTATTAAACACAAAAAAGTAAAAGAGGAACCACACAAAGAGAAGGTTGATTCCGAAAGGGAGAAGATCAAGAAGAGTCAACGGAATTTTTCGCTGAATTTCAAGCAAACGCTTTGCAATATATTCAGATTCAGGCGTTTGGGTTCCCCGGACCACTTTGTAGAAAAACGAAACAGCATTGTACAGGGTGAAATTGTAGAAGAGGAAGAGGGCGTTGATTCTGACCAACATGCTAATAATAATAACACTACCTCGGAGGTAGATTCCTCTGTGCAAAAGCTACCTTTTTTTAAACGTGCGTTACCGCCGTTGCCGAAAAGCAACGGGCATGTAGGCGTAGAGCAAGCGGAAGACGCGCTTACAACGATGGTATCTAAATGCGAGAGTCCAACTTCCTTGCAACAGATGCCCGCACCTACTCCAAAAGTTGAGGAAGAATCAACAGAGGATACTAGTATGGACTTTGCTGCTAGCATTGAGAAAGTGAAAGATGTATGTAATTAAAATTTTTTAAATTAAAACATTGAATCAAAATTTTAATCAATCGTATGAAACAGTATGGATGGTATTGGGGCCCAATATCCGGTGAAGCTGCGGAGAAGATACTGTCCAATGAACCAGATGGGTCATTCATTGTGCGGGACAGTAGCGACGACCACTATATTTTCTCCTTATCGTTTAGACTTAACAGTTGCGTACGACATGTGAGAATAGAACATGATCAGGGTAAGTTTCATGCTTTTGCCGACAGATATTTTTATACGTGTGTATAGTTTAATATAAATTCTCTACGTTACGGATACAGGTAATTTCAGCTTTGGAAGTTGCACAAAATTCAAGTCACATACGATTGTCGATTTCATTGAAAACGCGGTAGAACATTCGCGTAGTGGGCGATACCTGTTTTTTCTTCATCGACGGCCAGTGTTAGGTCCGATGCGTGTACAACTTCTCCATCCAGTGTCGAGATTCAAACAGGTTCAGAGTTTACAGCACACGTGTAGATTTGTTATTTTGAAGATGGTACGCAGGGATCTTATTTCGACTCTACCTCTGCCACGGCGGCTCATCGATTACTTGAGCACGCCGCATTATTACAGTGAGCAGTTAGCCGAACAAGACGACAGAGCTGAATCACCTGTTAGTTCTTCGACCGGTGAATTAGAGAAGATTTGTTTCACACCGCAAGGCCTATCGTGAGGTACAAATACATAATCTTTTGTTCTTTATCTTTGTAAAATACTTGCCAAATGTTTAAGTATCGTGTTATATATGATTTAAGATATAAGAGTTTACAAGATTTCATATGATTCTGTTAAACAGTATCACGATGAAATATAAAAATGGTTGTTTTCCCATGCATTTATATGTTGATTTAAATTTTAAACGATATTTATCATCTTTTCGAAAAGAAGGGTAATCCGTTCCACGCAGCTCGTATATAGGATTATAAATGTAGTTACTTGCATAAACGTGCTAAAAAAATAAATAAAAAAAAAAAAATAAAAAAAACAGAAATATAAGGCGAAAGGTAAAAATTCGTTGAGAAATGATTTTCAGTCAGAATTCGCGTTCACGTACTTCTATTAAAAATGCACAAATGAAATAGCCGTTTAGTTTTGGAATTGATTTTATTTCGTTGCGTTAAAATTGTTTCAGAATTGCTCGTAAAATAAATTCCGACGAGTTATACGTATTATTAATATTTTAACTTAAGTTCCTGTTTGTTGTTTTAAAATAACGTTAAAATTTCACGTAATACGATGGACATGTAATATTTGTATCTAATGATGCAAAGCAGTGATCGAGTAACTCCTTCTTGGGTGCCATATATCTTAAATCGCTATTTTAAATCGGATAATAAAATCATAAATGCTTTCACTTTCATTGAGGTTTTTGTTGATCTGTTTGCCGGAGATTATTCAATTACAGTAAACTTCCGATTATTCGATCTCGCATCAACCTGTTATATTTTTGTTGAGATGAAATTAATTAACATTGGTCATTGTTCAAACAATCTTTCTCTTATTAATATAATTAAACCTCATATATATGTTTATGTGTACATTTTGATTTCGTTAACATAGATAAATGATAATTTGTATATATTTTCAGATTAATCGGTCATTCGTTTTGCCGGTAAGAATCCATAGGGATTGTTTAATCGGGAGTGTCTACTGTATGTTTTTTTATTGATTGCTATAAAATTCTGAAACACGCGTTTTATTATAATTAAAAAAAAGACTACAAATATAGTCAGACTATATCTTAAATACGACGTTCCATTTCATTGGATAGTGAATACAAAAATCAATGAATCGTTTCTGAACATTGATGCACATACAAGCAATTATGGAAAAAGGCAGTAGGCTAACGTTACATTAAAGTATATTCTGGCATATATAAAAAATCAGTTATTGTGTCTATCAACTGTAGGAAGTTTCAATATTAATGGGTTCAACAAGTTGTTGTATCACGTTTTAAGTTTAGACGTAGCTGCCACAGACTGATTAACTTAGAAGAAATATTCAACGAACTAATGGAATCATAATGCTGTATAAGTATCTTCATGCAAACATCAATCGTATTTCCTCACAAATTATTATGGATAATTGCTTTTAAGAATAATCTTTGGATAGACCTGTGTTTCATTTCATTGCATTACATTATGATGTAGATATATTTATGTGTATATAACTTGATTTGATAGCATAATATTAAATCGCTAAGACGCTATAAGTTTCTGTCATATTGACTATATGTATATTTTGTGATTTTTTTTTTTTTTTTTTTAAATCCGTGAAGTATAATTGATGTTATGATGTGCAATTTTCTTGAATGTATCACACATTTTTTTGTTCTTGATAGCCAATTTTAAAATAAGATTTAATGATATTTACCTAGAGAGGTAAACAATTCTGTGTTAAAACTGATTAGCGACTGGTGCTATATAAAATTATAAATTATGGAATTTTGATTCCTTAAATTATGCAGTTGAATCAAGGTAATCGAAGTCACTGTTTATTCTTGTGCTCAGATAAACTTAAACAAGATAACATCGTGCAATGCACTTAACCGAATTTAGTTATATTATTATTAATTTTACGTAATTAGTTTTTATTTTAACTATATAGAGTTTTTACTGTTCGGCGAGGTTCCGATGAACATTAATTTTCAAATTTTATTTACAATCAACGTATAAATTTTAGCTTATAACTTACTACTAAGAATTAATATAAATTAAATAAAAAAAAAAAGTTTTCAAACAATTCACAATTTCGAGTAACCAAATGAAGAAGTAGAAAGGAGCTTCAGATAAATTTAGTGAATTGTAATAATATATATTTTTGTTTCTGTCCCTTTTCTGAAGAAGTGTATAATTTCGTCTTCAGAAACAGAGACATTACTTTGATAAATTTGTATTCTTTAATGCTATACAGAGCTCATATTACAAAGCGCTGATATAAAGATAGATTTTTCAAGGAGGGAGGAAGTTTTTATACGAAATGTGCACTGACTGTTATTAGTAGACACATTGATTAACAGACATTTGATTCTTTTTTATCTTTAAGTTGCTTTTCCTGTGCAGCTTCATAAATCATTAAATAGTGAGGGCCACATATACATATTGCTCAGAATCTTTTGTTTGCACTTTTGTGAGCGTTGCAGTACTACACAAACAAATTTTATACTCAATATTCACGTGGTAGATTTTGCAATACAATTACTATTACCGGATTGTCTGAAAAGATTAAATCTAAGAATGAATCTAACATATGTGAAGCATGTGCGTATAATTAATGGTTAAAGGCACCATGATACCTCAGCTGCAGAGGGAGGTATATAGAGCAGAATTAGTACCATTTTATAACAAATATATTTTACATTAATATAAGTTGCACATACGTATTCTTGTGGAGAAATTAGTGCTACTGAGAAGCATTCATGCTTTATTTAATTATATTTTACTATATTTAATATCAACGTTTAAAAGAAAGATTCTATGCCAAGCATTTCTCAATAACTCAATATGTTTCGTAAATAAATATTTGTTTCGCATTATTATGGACGGGGAAGTGTGTCATTGAAGAGTTTTGTATTTTTATAATGCTTTCCTAGCGGAAGCATGCCGAAAGCATTGAATTCAATGTACACTTCTTACACTGAAATGTAATATTCTTAATTCACAAATGCTCGTAATTAAATTGTACATTTTCCATAAGGAAAAAACCAGTAATAATCAGAGGTATAAAATTTTTTAAAAAGTAAGTATTCTTCTAAATAGAACACCTTTGACGCTGGTTGTGAAAATGTACGGTTCGATCAAATCTTTAATCAGAACGCTATCACGATCGATCATTTACAAATGATGCACTTGGCATAGAGTAATACGTATTTGTTATATACCAAAGTTTACAATTGTATTCAAAGTATAACATTTACTTGTATTTCCTTGCAAATTCTTTAAAACTCGTCTAAATATTTATTGATTTGAATAAGTATACACTTTATTGGGTGTTAATTTTATCTGGTATATCAATTGTACTAACATATGTACAAATAATTAAATAAACCAAAAAGCGATATTACAGAGAAACAATAAATACTTATAGATTTTTAAGACACGTACAATGTTATACTTTGACTATAATATATTGGTACATTGATCTTTATTATTGTTTGTTATGTATAATTGACAAGTGCTAGTCATAAACATTGCATTTTAAGTTGGACTTCAGTATTGTTTACTAATAAATATCAATTTACTTCCAAAAACTTGTATTTATTTTTCATCTTTTTCAAAGATAAGATCCAAGCATAATTTTAATATAGGCTATAAGTTCTAAAAATATTCGAACTATTTATTAACATCGATTTAATATGAGCTGATAATTATATCTTTGGCTACAATTATATGCTTTATTCATTTTAAACTAATATAGTTTACTAATAAGTTTGATGATTATTAGAGCTAAGGTTGCACAATAATTAGGAGAAACCTACTATAAAAATTTTAATTTTGTAAATACTTAAGGTGACTCAGAATATGTTTGCAATATGAATAACATTAACAAATTAAGGCATATGACATTATAAATTAAACGAAACCTAAATAAGAAACACATGTATCGTTTGTTTTCAAAGGAATTCTAAAAAATTTTAAGTTTAAGGAAATTACGGATAATCTAACAATTTTTAATCATTTTGTGATAAATATTTTTTCATTTATAATCGTATTTCGTACAGTTTATAAGAGTGAACATGATTTTGTTAAGGCTGCAAATGTTTAATCTGAAAAATATCCGTGATATAATGTCAAATTTAATAGAATTTTCGTGATTGTAACTTAAATTATTTTATGCTCGCGAGCATAAGAGAACCGTGGTTTTGATTAGTTTATTATAGTAGAACTATAAAACAATACACATATATTTATCTTGGAAGGTGGAAAATAAAAAACTTTTTTAAGATTAGTATACCTAGCTATTTTTTATTTTAACACAATGTATTTGTTATTACACTTATTACTATACATGTTTGTAAAATATGTACATACTTGCTATCACACAATATTAGATTTTAATAAAGTTTATTATTTTAAATGCAATATATATTTCCCACCGAATCGTATGATATTTTTAATTATAGTTTTCTTTTCAATTAAGTAATCAGCATCTTCATTTAAAGTGGGATACCAAGAGTTTTTCGAACAAGCTTTTGAGCAATTCTTTCGAATTCAGAGCGGTCCTCTCTCCACATTTTTGCGGCATCAACGTTTGCTCCACTTTCATCATTTGGTTCAGCTAACATACTTACCACGCTGAGCAATATTTTTTCTACACTTTGAACTGGACTCCATCTTTCAGCACTACTTTCATAACCCATAGGATCATCACCAGGTGCGTGTAGTATACTTATACATACTCTTCCATCTGCATAAACTAAATTAAAGATCGAATTGTGAGTCTGTTAAGATTTACAGTAGTGCCCGTTTAAATGACCGCGTTTATCCCCGCCAATTCTTAGAAGCTAAGCGGCTTCGAACATCGAGCGTAACTTGACGCCGATCGTTATCGATACATTGTATATATAGTTTCTCGAACTTATCCTCTTTCCTTATCTCCGTCGAATTCTGAGAAGTAACCATGCCCACATAAATGACCGCGTCTGGCCCCGAGCGTGGTCACTTAAATGGGCACTACTGTATATAAAATATAATAAATCAAATGCTTAATCTAGAAAAATCTTACTATTTGGATGAAACATTTCACAGGTGAACTGCATCTTTGGTGGACTTAATGGATAGTCTGGTGGGAATATTAACTTTGCTGGAAATACACCACCCTCGAAGCATGTTCCCTCTGGTCCACTGCAAATGAATACCAAGAATACACAAAGAATAAAAGAGACAAAATCTTGTATTAAACATAAACATATGATCTTTAGCATAAAACTAGAATATGACATATACATTTAACATTAAGGTATGCATGAAACAAAATCAGAAACTTGTATAAACAGAAAAGCTATGTCCTCGGATTAGTTACTTACCTGATCAAAGCTTCCCATTCAAAAAAGTTCTCTTCATTTATCGGGCCAGCAATAATGCCTTCGGGTGGATTTAAGGTTAGCTCTGCAAGTTACGTGTACCTGTTATATCGTTGTTCGAAAACGAACGTAAAGGAAAGCAAGGGAAAAATTTGGATGCGAAGCTTCTAGCAAAACGCGAGGGTGCAAAACTAAAATTTGATTCTCACGTTTGTATTCTGCCATTAATCGTCGTAACGCAGAACCCGCCATTGTTTTGACCATGGGTTACTATTGCTATTACCAAACGGCAGACAGGTAACCCTCGATGCACCAGGAACTTCTCATTTCACTTTCGTACATTATGCCAGTGTAGGGGACACTAGAGACATTTCCCTAGCACCTAGGGAAAGTCACTAGATGGAGTTGGTGTGGCATCCGTGTAGAGCGCCACGCTACGCCAGTTGGAATAAAGCTCTGAGACAAGGAACACGTGTCGTACTGATATTCCCGTTATCCCTACGCATCCCTATACCAGATCACGTGTACGTGGACGAAATCTGGAGTTCCTGGTACACCTAGTGCCCGGGTCTGGTAATAGTGACTGTGGTACATTCTATTCTGTGTCTCGTCTGTGGTGAAACTTGGTAACTTTTCCCTCACGCGATATGATTCCGTAGATCGTAATTAAGTCGAATATCAATTCGTAATTTCAAATGGCGACAGAGGAGCACAAATATTTAGCAAATTTTATAAAAACTACGCATGCTACGTTACGAGAAGAGGCACAGAATTTCGGACCCGAAGTTGCGTGGAAACGACACGTAATTCGCAAAGATGTTTTGCAGGTTCATTTCTTGTTTTTTTTTGATTTTATCTTTTATGTATGGAAGAAGCTTCTTTTATTACAACAATATTGTAACAATCGACAATATAAAACAAAAGAATTAAGCTGTTTTATGTATCAGTGGTTATCTCAATACCACAGATACAAGCTACTGGTTTTTAGTTTCAATTTTATGCTCTGAGAATAATGAGAATAATAATATGTTATATTGATTTTGTATGTTTGTGTTTTAGAAATATGCCTCGTCTATGCAAAAATTGGCAACTACGTATTGGATGGAAAATAATGTGAACACAAAGAATTTGATTCTCTGTAGAGTGGAATGGATTATCTTCCAATGCATGGATTACTTTTTAAACGGTGGAAGACAAAAATATGACGAGAGGGAAGATAATATCAAAAGAAAAATGAGTACAAATTATGTAGAAACTGAACTTGTAACAAATTGTAATTGTAATGTTAGAAATGAGAAAATTGATGTATTACATTTTGATAATATTCTTGATAACTCGACTAAAAAATTAATGTTACTAGACGTAGGAAGCTGTTACAATCCTTTTGGAAATTTAAATATGTTTGAGGTAACAGCGATAGATTTAAATGGTATAACCGATAAAGTTTTACATTGTGATTTTTTAAATGTTCGTATTGGGAAAGAAAACCTGTTCTCCAATGATAAGCAATCGATTTTGCAGTTAGCAGAAAACTCGTACGACGTAGTTGTATTTTCTTTGTTTTTAGAATATCTACCGTGTCCTAAGCAAAGGTATATTTGTTGTAAAAAAGCATATGATCTGTTACAATTTCGTGGTATACTTTTCATTATAAGTCCCGATTCGAAGCACGTTAATGCAAATGCTAAACTCATGAAATCGTGGAGATACGTGTTAAGTAAATTAGGATTTATGAGAATAAAATACGAAAAGTTACGACATGTACATTGTATGATATTTAGAAAATCTATGTTTAAATGTGTTGCGTCAAGATGGGCGAATTTACAAGCTTTACCAGTAAACGATCCTTTGTATCAAACTAGTACTGCTGTTTATATTCCGCAAGATTTTCGTAATGTGTCCAGTGAAGTTGAACAAGATGGAAAAGAAGAATATAATACAAACGAAATGATTTCTATGTTCAATGAATTACCTTTTGACGGAACATAACGCTAAAAATAATTGTTATTTTAATTATGGAACTGTGGATTTTATAAAACTATAAGAAAGCTGCAAATTATTTGCATCTTTTATTTAATAAATTATTTAAATATTTTTGTAACAGTTTGTATTTTATCAGTATTCAATTTCGTTCTTTAAATTTTAGCGGATAAATATATAGTAACATTCGTAGATTTTTTGCGGTTCAAATCTTGTCTGCGATTGTCTATGACTCTACTCCATCTTGTCCGCCATTTTGAATGCCTCTCTTCTTCTTTCCGTTGGTGGTGCACGTGGTAAGTTTGTCCTCGCTGTTTAATATGTTTGCAAATCATATTCTTCGTTTATTATACTTATTATAATGTAAATAATATTGAATAGTAAATCATTTTGTTGAAGTTGACAAAAGAATTTAATAGTATCGGTTGAAAGTGTGGTATTTTGGTTAAGAAGCAAAGTGAATCAAAGTTAACCTCAAGGTAGTTTTGTAGTAACATGTGTACACGTTCGTAAAGATAAGACTGTTTTAATAAATAAAGTAATAAATGAACGAATAATTGTTTCAGATTATTCAAGATGTCGTCTCATTTGAATTGGATGATTATTCGTAACAATAATGCTTTTCTTCTAAAAAAGCGTAATATCAATAAACCATTCTCCAAGGTTTGCACCATATTTCGCTAATAGCGTTTGTAGACTTTTATAATTTTATTCAGTGTTAGTAAATTTAACGGTAATTATGTGTTTATGGATAATACGAAATTTCAGGAACCAAATAATTTGACTAACCTCAGTAGCTATCGTTACTCTGGTTTGATCCACAGAAAAAGTGTTGGCATTGTTGATGCACTCGACAAGAAAGGTTTCACAGTTGTTTATAAAAAAGCAAAATCAGTTAAAAAGCCTGCAAAAGCCACTGTTCGGTGTACAATGAAAGCGGGAGCTCGTCGTTCTTTGTACAAATTGAAAAGATTGCTCACAAAAAATAAATATCGTGTTGATCTGACCAAGGTTAAATTGTTTAATCAGAAGTAGTGAATTTTATTCGTAGTAAAATTTGAAATTTTTTTTAACAATAGATGTTTTGTTTCTAGGTTGCTCTCCGTCGTGCCAGTGCTGTATTGCGCTCCCAAAAACCTTTACCCGCTAAGAAAACTCGTACGACCAAAAAGGCTGATTAATTCATGTACATTAATAAATATATGTTTTAATCTAAGGCTACAAACATGACATGCTGCAAAGAAGAGTTGTTCACATCTAGTATCTTGAAAAACGTTTATAAATTCGATAATTGTAGGTGTAACATGTTTTCTTTGCAATCATGTTCAGTGTACTTTAATTTAATAATTCCATTAAAAAAGTAGTAACGTATTTGTAGATGTGTAAATACATAGAAGGTGAGTTACTTATTTCATGTCTTTTTTTTTTTAATGTATTCAAATAGTCTCTGGACTTATTATTTTGATTACAGATTCAAAGGCGCTGGGCAACGCGGAGTTCCTTCAATGCTAGTAGATTGCAGTAAAGTGTGAGTACAGATCTCATGTTTTTTTAATTTTATTATCGATTTTCCATGATGAGATTTTCAACCACCAAGATCTATGAACGCCGTGATTAGTCATAGTATTTGCTAACTGAAACGAATTACTACGAAAAATTATTTTAAAGAAACAATGTACAATCGTTAACGGAATGAAATTGTTTCAGGGATATATAACCTTAATACTGCAGGGAAGGATATTGCAAAAAAGTGTGAGTACAAATGTAGTCATGCTATTATAATCTATTATTGATTTTTCGTGATGAGATTTTTTACCACCAAGATCTATGAATGCCGTGATTAGTCATAGTATTTGCTAACTGAATAACTGTTTCTAAAGTTATTAATCAAAAATTTAGAGACTTGAATTTAATAATATTGTTTCTTTTTTAGATGTTCATGAGTACAAGAATTCTTTTACCACTTCTCAAATGGGTAAGAAGATTTAGTTATTTTAATGTTAAGTAACTATACACGTACATACACGTGTTCTAAATAAACATTAGTTATATTTATTTCGTGTAATAATATATAATAAAACAATTCTTTTGCATAGAAATGCAAAATTGTTAACATTGATCCTACAATAGCTTCCTAAAAAATAGGATCCATGTTTGGTTTGACAATTGTTGTAATTTGTACGTACGTACATTGTTAATTTCATTTGTTTGAAACGAATGGTATGTACTATATGTCCGCGAGAGGGTTGAGTAGTTACATCCCCACTCTAGTGTTCAGTCTACTAGCTGCCCTATCTGAACAAGCATTGTCGCTATTGGCTGAAGGGGGAGCTGATAGATCATAAACCAGAGAGGCAATATAAGCACTCGTTAGCCGTCTCGCGGACGAACAGTGCGCAAGCATCTACGTGCAGCCAACGTTCCGTTGCGACGCCATCTTCGTACCTAATTTCTCACAAGATTTTCGTGTAATCGGGTAGCTTTTATCCAGGTCAAAGAATATACTTAACTCGATAGAAATACATTACTTGGAGTTCTATCGATCACGTGTTTATCGGGGCACATTTATATTCGCAAATCCAAATTAGCCTCCAGCGAATGTAATTACGTTAATTGTCATAATTTCTCCTTGGAAATTCTCTCTCCGTGAAATACCACTAGCGACTATCCAGCGTTGCATTAACTCTGCTCGTCCAAAGTCTGGATTTTTTCCAAATTTATGCATAATACGTTGAATTTTTGCAGAATTTATTTTCCACTTTAGTGTTCCTCGAATTAATCAAATAATTTAATATATATTGATAATTTCTGTTACAAAGTTGATCGAGTTCAAATTTAAGTTAATTCGATGTTCATTATTTGTTTAAGAGAACAAGTATAGATTGCAATATAATTCTCGTATGTCATTAATACAGCCATTAATTTCTGCACAGGGAAATTATGTACCTATTGGATTCACTGGAAATCGTTACATTTTTAAAACGTACGTCGATTCCCATATTCGTTTTTATCCTCAAGTTCTCCAAATACGAAAGGCAAAAACGTTTTTAATGGAATTTTTATTTTTACACATCGCTGGCCAGTTAAAACCCATACGCGTATTTTTTGACCTTTTAGAGTTTGTTTGATGTACTTTGCGTTTTGATTCACCGAAAAAAGCAGTAAATTTTCAACCGTAGCACATGAATGTAGATCGTACCATTGTTTCCAATGGTAGATAGAATTTGTAGGTTCCTAAAGGAGAACGTTCAATGTTACATTCTCATCGCTGAATTCGTATAATTTTTACAAAAGGCTCGGATACTTCCGTTGTCCCACCATGTTCTGCATTTTTAATACTTATTCGATATCCGCTTAATATTACATCGTGGTATTAGCATTTTATTGATATTGGTCATGAATCAGAGGAGCCTTTATTCAAAACCGTCCGGTTAACCACTCGGGAGAAACAATTTTCGAAAAATAATCAGAGAATCGGAAACGGAATAAATGAATATCAGAAATGTCGCTAAACTTTCATATTAAAATAAGAATACATAAATTATTTATGTGACGGTAACAGATATCGAAAAAGGCAGTAGTTACGAAAGACAATGTTTGAAACCTAATATACATATGTATAATATCGAGAAACCGAAACCGATATCCCAGCTCTTCTCAATGCCTGATTTTAAGCCACGATTTCTATTTTCCTTAAATCCTGTAATACCGCGTATTCAGCAGCACGATCACGTAGCAGCGATGCTCAAAAGTTCCAAGGAGAGCGGTATCGCCTTTCTTTTTCTCGCCCCCTGAGGAGAGTTTAACGAGATACCACTTTTCATAATTCGAGGAAGGAACTTGATCGTTTTTCCGGCGAACGAACGGAGCGAGCCCCGATCGATTTTCTTAACCGTTTTTTCCTCTTGCGCCTTGAAGCTGTTCCACGGTCGCGAAAGGAGGAACAGAAGGGTTCACGGCGTGCCAGATTGTCTGGCTGCCAGGGACGCTTCGTGTCTTTAACGTGCAAGTTCCATTCCGAAATAATAAAGCTTGCGAGCGTGTGTTCGCTTTATGTTTCGTTTTCACGCGAAAAACTGTTTCTTTTCAAAGGCAACGGCGGGGGCATTGTGGCGTCCATTATAGACACGGTTACGTGCTTAAAAAATTACAATAGGTTTTCACGCGTGCGATGCACGTCATGTTCCATGCTCGGAACAGTTGAACGGGGTTGTGTTTTAAAGTTATGTCAAAGAGACAGGTCAAGCGTGTTTGCCCGGGGCAGCACATTCCATACATACAATGCACGTAGATATATGGGGTGTGGTTTGCTACAACCGAGTGCAATTTCATATACAGTTTCATTTTCATTTGTGTTATTCTTGAGGAGATTCGTGATTCGGCGTCACCTCTCGTATTAGCCACCAGAGGGGTCCCTCTGTCGCAAGCGTTGTGTAGACCCCTTATGGTGTCACCTCTCGAATTAGCCACCAGAGGGGTCTCTCTGACCCATTCGTACATGTACGCTCCTCGATTGATATTTAACCTGCGTGTACAATGTGTTGAACGATAATTAACTAAAGAAGAATGACTCGAGAAGTACGTTTCGATTCGAACGAAATCCCTGATATCGAGCAGAAGAACAGCTTGTTGAGTAAAACGGGATCGTCGAGACGATGAAAAGAATCGAGGGGAGAGAACGATAGAGAGACGGCGCGGACCTTTGTTTGAAACGAAAGAAAGTGTGAAGATAAGCAAAATGGAAAGGACGAGGAGAGGGGACGAGGGTGTAGGGGGTGGAGCCAGAAAGCAGTAGAGACAAAATGAAGGGGTTCGGAGGAAGGAAGGAAGGAAGTAAGGTAAGGGAGGAGAGAGGTTAGGCGGTCCTCTCGTAGACGTGGAAAAAAGAAAAGATTCATGAATAATGCAGAAGTGAAAGCCGGCTGAAACAATTGCTGGGCGTCGCCGTACTTCTGAAATTACATCATCAGATTTTCCGCGAAATTAAAACATTATATATTCCACGCTCGGTTCCCTCGGCACGGCTACTCGTCTTCATCCTTCGGACATTATGCTTCTGCAGTCGTTCCACCTCCGGGCGGACAAAAATCGCCGATTATGCGTTCACGCGATGAGACTGCAGTATTACCTAGCCGAGCGGTTCAAATGTGCTTTAAAAAGGGTCAATGTTCTGGTCCAATTCCGCTGAATACGTAAATTGGAACGCTCTGCTTGCTATCGTATTAGGTTGCCGGGCATGAAATGTTAGTTTTTTCGGTTAAACTTTAAAGGCGTGTAACTTTTTCCCCACCGTAACCTCGTGTACATATTTAACGGGGATAGCCGCCACGTTAACGTTTTCCTTTACATTTTTTTCCCGACGATCGACCGATTTCGTTATTCCAGCTTCGCGAAAATCAGCCCGGGGATCGAAACTACGCGGTTACTCGCGGAGGAGGGTGCTTTTAATTAACAAGATTTTTGCCTCTCGTTGACACGATTAGGCCGCGGCGCCACAGGCAAAGGGTGACAGGAACGTATAATAATGTGCAATTGAAAACTTTTCTTTATTTTATTTTCTCTCTTTTATTTTCACGTTAAAATTGTTAACTTTATAGAACGATTAGATAACAATTCTTGGTCGGTAGAAAAGTATTATACGTTGTTTCCAGGCCAGACGATCGGACTTAAAAATTTCGAATCATAATTTCTATGCAAAGGTTTTATCGCGTTTTGAACGCGCGCGATCTGAAACTCGAATTTACGATCGATCGCGTTTATTTCGGACCCCGATATCGGCGGTTTTCAAGCCGAACGTTAAAAATTTACGATCCCGAAGCGTCGAGCACGAGGATTCTATTTGAAGTCAGAATTTCGATAAAAGGGGGAAAAAAGTCCAACCGTGGAATCTACCGACCCGACGGATTCATAGTGTTTTCCTTTCGCGAACACGAAAGCTTTTCAAGAGAGCGGTAACGACTACAGAAAGCGATCCGCACTTCAGACGGAATCCCATCAGACTGTTGTCCGAGACATTTTTCAACGTTATCAATAATCTCGTTAACGGTTCCCATGAATCTCATGTTTGCGATTTAAGTGGCTCTCAACCTGTCGACGTGACGGAATAAAAATCATAACTTTTCAACGTGTCCCGTAACCTCGACATTTTTTGGAAATTTTTAGAAAACTCTAAATCTACAGGGTGGTCCACGA